CCCGCTCCTCTTCCCCCCACCCCTGTTCCCCCCATCCCCGTTCCCCCAACCTCCGTTCCTCCCACCCCTTTTCCGCCAGTTCCAGCTTCCCTCATTCCTGTTCCCCTCAACCCCGTCCCCCCCACTGCTGCTCCCCCTACTGCCGTTCCCTTAACTGCTGCCGCTCCCCCTACCTCTGTTCCCCCCACTGCTGCTCCCTCTCCTGCTGCTCCCGCTACCGCTCCTGCTGCAGTGCCTGCTGCAACATCTGTAGCGGCTGCTGTAGCGCCTGTAGCATCTGCAGCACCTGCTGTAGCGCCTGCCATATTGCCTGCAGGGGCTGTTGTAGCGCCTGTACCGCCTGCTGCAACGCCTGTAGCAGCTACTGTAGCGCCTGTAGCAGCTGCTGTAGCTCCTGTAGCTTCGGCAACACCTGTAGCCCCTGCCGTATTGCCTGCAGGGGCGGCTGCAGCATCAGAAGCGCCTGCTGCAGTGGCTGCAGCACCTGCTGTAGCGCCTGCAGTGGCTGTTGTAGCTTTGGCAGCACTTGTAGCGCCATCCATATCGCCTGCAGGGGCTGCTGTCGCATCTGAAGCGCCTGCTGCAACATCTGTAGCACCTGCAGCACCTGCTTTAGCGCCTGTAGCACCTGTAGCCTCTGCTGCAACATCTGTAGCGCCTGCAACACCTGCTGTAAGGCTTCAAACACCTGCTGCAACGTCTGTAGCACCTGTAGCGCCTGCAGTGGCAGCTGTAGCCCCTGTAGTAGAGCCTGTAGCGCCTTCGCCACAGTCAGTGCCTCCAGCTGTATCACCTGCTGTAGCACCTGCTGTAGAACCTGCTGCAGCGCCTGCGGTGGTGCCTGCTACAGAGCCTGCGGTAACATCTGCTGTAGCACCTGCTGCAGTGCCTGCAGTAACACCTGCTGTAGCACCTGATGTAGCACCTGCGGTAATGCCTGCTGTAGCGCCTGCTGTAGCATCTGTAGCGCCTAGCATTCATACTGAGGTGTCTCCTGCCACTAGCGCTTCAGTTGCTGCATCTCCTGCTGTTGTGGGTGCTTCTGCTGCTCCGTCTGGTGTTAAAGGAGAGTCAGCTGTAGCACCAGCAGCAACGAGTGCAGCAGCAGCAGGAGCATCAGCAGCAGTAGCAGGAGCATCAGCAGCAGTAGCAGGAGCATCAGCAGCAGCAGCAGCAGCAGAGTCTCCTGCTGTTGAGAGCGCTACTGCTGCTCCGTCTGGTGATAAACGGGAATCAGCTGCAGCGCCAGTAGCAACTATTGTAGCAGCAGCAGGAGCACCGTCAGTAGCAGCAGCAACAGCAGCAGCAGCAGCACCGTCTGTAGCAGCAGCAACAGCAGCAGCAGGGTCAGCTCTAGCTGTGAGTACTACTGCTGCTCCGTCTGCTGTTGAAGGTGAGTCAGTTGCAGCAACGAGTGTAGCAGCAGCAACAGCAGCAGTAGCAGCAGCAGGAGCAGCACTGCCAGCAGCAGCAGCAGCAGCAGCAACACCAGCACTGCCACCACCAGTAGCAGCAGCGCCATCAGTACCAGCTGCAGTGGTACCAGCAGCACCAGAACGAGCAGCAGCAACAACCCTTCCTCTTGCAGCAGCACCACTAGTGGTAGCACCACCAGCAGCGGTAGCAGCAGTAGCAGGAACTGATGCTACCACGCCCACAGTCACACCGCTTACACTCACAAGCACAGCTGCAACCACACCCACAGTAACGCCACTTACAGTCACAAGCAAAGCTGCAACCACACCCGCAGTCACAGCCGCAGCCACAGCGACACCTGTGCTGACACCCACAGTGACACCTACATTGACACCCACAGCCACAATAGCTCCCACAGTGACACTCACAGTGACACCCGCAGTTATATGCACGGCAAAGCTATCTGTTGATACACCAGCAGCACCCACTCCCACCCGAGCAAGTGTGCAGGCGAAAGGGATGGAGAGAGGGGAGGGAGAGAGGAAGGGAGGGGAGGGAGAGAGGAAGGGAGCAGAAGGAGGGAAAAAGGGAGGGGAGGGAGAGAGGAAGGGAGGGGAGGGAGAGAAAAAGGGAGGGGGTGGGGAAGGGAAGAGTGGGGAGGGAGGGAAAAAGGGAGAGGAGGGGGAGAAAAAGGGAGAGGAGGGAGAGACAAAAGGAGGGGAGGGGGAAGAGAAGGGTGCGGAGGGAGCAACACCAACTCCTAGTGGAGCAAGTGTGCAGTCCAAAGGGGTTGAGAAAGGGGCTGTAGGAGGGGCGTTGGAAGCACAGGCATCTGCACCCGCAAGCACAGGAAAACCACCTGTTGATTTTGCAGCAACACCCAGTCCCAGTGGAGCAAGCGTGCAGTCCAAAGGGGTGGAGGGAGGGGTTGCAGCAGGGGTGTTGTTACCAGCAGCAGCTGCACCCGCAGCAACAAGCACAGCAATCACACCAACACCCAGTCCCACTTTGCAGAGCAAAGGGGTGGAGGGTGGGGTTGCAGGAGAGGCATTGGCGGGAGAGGCATTGGAGGGAGCGGCAACTGCAGTTTCAGCAACAAGCGCAGCAGCAGCAGCAGCAACTGTAGCCACATCAGCAGAAAAAGCACCACTCATGACCCCACAACTCCCTGCTGAACCAGCTGCATCTGCCCCAGTCACCCCTCAAGCCGCAGTTGTACCTACCCCAGTCGCACCTGCTCCTGCTGTAGCACCCTCCTCAGGTGTACCCCCTCCAGTTGCAGCCTCCCCAGCCGTTCCTGAGCCAGCCACATCTACCCCAGTCACCCCTCAAGCCACAGTTGTACCTCCCCCAGTCGCACCTGCTTCTGCTGCGGCACCTTCTCCTGCTGCCGCTGCGACACCAGTCCCTGCTGGTACAGATGCTCCTGTGTCCGTGACTGCTGCAACTTTACCTGCAGTGGCAGCAGCAGCAGAGGGAGAGAAGGAGAGCAGAGAGGGAGAGAAGAAGGAAGATACGAAGGGAGGGGAGGGAGAAAAGAAGGGAGGGGAGGGAGAGAAGACGGGAGGGGAGGGAGGGAAGAAGGGAGGGGAGGGAGAGAAGACGGGAGGGGAGGTAGAGGAGAAGGGAGGGGATGGAGAGAAGCAGGTGGCAGAAACGACAGCATCAGCAGCTGAAGCGACAGCACCTATAGAAGCACCAGTAGCAGAACCAGCAGCAACACCAGCAGCACCAGCGGCACCAACTGTGGCAGCATTAGCGGTGGCGGCAGCACCAGCTGCCGAAGCTGGAGAAAATAAGCAGCTTGGCTCAGGAGTAGGAGCAAGGACAGGCACGGTAGTTGGAGCAGGGGAAAAGGAAGTAAGGGCCAGGGAGGAACCTGAAAGAATGGATGTGGATGGGGAAACGGAGGATGGGGAGAAAGGGAATGGGGAGAAGGGGGATGGGGATGGGGATGGGGATGGGGATAAGAATGCTTGCGAGAGGATGGATATAGATGGGGAAATGCCAGGGGCAGGACAGGGGTCGATTTTTAAAAGGGTGGAGGGTGGTAAAGCAAGTGCTGAAGGGCGGGTGGACATGCGGCAGGAGAGCTAGGATGTGCTGAGTTATGTGTGCATCCGGGTTCAATACCTGCTGCTGCAGGTTTTGCGACATAAGGAACGGACTCAGCAGCTGTAGTAGGGCAATTGAGCTTGTAAATAGGTCTGCTGCCGCAGCAGCAGCAGCTGCTGGGAGAGAGACGAAAGCTTGTAGCGTAGCTGTAGCAGTAGCAACAGTCACAGCAGGGTCTAAGGAGTGATAGCTTCTAGATGTGGCAGTAGCAGTAGTGGTGGCAGGGAGAGAAACGGTGTGGAGTGCGATTGGAGGGTGGGGTAAGGAGGAGAAATGTGTGGGGTGCAATGAGATGGAGGGTGGTGACAAGGGGAGGAGCATGATTAGATGCTATGGAGCATGACAAGGGGCCGTTAGCTGTAAAACAGGGATTCTGTTTCCTAGGCGCCGCAAAGAAGCCGGCAGTTGGGGGCAGAAGGTCGGGATTGAAGGCCGATCAGCAGGAGCCCGGAGCAATGCGAAGAGCAGCAAGAGGTATGTATGAGTGCTTATAGGTGCGAATTGGTTCTTAGGGGTATGGATGAGTGCTAAGATGTATGAATCAATTTCCTAAGGTATGAATGCAAGGAGCTGAGTTTCGAAGAGTTTCGATGGGTGCACAGAAGTATGAACCAATTTGAAGATGTATGGAGGTGCGAGGAATTACGGTATGTTTCAAGAGGTATGGATGGGAATGGTTGAGAACCCTTCCCCCCTATTTTTTCCCCTGTTTGTACTATCAATTGTTTTCCCTGCTCTGATGCTCAAATAGTTGTTACTCTATTGCGTTACCTTCCTTTTCCCCTTGCCTTCAGGGCTCCTATAGGACGCCGATGAAAGGGCTTTCACTCAGTGCCAAGCCAACACAAAGAACCGTTCGCCCTTGCCATCCATTAAAAACGGTGACGGGCACAGTATGTGGATGGATGATGGGATTGATGAATGGAAGTGGGTGGAAGTGGGAATAAGGCTCATGTGAGTGGTACTGCTCATGTGAGGGTTGCGCGGCACTGCAGATTGGTGGCGTGGGTGGGTGACACACTCGATTGTGTGTGCCCGTGCCTCTGACTTGGTTCGGCAAGCACAACAAAACAACCGTACTCGATTTGCTAACAACGCTGATAATTCGCTGGTTCACTGACAGTTGCAGATTAGCTGCTTAGGCTATACTGTCTCCTCTTTACTTGAGGATACACTTTGGCTAGTCATAGTTGTAGAACATATGCGTTTGTTTACTTACCGTAGCTCAGCTGGCTAAGCCCTTTATTTCCCTTTGGCTTGATCAATAAATTTCTGGCACAGCTGCTGCACAGTGGTGAGCAATGTAATGTACATGAGTGCGGCGTGTGATGCTGCTTTGCTTGAGTATCAAAAGGTACAGATCCCTTTGTGTGTGTGCCATGTAAAATTGTTACAAAAGAGTATTCTATGCTACAATACATAAGCTATTTTGCGCTCCTGGTTATGTCTCTGATGTGGTTTTGCACGGTCTAGCCCTCTCCACCGCCAATCGCCATTGCCTTCCTCGTTCGCACCGCGAATGCCAACTCATATTCCAGCTCCGCTTCCGCCGCCGCATCAACCGCCTCATCGACCGCTGCCCCTCTCCGGTCCGCATTTCCCAAGCCTGCCACCTCAACATTGTAGTCACTTCCACCATCGTATCGTGTCAAACGGCTAGTAGTGATATCTTCTTCCCCTTCGTATACAGCCCCATCTTCTCCCCAGAATACGTGCACGGGTCCCACGTGCTCTTGCTCCTCATCTTCCTCGTCTTCCTCCCCTGTCTCTTCTTCTACCCTCTGGCTCCCTGCACTTTCGTAGACTATCTCAATCCGTTTGTCGTTAGACAATCTCAATCTCCGTCTAATCTTCGTCAAAGAAGTGGAGGGAGTTGACGGACGGAAACGGACTGGAAGCTCTTGCTGGTGCACGCGGACGAGCTCTGCTGACGAATTTCCGTCAAACCCCGCCAAAGAATTCCCGTTTACTCCCGTCAGTGGTGCAAGGACTCCGTCCGCCGACGTCAGAACAGCTTCGCGTTCTGTCAGTTCCACCAGCGAGCCGTTTTCTGCCCGAAAAACATGAAACGACCTGAAGAAACCAACTTCTTGGTCCCGCTTTTCTGATGCTCCTCCTGGAAACAATATGCGTGGCCCAACCAGTGGTGCACGTGGCTGCGCGTGTGCGGCACGTGTCCGCACAGCCACGTCCTCGAAGTACAGCGCGTCTAGACTGCCTAACACCCTCAGGTCGGCGTCGCTTGTTTCAGGTTCCTCCTGCAACGAACCGTCAGCTGCTCGAAACACGTGCAGCGGGACCAAAACCTCCCCGCTGTCCCCCTCCTCCTCCTCCTCCTCCTCCTCCGCCTCCTCCTCCTCCACTCCGTCTTTTTTTACCTCCTTCCCCTCGTCGCTTTTCGTTTCCGCCAGAAGGTGGTTCCTCTTCTTTGCAGGGGCCATACCTTTCCTGCTTTTCACTGCTGCTTCTTCAAGATATAGTGCGTCTGCTCTTATCGCGTCTTCCAGCCTTGCGCTTTCTCCCGCGTCAGCATCCGTACAGTCTGACGCGTCTCCCAGATCAAGATTCCGGATTTCAGGAACGTGTGTTTCGGGGATTTCAATGAGCGACACGGCGAACGGGGCGCGAAAGACATGAAACGAAGATAGCGTCGGGTTGCGAGTCGCGGGGTTATCGATGCCCGTCCCGTTTTCGTTTCCGTCAAACAACTCCACCTGTGCTTCGATAGGCGCCCCGTGCGGCTGCATCTGCGGCTCGTTGGGCGCTTGAGTTGCGGATCGCAGGTGGGATGCTGGGCAGGAGCGGACGGCGGGAGACGCGGGAGACTCAAAAGTCACCATGGGGAGCGAGAGGAGAGCTGCAGAGGTTGCGGCGATGAGGTTCAAGATGAGGAGGAAGTAGAAGGCCCGGTGCGAGAGGTGGATTTGGTGGAAAGATGAGCTTTGCTGATTCGACACGCGACGAAAAGCCATGGCGATTCTGAAAGGCCGCTCGAAAGCAAGGGACTTTTTCTTTTCAAGTAGACAGTACTGACACTCAGAATTGGACCTTCTATCCTCGCTTCGCCTCAGCACGAGCTCGCGTTGATATCAAGGCGGAGCGACGCGTTATTAGCGACCTACAGTTGAGCTATTAGCGACGCGTTCACAACCTAAGGACGTCCTAGCGAAGCTCTCTCTGGCCGCTTCGTTCATATCTCTCTAGCTACTAATAACGAGCCTTGCGACTTCCGGAAATTTATCATTCATAGAAAGCGCACGGTTCGAGCGTAGCTCTCGTAAAGTTGCGATTAAGCGAAAGCGCAGGTGGAGAAACAGCAGAGGATCCTGAGGGCATGCGATGCGGAACACTTGATGGCGAGAGGGGCGACGCGTGGGCACAGCTGCGTCTGGTGGTGTGGCTCTCACAACAAGGCCCATGAACACATGGACTCATGTGATATCCATCCAGCAGCACCATCCTGCACATGGACACATGGCTATGCTCCACACCTTTTACCTTTGCGCGGACTGCGGCAGGCGCAGGCTAATTCGAACAGCACCAGAGTTGCTCTGGGGTTGGACTTTTCGCAATCGATGTGTTCCCTCGCTCTGTCCTGAACGAGAGAAATCGGACCAGCCTTCGAAACACAAACGAAATTTTGTGGCAGAAGCCCTCTGGCTCAGGCGGTTCGCTGCTGAATTTCAAAGTTGCGCTTCGAGCGTAATGCAATGAAGGGCCCCGATAGGTTCTCCCTTTGCGGTTCGCGAGACGGGAATTTTGCTGTCAGAAGCGCAGTAGCGTCTCCACTACAAGCAGACCGTACAGTAACACAACGTGGAAGTTACCTTCTGGTAAACTGTAATTGCGGGGATTACGCTAGTATCCTACGTAATGAAATGTATGACACCCACGCAGACCTATGACTCTGCAAGAACAATGGGCATCTGGAAACCTCAGAAATAACCAACAAAATCTACTGAGGCACACTGTTGCATGCATAGCCATGACATTGCTTAGGTTTCTCAAACATTGTAGTACTAGAGAGATAAGTTCCTAGCCGTTTTCCTAGCACCAGCAATACATGCCAGCGCTTTTATTTTGCTGATATCCGCGTGTTAACACGGCCAATCTCCGTGCAGCTATAGGGCTTACAACACTAGGACACAAGGCGAGATGAGCTAACGTACAGCTAATAAAGAGGAAATTTTTGAAGAGGACAATTATATCAAGGTGCCAGTTCCAGCAAAGCCTTCGCAGGAAATGTGACGCATGAGTGGAAATATCATTGCCGATTTCCAAACGAGGAGCTTGAACGCGGTATCCTACGAGGAGCTCGAAGGAGGTGAAGGTGATGACTGCAGTAGGTGTGGTTTGAAACAGATAACCTTTGAGTTGTCTCAAAAGCCGTGATTCTCACAAATCGCAGTCGTCATCACTCGAGGATGCAGGAGGGAAGACTGTTGGTAGGGTTCGAATGAGGAGCTCGAAGAACGTGAAGGTGATGACTGCAGCGGTTGGGGTTCTAACGAGGTTCTAAAGAGGTGACCTTTGAGTTGACTCAAGAGTCATGCCTCTCATAAGTCATCACAATCATCATCAGTTGGGGTTGCAGGAGGGAAGATGGTGGGTAGGGTTCGAATGAGGAGCTCAAATGAAGTGAAGGTGATGACTGCAGCGGGTGTGGTTCTAAAGAGGTTCGTCACACACCCTCGATAGAACCCCCGAATGCCCTCCTCCTTGAATATCTGAACAGTGAGTGGATTGGCAACAGTAAGGGGAAAAGAGGCGATTTAGGTCTGTTGCAGACACGAGATCGCTCCGCCAACACCCCCTGATGCCCTCCTTCTTGAAAATCTGAACAGTGAGTGGATTGGCAAAAACAGGGGTAAAAAAGAGAAGAGAGGATTTAAGCCTGTTTCAGGTCCAAATTGCTCCGATAAAACCCAATAGCGCCGCCCTCCTTGAACACCTGAACAACAATTAGGAAGAAATCAAATAGGAGCAAATGATTGGGGAGTTCAGGGAAGTGAATAGCAGAACACAAGGGATAAAAAGGAGGAACGCGTAATCTGGTGCAGCTGAAGAAAGCCAGATGACGTGAAGCCAGCAAGCTACACTCACCCGCGTTATACAGTCTCCCACACCAGTGTAGCGGTGTGCATTCCCGAGGTCCTTCCCTTGCTCCTGAAGTCGTGCCCTCACAACCTGAGGGAGGAGGAAAAGGGAGGGGCGAGAAGACAAAAAAAGAGGCGAATAGGCGTATGTGCGTGTGAAGTACATGTCGCTTCAGTCGATTTGGAATAGAACCTAAAGAGAAAGGCAACTTGAGTCTCCTAGACTATATCAAAATGTGAAATAGGCATAAGTGCGAGTGAGGAAAGTGAACTTTGCACGTGGTTGTGTTTACCTCGTGTGGGTATGTGAGAGTCGAGGCAAAGACTTTGGAAATGGCGGAGGCTGCAGCTAGCTGGGACCCCTAGCCTTTGCCTTACATACTACCCACTATGTAGCACACTACGGGCCTGGCTGGGAGGGTTACCTCGTGTGGGTATGTGAGTGGCAAAGACTTTCGAAATGGCAGTGGCTGCTGCTAGCTGCGGGGCCCTTCGCTTTCCTTACTACCCAGTATGTAGCACAGTTTTGGCCTGAGTGAGGTGGTTACCTCATGTGGATACGTGAGAGTCGAGGCAAAGACTTTGGAAATGGCGGAGGCTGCTGCTAGCTGCGGGGCCGTGAGCGTGTCTGTGGTTGATCCTTCTGTGAGACGAGAGTAAAGAAGGAGAGGGAAGGGGGACGCATGGAAGGGGGTATGGAGGGCGAGAGGAAGCATGGGTAAGCCAGACGAAGCTTTTGAAAATGGCAGAGGCGGTTGCTAGCTGTGGGGCTGTGAGGGTGTCTGTGGTGACCCTTCTGTGAGACGTCAGTAGACAACGGGAGGCATGGAGGAAGGTAGGAAGGGTGAGAGAGTCATGTGAACTCGGGGAGCAAACACAGTCATAGTCAGCTCACCTCATGCCTGCTAGTGATGGAGAGTACTGCCTGTCAGCTCCACCCCACTGGGGAGAAGTGTGGTGTGGTGTGGTGTAGAGAGGTGTGGTGTAGTGTAACACCACACCACACATGCATCTGTTAGAATATAGCATGTATATGGCTAGAACTAATAGTGTACACCCAAATCATGGGTGTACACATTGAGGTGGTCTCCCAACTTTTGGTTGGGTTTCCACAACCCAGGCGACCATTATTGTTGGGGAGCCAACATTGGTGGCCAACCCCTCCAATGTTTGGCCCCTCCAATAATTGACTCAACCTCAATTATTGGGCTGGACCCTCACCACATTGGTCAACCAATAATGGTGTGGGGTAACTCTGATTTTGGTCACTCTTCCCATTCCCTATTTGTACTGCTCTTCTTTATCAATATACCAACTCTTGAGTTCACCCCCTAATCCCAACTATGGGATTCTCACAGCATCTGCTCACCTCGGCACGCCATCTGCTGCTTGATAAACTCATACATGGGGAACTGAATGACCACGTGGCTTATGTTGCATGCTACCGGTGGAAGTGCCTTAACATGAGAGCTCACCTTTACACGCCATCTGCTGCTTGACGTACTCGTACATGGGGAACTGCACATACCTTAGCCTCGTGCATTTAAACTCGGGGAGCAAACAAGTCATAGTCACTTCACCTCTACACGCCATCTGTTGGTTAATGTACTCATACATGGGGAACTGGATTGCCACGTGGCTGATGCCCGCTAGTGCAGATTCTGGAGCTGTGGATCGACCAACGCGCACCGGCAGCAGCAACATCTGGCAGCAGCAACATCTGGCAGCAGCAACATCTAGCACGGTGCCAAGAACATTTGCTAGCTTGCTCTCAGCAATGGGGTGTCATTGGAATATACAATCTTTGAGGGTATGTCTTCACACGATGTCAACATTTAAACTCGTAGGTTCCAATGACACCCCCGTTGCTGAGAGCAAGCTAGTATTTCTCTAGGCACCATGCTAGATGTTGCTGCTGCCGGTGCGCCTCGGTCGATCCACTGATTCAGTGCCACACCATGCGTACACCTCTCCACACAATAACATCTCACCTCTACACGCCAACTGTTGCTTCGTATACTCGTACATGGGGAACTGGATAATTACGTGGCTCATGCCTGCCTCTCACCCCATCACACCCCATCACGCCAACACACACGCATGTGCTCACCTCGGCATGCCATCTGCTGCTTGATGTACTCACACATGGGTAACTGGAGGCCACACCACACCATGCCATATTCCCGCTAGTGTGGTATGTGAAAGTGCCTCTGTAAGATCTCACCTCTACACGCCATCTGCTGCTTGATATACTCATACATGGGGAACTGGATGGCCACGTGGCTTATGCCTGCTAGTGCCGGCACCACCCCACTGCTCACACACACCAAGCAAAGCAGGGCAGCGAGGGAGAGATAGACTTCATAAGTGCGTGCAAGAGAGAAACATGTCTACCTCCTCCCTCCCAGCCCCTCTCCCTCCCCTTCCCCCTCTCCCCCTCTTCCCCTCTCCCCCACTCCCCCTCTCCACCTCTCCCCCTCTCCCTGTCCCTCCCCTCACCTGTACAGCCCCCCCAACCCCTCCTCTCTGATAATCCACACAAGGGCCGAAAACTCTCACCCATATTTCTCACCTCTCTTTCAAATCCTATTCACCTTTCTCCGCCTTTCTCACTCCCCCTGTCAAAACACCCCTCACCTGTACAACCCTCCCAGCCCCTCCTCTCTGGTGATCCGCACAAGGGCGGAAAACGTTCCCCTGTACGGCTCAACTCTCTTCCAACCTCCCCGCAACTTCTCCCTTCCCCTCTCCCCCTCATTCAAACTCCCTCTCACCTGTACAACCCCCCCAGCCCCTCCTCTCTGATGATCCGCACAAGTGCCAAAAACGCTTTCTCTTCCCACCCTCCTCCCATTACTTTCCTTCCCCCCATCTCACCTGTACAGCCCTCCGAGCCCCTCCTCTCTGGTAATCCGCACAAGGGCGGAAAACGTTCCCCTGTAGGGCCGCCTGTTGGTCCGCATGGCTTGAGTCTGAAGATTGATGGAGCGGGGAACGAAGAGGGGAGCAAGGGGAGACGTGGGGTTTGGGTAGGTGGGGAAATTGGCAACCCTTCTTCTCTAGTGATCCGCACAAAGGCGAAAAACGTTCCCCTGTAGGGCTGCCTGTTGGTCCGCATTGCCTGGGTCTGGTGGTGATTGAAAAGGGTGGAAGGCGGGGGAGGGGAGGGGGAAGAGGGAGTGGGGATATGGGAAGAAAGGTCGGTTTTACGTTTTTTTTTTTTGTTTAGCAACGCAGGAACTAATTCCTTGCATGGCCGTCTGTTGGTGCGCATCGCTTGGGACTGGTGATTGAAGAGGTGGGGGGAAGGGGGGAAGTGGGAAGCGATTGAAGAGGGGAATACAGGAGAAGAGGGGGAAGATGCCAGAGAGAGGGTGGAGAGGGGGGAGAGGGGTTGAGTGTGTAGGGAGATTGGCAATGGGATGGGTCAAGATGTTTCAAAGACCAGGCCTCACCTGCAGTCTCGTCTTGACGACCCACAGGGGGTTGGTGGCTAGAACAGTCGCTGTGCCTGCTCCTGCTGCTGCCAGCACACTCCGCCCCAGTGACAGCTGCTGCTGCTGTGGTTGTGGTGAACGTGCCTGACCCTTGACTCGCGTTGAATCGCATTGATTCGCGTTGACTCTCGTTGACTCACCTGCAGCCTGGTCTTGACGACCCACAGAGGGTTGGTGGCGAGGACAGTGGCCGTGCCTGCTCCTGCTGCTGCTAACACACTCCGGCCAAGCGACAGCTGCTGCTGCTGCTGCTGCTGCTGCTGTGGTTGTGGTGAACGTGCCTGACGTTTGACTCGCGTTGACTCTCGTTGACTCACCCACAGCCTTGTCTTGACGACCCACAGGGGGTTGGTGGCTAACACAGTCGCCGTGCCTGCTCCTGCTGCTTTCAGACGTGTTGAGGCTTGATGAGCCTCTATTCCCCGTATGTAACTCAAAACTGACTCACCTGCAGTCTCGTCTTGACGACCCACAGGGGGTTGGTGGCGAGGACAGTGGCCGCGCCTGCTCCTGCTGCTGCCAGCACACTCCGCCCCAGCGACAGCTGCTGCTGCTGCTGCTGCTGCTGTGGCCGCGCCTGCCCCTCCTGCCCTTCCTCCTGCTGTTCGTGCTGCTCTGATCCCTGCGCTGTTTTTTCCTCGTGACTGCTGGGGACTGGGTTGGTGACAGGGGAGAGGAAAAAAGCTCTAATTCAAATTTTCTTTTTGTCTTTCATTTTTGGATCATCAAAACCGGCCACAATTCTATTGGCACACAACAGTACGGTTTGCGTCAATCACTCACGCTGGATTGATAGGCATCAGCACCTGACCTGTGACTGGATGGCATTGCTCGCTCAATATCCGCGTTACTGGCATTCAAGTTCAAGGCTCGTGAAAGTCGGGTCACAATTCGTTTCAATCCTTTACCCTTTAACTCCTCACCTGCGCCTGGATGGCTTGGCTCGCTTAATATCCGCTTTAAGTGGTCGTAAACTGAGAAATACACCTGGCGAAGTGAAGGAGATAGGGAAGAGAAAGAGGCTGAGGGAAAGGTGACTTTTGAGTCGTCGCAAAAGTCACATTGTTTAAAACTGAAAAGTACACCTGGCAAAGTGAAGGACAGTGAAAGAGGGGAAGAGAAAGAGGCCTCAGGAACGACAATTCTTGAAACTTGGCAGAGAAGAGCGATTGAAAGCAGGTGGAATTGAAGCAAAGAAGAGATATAAGCGGAAGGAGGGGGAGTAAAGCCTGGTTTTCGCTTCGAATAGGCGTGCACGAGAGATGCCCAGTTAGGAAGCAGCGCCACCATGGTGGGGGACAGACCCCCGTACAGCCCCCGTGCGCCAAATCGTCTGCAGCGACCCCGCTATCACGCCCATGCGGCCCCTACCACCCCTCACACCACCTCCCTAGCAATTACCTTCCTAGCCCGTGCCTCCCAGTCTGAACTCACCGCCCAGTTTGGCAGCAGAGCCACCATGGTGGGGGAGAGTCCCCTGTAGAGCCCTCTAAGCCCCTCCGTGCGCCAAATCGTCTGCAGCGACCCCGCTATCACGCCCATGCGCCACCGCCTCCCTCCTGCTGCTCTTCCCCCCGCGGTCGCTGCTCCCCCCGCTGCTGCCCCCCCTGCTCCCCCTGCTGTTCCTAATCCTCCTAAGCCTCTCGATCCCCCCACTCCCTGTGCTGCTTCTGCTGCCGCGGCAGCTGCGGGCGCGGACGGGGGAGTGGCGAGCACAGATGCAGCAGCTGCTGTGGCTATCCTAGCAAACGGCGGTGGGGAGGCAGATGCTGCTGCTGCTGCTCCCCCTCTTGCTATTGGCGCTGCTGCTGCTGCTGCTCCCCCTGCTGCTGACGTGGAGGCTTGCGGTGCCCCCATCACTTGCAGGCGGGTTTTGACCACGTCTAGCGGCGCTACAAACGTGGCCGCTACAGCTCCTGAAAAAGGGAAAGGGGAGAGGGGGAAAGGGAGAAGAGGGGAAAAGGGGAGAGGGGGAAAGGGAGAAGATGGGGAAGCTTGTGGCGCGCCCATCACTTGCAGGCGGGTTTTGGCCATGTCTAGCGGCGCTACAAACGTGGCTGCTACAGCTCCTGAAGAAGGGTGGGTAAAAGGGTGAATGGTCAGGGGAGAGGACAGGGGTGCTTGGGAAGCGCCCATCATCACTTGCAGGCGGGTTTTGACCACGTCTAGCGGCGCTACAAACGTGGCTGCTACAGCTCCTGAAGAAGGGTGGGTGAAAGGGTGAATGGTCAGGGGAGAGGACAGGGGTGCTTGGGAAGCGCCCATCATCACTTGCAGGCGGGTTTTGACCACATCTAGCGGCGCTACAAACGTGGCTGCTACAGCTCCTGAAGAAGGGTGGGTGAAAGGGTGAATGGTCAGGGGAGAGGACAGGGGTGCTTGGGAAGCGCCCATCATCACTTGCAGGCGGGTTTTGACCACGTCTAGCGGCGCTACAAACGTGGCTGCTACAGCTCCTGAAGAAGGGTGGGTGAAAGGGTGAATGGTCAGGGGAGAGGACAGGGGTGCTTGGGAAGCGCCCATCATCACTTGCAGGCGGGTTTTGACCACGTCTAGCGGCGCTACAAACGTGGCTGCTACAGCTCCTGAAGAAGGGTGGGTGAAAGGGTGAATGGTCAGGGGAGAGGACAGGGGTGCTTGGGAAGCGCCCATCATCACTTGCAGGCGGGTTTTGACCACGTCTAGCGGCGCTACAAACGTGGCTGCTACAGCTCCTGAAGAAGGGTGGGTGAAAGGGTGAATGGTCAGGGGAGAGGACAGGGGTGCTTGGGAAGCGCCCATCATCACTTGCAGGCGGGTTTTGACCACGTCTAGCGGCGCTACAAACGTGGCTGCTACAGCTCCTGAAGAAGGGTGGGTGAAAGGGTGAATGGTCAGGGGAGAGGACAGGGGTGCTTGGGAAGCGCCCATCATCACTTGCAGGCGGGTTTTGACCACGTCTAGCGGCGCTACAAACGTGGCTGCTACAGCTCCTGAAGAAGGGTGGGTGAAAGGGTGAATGGTCAGGGGAGAGGACAGGGGTGCTTGGGAAGCACCCATCATCGCTTGCAGGCGGGTTTTGACCACGTCTAGCGGCGCTACAAACGTGGCTGCTACAGCTCCTGAAGAAGGGTGGGTGAAAGGGTGAATGGTCAGGGGAGAGGACAGGGGTGCTTGGGAAGCGCCCATCATCACTTGCAGGCGGGTTTTGACCACGTCTAGCGGCGCTACAAACGTGGCTGCTACAGCTCCTGAAGAAGGGTGGGTGAAAGGGTGAATGGTCAGGGGAGAGGACAGGGGTGCTTGGGAAGCGCCCATCATCACTTGCAGGCGGGTTTTGACCACGTCTAGCGGCGCTACAAACGTGGCTGCTACAGCTCCTGAAGAAGGGTGGGTGAAAGGGTGAATGGTCAGGGGAGAGGACAGGGGTGCTTGGGAAGCGCCCATCATCGCTTGCAGGCGTGTTTTGACCACGTCTAGCGGCGCTACAAACGTGGCTGCTACAGCTCCTGAAGAAGGGTGGGTGAAAGGGTGAATGGTCAGGGGAGAGGACAGGGGTGCTTGGGAAGCGCCCATCATCACTTGCAGGCGGGTTTTGACCACGTCTAGCGGCGCTACAAACGTGGCTGCTACAGCTCCTGAAGAAGGGTGGGTGAAAGGGTGAATGGTCAGGGGAGAGGACAGGGGTGCTTGGGAAGCGCCCATCATCACTTGCAGGCGGGTTTTGACCACGTCTAGCGGCGCTACAAACGTGGCTGCTACAGCTCCTGAAGAAGGGTGGGTGAAAGGGTGAATGGTCAGGGGAGAGGACAGGGGTGCTTGGGAAGCGCCCATCATCGCTTGCAGGCGTGTTTTGACCACGTCTAGCGGCGCTACAAACGTGGCTGCTACAGCTCCTGAAGAAGGGTGGGTGAAAGGGTGAATGGTCAGGGGAGAGGACAGGGGTGCTTGGGAAGCGCCCATCATCACTTGCAGGCGGGTTTTGACCACGTCTAGCGGCGCTACAAACGTGGCTGCTACAGCTCCTGAAGAAGGGTGGGTGAAAGGGTGAATGGTCAGGGGAGAGGACAGGGGTGCTTGGGAAGCGCCCATCATCACTTGCAGGCGGGTTTTGACCACGTCTAGCGGCGCTACAAACGTGGCTGCTACAGCTCCTGAAGAAGGGTGGGTGAAAGGGTGAATGGTCAGGGGAGAGGACAGGGGTGCTTGGGAAGCGCCCATCATCACTTGCAGGCGGGTTTTGACCACGTCTAGCGGCGCTACAAACGTGGCTGCTACAGCTCCTGAAGAAGGGTGGGTGAAAGGGTGAATGGTCAGGGGAGAGGACAGGGGTGCTTGGGAAGCGCCCATCATCACTTGCAGGCGGGTTTTGACCACGTCTAGCGGCGCTACAAACGTGGCTGCTACAGCTCCTGAAGAAGGGTGGGTGAAAGGGTGAATGGTCAGGGGAGAGGACAGGGGTGCTTGGGAAGCGCCCATCATCACTTGCAGGCGGGTTTTGACCACGTCTAGCGGCGCTACAAACGTGGCTGCTACAGCTCCTGAAGAAGGGTGGGTGAAAGGGTGAATGGTCAGGGGAGAGGACAGGGGTGCTTGGGAAGCGCCCATCATCGCTTGCAGGCGTGTTTTGACCACGTCTAGCGGCGCTACAAACGTGGCTGCTACAGCTCCTGAAGAAGGGTGGGTGAAAGGGTGAATGGTCAGGGGAGAGGACAGGGGTGCTTGGGAAGCGCCCATCATCACTTGCAGGCGGGTTTTGACCACGTCTAGCGGCGCTACAAACGTGGCTGCTACAGCTCCTGAAGAAGGGTGGGTGAAAGGGTGAATGGTCAGGGGAGAGGACAGGGGTGCTTGGGAAGCGCCCATCATCACTTGCAGGCGGGTTTTGACCACGTCTAGCGGCGCTACAAACGTGGCTGCTACAGCTCCTGAAGAAGGGTGGGTGAAAGGGTGAATGGTCAGGGGAGAGGACAGGGGTGCTTGGGAAGCGCCCATCATCACTTGCAGGCGGGTTTTGACCACGTCTAGCGGCGCTACAAACGTGGCTGCTACAGCTCCTGAAGAAGGGTGGGTAAAAGGGTGAATGGTCAGGGGAGAGGACAGGGGTGCTTGGGAAGCGCCCATCATCACTTGCAGGCGGGTTTTGACCACGTCTAGCGGCGCTACAAACGTGGCTGCTACAGCTCCTGAAGAAGGGTGGGTGAAAGGGTGAATGGTCAGGGGAGAGGACAGGGGTGCTTGGGAAGCGCCCATCATCACTTGCAGGCGGGTTTTGACCACGTCTAGCGGCGCTACAAACGTGGCTGCTACAGCTCCTGAAGAAGGGTGGGTGAAAGGGTGAATGGTCAGGGGAGAGGACAGGGGTGCTTGGGAAGCGCCCATCATCACTTGCAGGCGGGTTTTGACCACGTCTAGCGGCGCTACAAACGTGGCTGCTACAGCTCCTGAAGAAGGGTGGGTGAAAGGGTGAATGGTCAGGGGAGAGGACAGGGGTGCTTGGGAAGCGCCCATCATCACTTGCAGGCGGGTTTTGACCACGTCTAGCGGCGCTACAAACGTGGCTGCTACAGCTCCTGAAGAAGGGTGGGTGAAAGGGTGAATGGTCAGGGGAGAGGACAGGGGTGCTTGGGAAGCGCCCATCATCACTTGCAGGCGGGTTTTGACCACGTCTAGCGGCGCTACAAACGTGGCTGCTACAGCTCCTGAAGAAGGGTGGGTGAAAGGGTGAATGGTCAGGGGAGAGGACAGGGGTGCTTGGGAAGCGCCCATCATCACTTGCAGGCGTGTTTTGACCACGTCAAGTGGCGCTACAGACGTGGCCGCTACGGCTCCTGTAGAAGGGAAGGTTGAGGGGAGAAAAGAGGGGGAGAAGAAGGGGCAGCTTGGGGTGCGCTCATCACTTGCAGGCGTGTTTTCACCACGTCTAGCGGCGCTACAAACGTGGCTGCTACAGCTCCTGAAGAGGGCGGGACAGGGAGGTGGGTTTGTGGGGAGAAAAGGCATGAAGGGGGAACGTTCTGACTATGTCCAAGGGCGCTACGAACGTGGCCGCTACAGATCCTGTAGAAGATGGCGGGGGGAAGAGAGGGGTGCAGACCGGTGGGGGAAAACTCTTGAGCGCGTCCTGCGGTGCAAACGTGGCTGCTACAGCTCCTGAAGAGGAGGGGGGATCGTCGGGGGGAGAGCGTCTGGACCACATCCAGCTACAAACGTGTTTTGGGACGTCACAAAACGTATTGACTACGTCCAGCTACAAACGTAGCGGGTACCGTTTTCCTGAAGCACATACCACACGTCTTCCTCCGCCAAAATCCCCATTAACCATTCTTCCTCCTTGCTTCTCACCTGCGCCAGCGCCAGCCATGCCGCTGAAGAGCTTCGACCGCTGCTCCTCCGGCAACTGGGCCATCCATTTCCCCACCAGCCTTCTCGCTACCCCCTTCCCGCCATCGTCGTGCCTTCTAGTAGCCCCCTCCCCATCGTCCTGCCTTCTGGTTACCCCCTTCCCATCATCCCGTCCTGCAGCACCTGCCGACGCCAGATCGCCGTCTTTAAATCAGCCGTCCGATCTTCCAGCGCCGCTAAATTCAACCTTCCCAAGCCGTTAGATCCTGTCTTGGTATAGAGTACTTGCGCACTCCCCTAGATACAAAAATCCTTTACCGAGGCCTAATGCCGGAGTACATGGCTAGGTCCACAGTGGTTTGAATCCGTAAGGAGGGCAACCTTTTAACGCGGATGTTGCAGCAACGGACCAGCTAGAGCAGGTTCACCGGGTTTCCACTTGCATCGGCTCTGTCCACGCGTTTGAAACAGCTTACGACGGTTTGAATCTTGAAAAGTCTCAAAATACGTTGTCGGAGCACAGCTACCTTGAAACGTTGGTATTTGCGGTTGGAAGGTCCACCTGACGGAATGCGTGCTGATGAAAGTTTGTGAGTCGGCGATTCTAAGCTTCCGCAAAATGGATGGATCGCGAAGATTTTGCGAATTAGCGGTTCGGATGGATCACTAATCAAGCTAAGCTTCTTCTATGACCCCTAGATCATAGAAAAAGTACCTAAATTACGGACAGGGGGTGGTAAGGTAAGTCCCTACAACAACAATCAGTCATAATCTGGAGCTGTATGTCGAACCAGGTTGTCGGGGAGGCGAGCCTGAATCCTAGGCTCGAGATCATACCTCCGAACCTGGCAAAGGACACCGACCACCAGGTACCCAAACCAAACTGACCCCCACCAGAGCACAGTCGTGTCAAACCAGCTGTTACTGTCTGGTGATCGGTTTCAGTTCGGTTTGGTCTGGATGAGGCTTCGACTGGATGTGAGGTTCGACACAAACTGGGAGTGGGGAACTTGGAAAACATGTCTAGCGACGGCCAATGATAACACTTCAGTGGCCCCCAAGACGCCGCGTGTTTGGCCTGTTCCCGAGTGTCGCTTGATGAGTGGCCAAAGAAAACCCAATCCGCAGTTCGCTAGAGAAGACCTCATACTCGTCAAGAAAATTAACGTGTTCAATCTAGGCCTTATACATGTAGAAACATCCTACCAAATGACACTTAGGACGCGTCACCTGCTTCGATCGATAGTGCAAAATCGGGAAATATCGATCGTCCACCGCACTGAAATCCCGAATGCTGCATTTAAAATTGTTTCAAAACCTTTTTAACCTAATAAAAAATCGATCCTGCGCAGGATCGATCGAGGCAGGTGACGTGTCCTTAACCAATAATACCACCTTCTCAATATATGCTTCTAGTTTCTCATGATGTCTTTCGTTGGTGTAGTTTCTGATGACTCTCAGGATGTCCTCTAACGGATCATGGCGATTCGGACCTTCGCACAAGCCGCTCCCCACATCACTCCACCGACTTGCGATCTACTGCGCGACTGGAAAAATCGAGATGCGACTCTCTCCTTCGCCGTCATCCACCGACCGAGAACTTTCGTCGCCGAACCAGCTCCTCCAAACCAGTCGCTTCGTTCCCGAATCTCTCCCGATTTATCGGACGTGCTTTTTCAGGCATTTGTGCGTGACTTGAAGCAGGTGGGTGGGGTGCACCCTCCCCCCAGCGGGAGGGGGCTACAACAAGCTCTCGTGTAGTGTTTCGATCGGCCAAGCTGAGCCTCACGCGCCTTCAAATCGTCCACCAAACCTTCTATGGTGTTTCGCCAATTCGTCAAATCCTTAGCCTCTGTAGGTGCCCGTTTCGCCAAACGCTCACGACTTGTCGGGACTTCGCCCAACCACTCGTAAAAAATTCCTCCATTTTCAGCACCCGCGTCGCGGAGACCATTCAACACGAGCCTGCGCTACCTAGTCTGCCCTAAACCGAGCCAGGTCTCGAACCAGATTCTCAAACCCGGCCGAACCGAGCCTCCCTTCCCCCCGCTTCCCACCTTGCCAAAAACCTCTCGCCAAACCTTGTCGAACACCCCCAGCGTCCCCCCGAACCTCACCTCAAACTATTTGCTTCGATCTGTCGCTCCATCATCATCGAACCCACACCACAAGGGGCATGTGACTCACCGTCGTCGCCACTCTTCTCGCCCTCCACGCCCGCCACAACTCCAAACTGCCCCACCCGCGCAAACGAGCCGACCGAATCCGTCGACTTTCCGTCCGTCGGCTTGACGCTCCTTCTCAGCAGCGAAAAACGCGTGCAGATTCCTCCCATCACTAGTAGACAGGCAAACGGGCAGACGCCCCTTCATCCTGAGAATCAAAGCGTATAATCAGTGTGAAACGTAGCTCGCCGCGCCCCGTCTGTAAAGACACAACATTTAGTGAGCAATAGGAGTCTTCCAAGTGAAGAACTCTGCCCCTGTTTAACGACGGAGCATCGGACCTGATCGTGTGACGAGCGCTGCTGCTCCGAAACATTTTGCGAGAGTCCGAAGAATAAACATCTTATCCCGCGCAAGGAACCTCTCCTGCCGCGCCACTTCCTGCGTCGCCCACTTCCCTCCGCGCCCGCAAGTCGTGCTACTAACCCGCAGTCACGTTCGAGCTCTGAGCTAAACAGACATTGTGCGCCGACACGAACAAAAGAGCCGCCATTGAGCCGCCGTTGAGCTCGGCGAGGAGCTTTGTGAATCCCCGAAAGCGTCTTTGTGCCGCCTTTGACCTGAGGATACCCTGTCGACTGGGCAAAGGAGCCGCCTTTGAGCCGCCTTTGGCCTGAGGGTACCCTGTCGCCATGGGGTACGACGAGGAGCTTGGCGGGGCTGCGGGAATGGCGGGGACGCCGGGGTCGATATTGATGTCGGACGTGGGATCCCCGACTGCGGCCAAGGCCAAGTTGAAAGAGGTTCGTGCCGTGCCGCGCGTCAGTGCCAGAAAGCGCAGCCTTTTCCGCCTTTCGGCGTTTTAAGCCCCGTTGTTTGATAGAAATTGGGTTCTTTTCTTGTCGACATATCGCATTTCTGCTCCTTAATTAACTTCGTTGAACGAGAGTGCGACAGCGGTATGCGTATCTTCCGGCCATATTCCGTGCCCTTCCGCGCCCCGCTTCCGTGCCCTTCCCCGCCCCCCTTCCCCGCCCTTCCCCCTCCCCCCCCCCTCCTCCCTTTCCGCGCGCGTGTCATCATTTGCGCGTGGTGGTCCCCCTTACCCCGTTCTCATCCCCTTTTCCGCGCGCGCGTATGTCGTCATTTGCGCGTGGTGGTCCCCCTTACCCCGTTCTCATCCCCTTTCTTCCATTCTTTACCCCGCCCCTCTCCTTACCCGCCGTTCCCTTCCCCTTTGTTACCTTCTTCACCCCACTTCTCTCCTTACCCCCCGTTCTCTTCCCCTCGTCCAGCAGTCAGCGGCGGACCTAATGAAGGCGCAGCGGAAGGCGGAGGCCAGCGCGGGGAAGGGCGCGGGCGCGCGGCGACGAGGCTGCGGGTGGTGCGACGTGGCCGCGTGGACGGGTCTCGTGGTGTCTCTGGCGCTCGTAGGGTTCGGCCTGGCCATTCTCATCCTCGCCCTCACCTTCAACACCGAGGTGCGTCCACTCTCACTCGCCGAGTCATTCCTCTCCTCACGTCTTTTAGGGGTCTTTCTCTGCTGGAGTGGGACAACTAGTGACAAGGGACTCGCTTTATTTCGGCCTGCCGATTCTCATCCCCCGCCCTCACCTTCAAACCTCTTATTGTCCTCTGTGGTTTTAACTTTGGGCGCACGCCAGCAGGTGCGTCCATCTCTCTCCAGTCGCCTTCAACTCCTTCTCAGGGGAGCAACCTCACACCTCTTCCCTGCCTCTTCCCCTCTTCTCGTTCTTCTCGTTCTCTCTCCCCCACCCTCAACATTTTTCCCCATCATATGAATCGTGGTGGATCTGAAGCAGCTGGACCAGCCTCACCTCTTCCCCTCCACTTCCCCTCCTCTCCTCACCTCCTCCTCTTTCCCCCTACCTCCTCCCCATCATTTGCATCGCAGGACCCCAAGATTGAAATCCTCAAGGTGGACCTGAAACAGTGAAACCAACCTCACCTCTCCTCCTCTCCTCCCATCGCTTCCCCTCCCTCCTCCTCCCCACAACACATGCTGCAGGACCCCAAGTTTGAAATCCTCAAGGTGGATCTGAAGCAGCTGAACTTTGGAACTTCCGGGAACCTTCTGTTTGATTTCAACAACTTCAAAGTCAAGGCGAACGGGGAGGCGGATGTGAAGGCACTGGTGGTTAACCCTAACAACCACGAGGTGATCGTGGAGGCACTAAACGTCAACCTGAAGCTGTTCAACGTTGATATCGCCAACACTTCGGTACGTACTAGAAGCCTCACAATTTGCGTCCGCTTGTGTGCGCTGGTGGTTAACCCTAACAACCACAAAGTGATTGTGGAGGCACTGAATGTCAGCTTGAAGCTGTTGAGCGGCAACATTGCAAAAACTCGTTGTGTCCATTGTGGCCCGTACCCTTATCTTCCTTCATTCGCCTCTTCCCAACCTTAGTGCCTTACCTTACCTCTCACGTGCCTGATTGCCCCATCCAATTCCTTGACCAGGTCCCCGGATTTGAGCTCTCTAAAAAGGGAAACATCACACTGAGCATCCCATTTCCCATCAAGAATCTTCCGCTCATTGCCACTGGTAACAAGGACAACCTCATTACAACATCTCTACGGAAGGGACAAGTGGATGTAAAGGTGAGACAGTGAAGCGTGATGGCTGCTGTTATATATGTTGCTTTGCAAGTCATGCTGCAGTTGCGTGTAGGTGTATGCTTCAACTTACCTTTCCCTCTCTGGTGGATTTTACCCATCCTGCTTTTACAGCTCAATATAGACTCTAGAGGCAAGGTGAAGATTATGGGAATGACAACACCATCATACAATGTAAGTGGTTGATGTGTCGCGGATTTTTCTGTTGGTCATTTTTCAAGCAGCTTGTCATGTGTCCTTTGGTACTAACATGTTTCAAAAACATTTTGCCTCCCCATCCTTATTCCAGCTTCTCATTGCGTGCAACATTACGGTAGATCCTTTTGGAGGGGACCAGCTATTCCAACAGAAATGTTTCAAGACCAGATCAAAGGCATAAAAGAGTGGCACATTAGCTTTATATTTTGATATCATGTCTAGTGCTTATGAGTTCATATTTATTTCCAGGTTCAACTATTACGATATCAAAACGCACATTTCTTACAACCACACTACATCGCACAAGATTCCTCGAGTCACTCTACACCGTTGTTTTGAAATGTCGGTGCCCCACTGTCGGTCGCGTTTCGACTGACACCATTCCGAGTCGCGATGCTGCCAGAACCGCACCTAGGTTTCGAGGTTACCTCGCGCTCCGTCTCCAGCTGTGAACCTCCTCCCCCGCCAAAATTATACACAAATGAGGAGGTTTCTGGTGGTATGCTTTTTCTTGGTGGTGTCTTCGCAACCAATCAAATTTCCTGGTTCTGTCGGTCAACCGTTCGATGATGCCATCATTAGCCTCTGCTCCACAACGCTAGCTGTCCATGCGAAGGAGTACGAGGTTTGCGATGGGTAGGCGATGGTGGTTGGCGCAAACATCAGTTCACAGGACGCGGCACCTGTTTTCAAGTTGCCACGTTCGATCCTCGCGGGGATCGATGTGTCGGCTCTACAGTATTTTGACGACGTCTTAAAGGTTTGGTATCCTTTGTCGCATTCTTTCGTTTACGTACAGTAAATAAGTCAGCAAAAAGGTGTCACCTGTGGCTCGCAAGATCGATGAGCCTGCGCCCTCACATCGATCGTTGTTGTGAGGAGATCGGGGCAATTTTGCCCCAGAATTTTGCGATCGTGGCACCTGAGGCTCGGTGTGTCCAGGCGATCGAAAAAAGGCAGTTGAGCACACCGGTGTGCCCATCGATCGTGGCTGGATCGATGTGAGGCCACGAACACCTCCGATCGTGGCAATTTGAAAACAGGTACCGCGTCCTCAGTTTGGTACCCCTCCCCCCACTTTTCCCTTGGTACCGACCGAGGTCATCAAGTCCGCTCCCTGCCATCGTCTGGAATCGCTTTTCGCTGTCTTCACCCCCTCCAGTTGTCGCAGAGCGAGAAAACATGCTCCACTTTTCGAACCATGCGAACCCCACAGTCGCACAGCGGAAGAAAGCCGTTATGAAAGTGTTCCATCATTCCTCGCAAGAAAGTTGGTAGTACACAACACTCACACCCATCGCAACACTAGTTAGCATGCTGGTCGCAGACGTAGGTGTCTGTAACTAGCTCCTGTAGTAGCATCGCCGCTTAGCCATTTCGCCGCAAATTATCGGTGGTCCTAGGCCCTGCTGTGGCAACATAGTTCGCATTCGGTTCCCTAAGACTGGTTTGTCCAGTCTGAAAGTGCTGTGATATTCAAACAGTGCTTATCATCTGTAATATTCGGTTCTTGTACTTCCTGTCCCTGCTATTCGCATCTCGTGACGTAGCATTTGCGTTCGCAGCCATTCTCCAAATAACATCTCTTTCCTGCATCAGTACCTCCTCACTCCTCCATCCAACGTTGTCTTTTAAGTTACAATCTCATCACCGTTTCTTGTAGCACTAAAAGAACGGAGAGTCTGGCGTACGATGGGAATGAACGACTTTCTCCCAGTCAGAACTAATTCAGCACGCGTGGATCAGGAGGAGAAATACACTGACATAACTGACGACCTCGAAGAACCTTACGTACGTTAGACAAAACATATCGGCTTTAACTTCCGCATCGCTCTGTTACCCGTCGATCCCTCATACTCCTCGCTCCCACTCTTCGCTCTCCCACTTTTCGCTCTATCGCTCTGACTGTATCACACGCTTCATCACCAGTTGTATTGAAGGACGCGACGAGAGTCGCAGGCACATGTAGTACACTCTCCTCATTCGGTTCTTCACTTTTGTGACGTCTAAAGAACGGTTCCTGGTCAGTGAATTGTGCGCAATCCACGCCCGTGCCTTTCGAATTGGCTCGCTAGTCCCGATCGACGCCCGTGCTTACTTAGGGCCTAGAAGTGCGTCGCTGAGAGGATCAAACCCATAGGTTTTCTTTTCCTTCCTCATGAACTTGACTGTCTTCACTCTCTCCGCCTTCTTTTCCCCTCGTTCTTGTGCAGAAGAAGCAATACATGGCGGACGCAGCCGGCTTTGACGCGTATGAAATGGAGCAGGCAAAGCTGCAGCATCATAAGCAGCAGAAGCGCAGTTGTTGCACGTGGCAAAACATCGCCGTAACGTGCGGACTCCTCCTCTCCGTGCTAATGACTGCCGTGGGAATTGCCATGCTCGTGGTTGCGTGCACCTACAAGCCCGTGGTGAGTGTACGAAAGAATTACTTTCTGAGTACTATCATGTTACTTGTGCCATTCCTGTGTACCTAGAGCGACCTTGCGAGCAACAAAGGGTGCCAACCCCCCCATCCCCACCGCATTCTCCCCCCCACAACTTTTCAGGAGCATTTCTGCATATCTGTCTCTCTATCCGTCCGCTTTTCTTAATGTCATGCCCCAATACCTCCCTCCCCTCTCCCTCTATCCCGTCTTTCAGCCTCCCGTGATCCAGATTGAGAAGATTGACATTGTACGACTAAATTTTAACGGCACAGGCACCAACAGTGACCTAACCACTAGTCTTGGCGGGCTGGGAGCTACTATCGGGGATGCCCTCGGGAACCCGTTGGGGGGAGCGCTGGGGAATCTCGGGAGCGATCTTGGAAGTCTGCTGGCAGACCCGACCAATTTCACCCTCAATATGAACGCACTCATTAATGTTACAGCGAATGTGCTTAATCCGAACAAATATGACATTGAAGTAAAGTACCTGGACCTGTTCATCTCACTCTTCAACATAAGCGTCTCCAATGTCTCGGTGAGTTGAACTTGCACCATTTTTGCTCTCAGTTGATATTTTCACTGTTTAGGCTCACAGACACTCAGCTGGATATACCAATCATTTCTTTCACAACTCTTTTAAAACCTTCCTCTCATGTCCGTGATACTCTTGTTCAGTTGGGCGAGTTCAGGTCCCCCAGCAACCAGAACATCACCATGACACTCCCCTTGAAAATTGTTAACGTGCCGCTGGTGTCCCTTGGAAAGGATAGTGTCATTGGCAACTCCCTCATGGCTCAGAAGCTCAAGATGAAGGTTAGTTCAGTGCTGGCAAGACTCTCCTCTGTCGTGGTATTTGTTTGCCTGATTTGCTCTTTACAACTTGACATCTTGCCATGCAATTGACAGTGTTACATTGTTGTGCTGAATTATGCTTCTTGCAGATCTTAGGAGTTGCCGAAGGCAAAGCGCAGGTTTGGGCCTTCTCCTCGCCAACCTACAAGGTACGCCGAGGGGTTCGGCTTTTTATTGGCCCTTGGCGTGAATGGTTTATAAGTTGGCGCGTTGTTTGTGCGTTTTTGCTTTGCTTTGGCACTAGGTACTTTACGGCTGGATAAGAGTTCACTTAACTTTTTTTCTGGATGCAGGTTGGAGTAGTCTGCAATGCAACGGTGAGCCCTGCTGCAGGCAAGAATTCGGTGACAAGGGACTGTGTTAGCAAGGCCAAAAAGGTCTGAGATCATGGACACCCTGATCATTCCTGCACTGACTTTAAAAAGGAACCATACTATTAAAATGGTCAGGAAAATCATATCAATAAGGTTATGTACAGATCAGGATTTGTAGCTGTCACTCTTCGATAGCGAGCGTGTTTTAGCGGAACCACAGCCGTCACACGGCTTACATGCTAACATTTTTCGCTGACCAATAACAAACACGAAATACATGCTCGATTCCATGAACAGAACGCAGAGAGACAATCCTTTTCCTTTGCGATTGCCTGACATCCGCCGTCACTTCGTTTCGATCACCGAACCGAACTAGCCCTTTCGTAGGCAAAGGGGCCACTAACCAAGCCAATGTCGGTTCGGTTCACAGATACACGCACGCGCCACGGCTCCCTCCACCACACCGCAAAACAACGTTTCACAACTTTCTGTGGATGCGGTGCGGTCCAGAGCGGTCAAGCAGAACAACAGCTGAAAACCCATGTCACAAGGCGAAACGTGCCCAGCCAGCTACCCTCAAACTTTCCCCCAACATCCCTCCTCTCCCCCCAACCCTTTCTCCCCTCTTCGTTCCCCCTACCCCTACGTTTTATGCGCAACATCCACTCTGGTTACCCCATTACCTCCGCGGATGTACCCAACCACAACTCGCCGAAGCTCGGTGAGTCAAAGGGTCACCGCCGCACCGCGCACACAACATTTCCGAAGCAGGAGCACGCGTGGTTTGGTTCGATAATCGATAGCCTAGTAGGCGGTGCTTGCGAGTCGCATACTTTCCAGCTTACAGTCTCTAGCTCGCACATTCTACAGCTGGGACGCGGTATAGTACGGCGGACCGTCGCTAGCCGCGTCGTGTTCGGCGCAGGGGGATGCTTTCCGAAGCAGCTGCAAGTCTGGCTCAAGTATATAACTCTGTAGGACTAGAGGAGAGAGTTTTAGAGGTAAGACCAAGGGAGGGTTATTCGAACTGCAGGACACAGTGAAATACTGTTGGCGGTGCTGGCGAACGGCCTACGAAGTTACTCGTTTTCGTTTGAAAAATCGCGTCTTTGGAGCGAAAAGGACAAACTATCGATTTAAACGGGCAATTTCAGTATGTCGGTATTCCTCCAGCAGGCGTTTCATTAGGGGCATGAATTTGTAGCGGCTCGTCATATGTTACTAATCCTCCACAACAATTAGTCACTTCCTATCGCGATACTAGCCAATCCTCGCAACAAGATGGTGTTTTCCGCAAAGATGGCGGACGAGTCGCCCTTAGCGAAACAGGCGTCGCGCCGCTCGGATTACTCGACGGACGCTGACGCGGACGCAGCGTATGACGCTGACGTGGAGGCCGCTGCTGACGTGGATTCTGTGGTGCAGAACCAACGGGCTTTCCACCGCGACTCGGACTCAAACTCAACTGGAATCTCCGACGATGCCGATTTCGACCTCCCCGACTCGGACCGCGATGCGCTCGCGTCGCCCTCCCCCGCCCCTAAAGCCGCCGCAGAAGCCGCCGCGGCCAAGGCGAAGGCGATGGACGGAGATTCGGAGCTGGGCGGAGCGGGGGAGGACGGGGGGAAGGGGAAGGAGGAGGGCGCGGGGAAAGGGAAGGGAGGAGGCGCGGGGAAGGGAAAGCGGGGTAGAAGGTGCGGGAAGTGGGAGATCATTTGCTGGGTGGGGATTGGCGCTGGGGTTGTGATGACGGGGATTGGCCTCACAATGCTTGTCTTCTTCCTCTCGCTCACCCAACAGGTAATGATGACGCCGCATCCTAGAGTTTGCCTGGCGTATCAATCTCATTAACCTCCTCACACGTCTTAAGTTTGCCTTTCATTCTTCAAAGCGTTGCGTATGTGTTGTCGAGTGGGCCTACCATATTCTGATGCACACACACGTACATACAAAACAAACACCATGTTTCTCCCTCTTTCCCTCTCTCCCCCTCTCCCCCTCTTTCCCTCTGTACAGGAACCAGTTGTGACTGTAGAGGGCGTTGATATAGTCCGCCTGAGCATCTCAATCCCAGCCCAAAGCATCAAGATGCCGAACCTAGACCCCAGTATGGTCACCGTCCCGAACCTCGGAGGCTCCGTCCCCAGCCTTGGCAACGTGCCGAACCTCGACATTCCGAGCCTGGACCTGTCGAACCTAGACTTGAAGAACCCCGGCAGCCTCGGGAAGAGCCTCCAGGACCGGCTTTCGAATTTCGGAAAAGAAGTTTCCAATCTCGGAAAGAACGTTAGTGACATCGGCAAGAATGTGTCTCAAGAGGTCTCTAAGGCTGGGAGAAACGTTTCCAAGGAGGTATCTAAAGACATAACGCGCATCGGGGACCAGATTCAGGTGGCGATTCAGAACAACTTTGAGGGGTTGCGCGTGGATCTGAATGCGCACGTGAACGTGACTGCGAACGTGTACAATCCAAACAGCTTTGACGGAATCTTCAATTTCATGAACATGGGGATCTACCTCTTCGGCATCCACGTCTCAAATATATCGGTACGCTTGTTTTTGTTTCGTTTTTCCCTTTATTCTCTTGCTTGTGTAACTGCAGCTGCTACTGGTACTAAAAGGGATCTGCCATGCAAAAACACGCCTGCTTCAATCGTGATCGTCACATGTCTCCAACACGACTGTTCCTCTTTACCTGCTCCGCCTACCCTACCAGCTCCCAGCGTTTGAGGTGGGCAAGAAGCAGACAAAGATCGCCACCGTGCCGATCGTGGTGAAGAGCTTCCCGCTCATTTCCACGTCGTCGTCAGCGCAAGTCAGAAGCCCCATCGCTACTGCTCTGAGGGAGCGCAAAATAAAGATGCAGGTATGAGTCAAGGCAGGCAGTAAGGGTGTGAAGGGGCATACAGGCATGGGTACGAGCCAAGGCATGCAAATAAGGGCTTGCCGCTGCCCTCCACCATGTCGTCAGCCCAAGTCAGGAGCCCCATCGCCACTGCTATGAGGGAGCGCAAGATCAACATGTAGGTACAGCCTTGACCAGAGGTATGAAGATTAGTTAGTTCTGAGGCTTCTCAATAGCTGCTGCTGTGCGGGAGCAGAGAATCTTTGTGTAGGTTTCACCTTGGATAAAGGTATAAGGCCGAGTCAGCACTCCTGCGTTGTGAAGGTGTGCTTACACTGCAGATGCAGCCGGAAGGAACGGACAGTATCAAATGCAACAACTTTCTCGTTTCTTCACTCATTGTCTCCCCTCGGTTATAACTGATCCTTCCCTTCATCTCTTCCACTTTCTGCATCAGGTCTTCATCAGGGGACAAGGCAAAGTAGTGTTGTGAGTAAATTACTAATCTTTCATCCCCTCCCTTATTTCTTCTCACATCCTTTCATCATCCTCTCCCCTTTCTCATTTCTCCCTTGCTCTCTGCATCAGACCTTTATCAACACACAGGGCAGAGTGAGGGTATGGGGAATTTCCTCTCCCACATACAATGTGAGTATAGTGGGGGGCACGGTAACTGATAGCGCACATTTCACGAGAGCGCAATAAGATTGTATGCGAGTGTTGTAAGGGATCTGGGAGTATGGGGGATCTCCTCTTCCTCATACAATGTGAGTTTAGCGGTGCACACAGGAAGTGCACTTATTGATAGGGTGGGTGCAGTGAATGTGTGTGAGAGGTGTAAGGGAGTATACAAAAGACATCCTCGTGTTATATGCAGCGAAGCCGTTATGGCGCTTGATAGGTCAATACACATCTTTCACACGATTTTTCCTCTATCGAATGCCTTGTTACAGGTCACTGTGATGTGTGTCATGACGGTGGACCCGAGTGCGGACGTTATGACCAAGAAGGAATGTGGAGCCAAGCCTATCAAAGTTTAGTTTGTTTTCTTTAGTGTGTTCAGTACCTTCCGTGCAAGCTGTTGAGTAGGAAATCATTACATTACCTAGCTGTATCACCATCTATTTATGCTGTCTCAAATTTGCTGCCGCTCAAGTTAATATATACACTGCTAAGAATGATGTAAGTAACAGTGCTAATGAAATCACGTCTTTGCGTTTTGAGATTTTCTGTTTGAATCACCCTGGGGTGGGTCGTTGAAAACCGACTTCTGGGCGATCCAATTCGCCATCGTAGATCTGGTCGCAACCGTCGTCGAAAATCGTCAAATTCGGTCACACCGTGGTTGTGGGGTTACAGCCGTCACCTGATGGAATGCGACCAGCCATGTCGCCCCAACAACTCCACCAGCCAATTACATGAAAACGTTGGCTCGCGACACGATTCGTCGCTGCTGATTGGCAGCCAGTTGCCGAAATCAGCCGAACCATCTTCCTCCATGCTGGAAATGTTTAGCCATTTGCAGTTCAAGGAGAGATTCTTCCACGGCCTCTTAGCTCAGTGCTTTGATCAAAGAGTTGCTTAACTACGTTTTCTCACGGGAGTGCCATCCGAGGCTTGGCTTAACAAAGTGCTTTTAGAACTTGCAATTCCGCTGAGACACATCCTGCAATGTCCACCCCACACCACACGTTTGTGTGTTTGGGCAACAGTACACAGGTCTCCCAGGCACCGACATGATAAACGCGTGATTTTCCCTCAAGATAGATTAGTGACAACGTAGGACAGACAGGGCCTTCCTGTAGTTAATCCCTTTCGCCACGTTTAGTACGGTCGCTCCGCGCCACGAAAACGTAGCTGGTTCAGTACGCCACAAGCGCCGGCGTTTGCTCCTTGTTTCTTTTTTCTGCTGCTGGTGGCGGGCTTTAATAGCTAATGTCAATCCTCGCGTCGCTCAGTCTAGCGTTGAAGAGAAGGCTCTGAAATATTCTCTTCGTGGAGGCGAATGTTTCGATTTTGGTAAATGTCAGGCGCTCCTTCAGTGCATCCTGCTTGCACAGAATAGAGGATCAATACAGTGTACTGACACGTAGCACGAGAGTCTCTCGCGACTGACACGTGGCGCTGATGGCGCCGCACCCTGAGCGACCATCTTCGTGGGAGGACGTGGAAGCAGGACAGAGGAACCTCGTTACTGCCACGGTGGAGGGAGAACGAGCTGACGTGGCAGGCGACGCAGATGACGTGGTCAACCAAAAGGCACTCGTACGTGTTTCCACAACAGACGTCAACGCTTCCCGCGCCCCTTTTCCCCCTCACCCTCCAGTCCCTCATTCTCCGCATCATTCTCCCGTTCCCCCTCCTCATCCCCCAGACTCTTTCCTCCGCGGTTCGGAATCCCTGGACCGTGACCGTTGGAATGTCCTCTGCAGCGCTATTCTCCGCAGCGCATTCCGCTGGAACACCGTACGATGCGGTGCTGTCATTCCGAACCATCGTAGCCGTTCGTTTCGCACTAAATCTGCAGGAAAGCGCCGCCGTAACAACGACGCGGGCGTCGGGATTAGGAATGTCGCGGCTGGATGCAACAACCGCATGCGTGCGGCATTTCAGACGTCTCAGAACGAGACACGCGGCGGACGACGGAATCTGGAATGCCACGCCTGGTTACCACCGTCGCCAGCGCGCGACATTTCAGACGTCGCAGAACGAGACACTCGAACGCAACAAAGACAGACGGATTTCCGGATACCGCGACATCCGAATTTCTGAGTGGCATTACTGTTTTTCAGCCGCCTCGAAATCTCGGCGATTGAAACGCGGGGACTCCTCCGCTCCCCCCGCTCTTCCGCTCCCCCTTCCTCCTCCCCCCCACCTCCCTTCCCCCCCCCCCCCCCCCCCCCGCCCCCCTTCCCGGTTTTCGACCAATTTTAGAAACATCTCAAAAGGGCCTCTCCTATCCCTGTTTCCCCTCTCCCAGACAGCCGAACAGGCAGTCTTCTCCGCCTATCTGAAATCAAAGAGGCAGAAAGGCGGAAGGCGCGGAAGAGGCGCGCGCTGCTAGCGGGAGGAGTACGCTCATCCCCCTCTCTCTCCTCCGCTTTCGCCCCCCACACTACCCCCCTCCCAGTCAGCCGAACAAGCAATCTTTCTTCGCCTGTCCGAAATCGAGGAGGCCGAGAGGCGGAAGGTGCGGAAGAGGCACGCGCTGCTAGCTGGGGGGGACAGCGCTCATCTCTCTCGCTCTCCCCCGCTCCTGCCCCCTCTTTACCCCCTTCCCCCTCCCACTCCTCCCCCGGCAGTCAGCCGAGCAAGCCATTTTCCTGCGCCTGTCCGTAATCGAGGAGGAAGATAGGAAGAATGTGCGGAAGGGGTGCGCATTGCTAGCGGGGGGGTCTGCGCTCATCCTCCTCGCTCTCCCCCCCTCCTGCCCCCTCTTCACCCCCCTCTTTCCCCCTTCCGCAGTCAGCCGAGCAAGCCATTTTCCTACGCCTGTCTGAAATAGAGGAGGCAGAACGGCGGAAGGCGCGGAAGAGGCGTGCGCTGCTAGCGGGGGGGGCTGCGCTCATCCTCCTCGCTCTCCTCCCCTGCTGCCCCCTCTTTATTCCCTTACACACCCCCACCCCTACTTCCCTCCCCCCCCCCCCCCTCTCGACCCCTGCAGTCAGCCGAGCAGGCCATTTTCCTCCGCCTGTCTGAAATCGAGGAGGCAGAACGGCGGAAGGTGCGCACGAGGCGTGCGCTGCTAGCAGGGGGGGCTGCGCTCATCTTCCTCGCTCTCCTCCCCTGCTGCCCCCTCTTTATTCCCCCCCACCCAACCCTCCCAGTCAGCAGAGCAGGCAATCTTTCTGCGCCTATCAGAAATCGAGGAGGAAGAGAGGCGCAAGGTGCGCAAGAGGCGTGCGCTGCTAGCAGGAGGGGGCGGCGCTCATCCTCCTCACTCTCCTCCGCTCCCGCCCTTTCTTTTCCCCTCTCACAGTCAGCCGAGCAGGCCATCTTCCTGCGCTTATCAGAAATCGAAGAGGATGAGAGGCGCAAGGTGCGGAAGAGACGTGCGCTGCTAGCAGGGGGGGCTGCGCTCATCCTCCTCGCTCTCCTCATAGCAGCAGCGGTCGCTATTGGCGTGACAGCTAGCAAGAAAAAGTGTCAAGAATCCGCGGACCAATCCAGCAACGCCACGCCAGCAGACGCGATGCTGACTCAGCAGCAGCAGGAGCAGCAGGGGGAGTTGGTAGGGACGGTGCAGATTGGGGGAAGGTGGGGGGATGTGAGCACTGTTGTTGCTAAGCTTGACATTCAACCCAACACCAACGGCGTTATCTCGGCAAACGGAGGAGGCGCCACCTCATCATGGGATGCTGCCACGTGGCAGCCGTCTGGGGGTGCCGTGGAGGACACGTCAGCAGTGCAGCAGCTGGCGAATCCGGAGCTGACACCTGTCGATGGACGAGTGTTTGGCATGGGAGTGGGGAGCGGGGCAACCACCGATCCGTATGACTACTTTGCAGACTCACCACCACCACCATCAACACCAGCAGCATCGCCACCACCCCCACCATCACCAGCAGCACCAGCATCGCCACCACCGTCACCACCAGCAGCAACCCAGGCGCCACCAGAAGCCCCAGGCGCAAATTCGGGCTCCTCGGGACCTACGGATATCCTAAGCCGGATTGCGGCGCTTATCAAGGTAGGCAAAGTCGGCTATCAAGGTCGTCCTTGTGTGCCTTATGGATCAGGAGGACGAGAGCAGAAGTGCGACCCTGCCTGCCTGACAAAGGTAGGCCCGAGTTCCACGCTGAAGAAGAATCACAGAATCTTGGTTGTTTCAGGCCCGGACTCTTGGAGCTTCAGCCTTGAGCCGTTCACGGAAATCCAGCGCCACAATTTCCTTGCCTTTTCTTCTAACAAGCCTCGATCGTCCTTCTTCCCGAATCTGTCTTCCCAACCAGCCTCCCGACCTGTCAGTGCAAGGAGTGCCCAGATTCCTGGAGTTTCAGCCTCGAGACGTTCAAGGAGGTCAGCCTGGAACCTTATCTCAAACCTGTTTCCTGTACCGACCTGCCCTGTCCTGTCTTCACACCCTACCAGCCCCCCGACCTGTCAGTGCAAGGCGTCGACTTCCAAAACGGCCATCTGTCCGTCTCAGGCCCAGACTCCTGGAGTTTCAGCCTCGAGCCGTTCAAGGAGATCAGCCTCGATCTTACTCCTTTTTTCTAACATGTCTCCCAAACCTATCTCTCCCCAAACCCATCCAGCCTCCCGATCTGTCAGTGCAAGGGGTGGACTTCCAAAACGGCCACCTGTCGGTATCAGGCCCGGATTCCTGGAGTTTCAGCCTCGAGCCGTTCAAGGAGGTCAGCCTGGATCTGACGGCGCTGATCAACGTCGCGGCGGTGGTGTCGAATCCGAACCCCATCGAAATCATCGCGCAGGAGGTCAACATGGACGTCAGCTTCTACAGCGTCGACGTCGGCTACGCTAACGTGAGATTCGCGTTTCCCGTGTGGAACAAGGCTCAAAATTTCTCCCTTGTGTGCGGTTCAGTAGGTTTCCACGCGGTAAGAAGAGGTTTCAGCTTGTTACCGCTCTGGACCGGACTGCATCAAACAGAACTAGCCGTGAGTTGAAACTGAATGCGCGGACACCCAACCAGTGACCAGTCCCCCTAAGCCGAATCCGAACCCCATCGAGATCATCGCGCAGGAGGTCAACATGGACGTCAGCTTCTACAGCGTCGACGTCGGCTACGCTAACGTGAGATTCGCGGTTCCTGTGTGTAAATAGATTCGAAATTTCTCTCTTAGGTGCGTTACAGTAGGTTTCAACGCGGTAAGCAGCGCTTCTGCTTGTTACACCTTTGGACCGCGAGGCACCAGACAGAACCAGTGTGATTCGTGAAATGAAAATGTACGTGCACACCCAACCCAGCTTCCCCTGAGCCTCGGCCTGACTCCGCTGATCAACGTGCCAGCGGTGGTGTCGAATCCGAACCTTGGGATCATCGCGGATGTCAATGTGGACGTCAGCTTCTACAGTATCAGAAGTTTACTTTCTTACACATTTATCTCCACAAAACTCCCCAGCTGCTGCAATCCCCCCATATTTTTCCTCCTGCTTCATGCATGTGCAGATACGTGACTTTCTCATGGAAAAGCAACTCAGTTAGTGGTGGCGTTTCCAGCATTATAATAACCTTCGCAACCCCCTCACGTGATTCCGACGCTGAATGTATGTGCATGCAGATTCCAGACTTCACACTCCCTGCCAACAGCAGCGCCACCATCACTGTCCCCTTCAACATAGATAACTTCCCACTGCTCTCCTTCTCGGACCAGAGCCTTATCACGGGCTCCATTGCGAATGGCGAGCTCGAGTTTCAGGTGGGTGAATGGGCTGGCTAAATGCTGCAACTTACACTCGGGCACTAGGGCACTTCCAGCTGCTATCCGTCTCTGACCAGAGCCTTATTACAGGCTTGTTCACCAATGTGGAGCAAAACTTTCAGGCTGGTTACAGAACAAGCACTCCACCGTACCAGTGGGTGCATTACTTGTTGTATGCTGAATGTTTTTTTTCACCAGATTCATGTGTATAGGCGTTTTTTACTAACGAGTGCTTTTGTGTGGGTGTGTGCGTGTGTGATTTGGTAATGTTCCTACAGGTTGTGATTAATTTGAAGGCCAGGACTCGGATCCTTCAGAGCCTCACACCAGCTTTCAATGTAAGCACACAAAAGCATTAATGCAACACATGAACACAACACCATACACCCACCACTGTACAAACATGCACACACCACCATACACACACCACTATTTTGACACGCATACACCACCATGCACACAACACTTGACACACACCACCATGCACCCACCACCACGCACACACCACTATAAACACACCCCTATGCACACACCGCTATGCACACACCCCCATGCACACACCACCATGCGCACTCATGTCAATTGTTTTGCACATCTACCTAATCCTTATGTGCCCTCCCCTCTCCTGTCCTGTCTTGTATTCCACCACGACTCGTCATTCCACATTCCAGGTTCAATTGGTGTGTAACGCGGTGGTTAACCCTACACAAAATAATGTGCTTTCCAAGTCATGCAGCACGAATATTGCCACATGACAAGCCAGCAATGACTCATTCCAAGCAGAGGCTTGTGGTAGCGAGTAACGACTCGTTACTAGCAGGGGCTTGTAGTGGCGGGTAACGACTCGTTACAAGCAGTGGGCGACACCTCAAGAAGGCAATGGCTTGTTGCCATCTCGGTTCTATGAACAAAATGGTATGCTGTGCCATGTGTGCACCAGGGGTGCATTTGTTTCCATTTATTCTGGTGTACTATTTGCATTCAATTATGGTTGCTATGTAAGGCTGCTCTCATTGAAATGTAACGGGCTTGATCATTGGTACCGGTGTTCTTATTGATGTATCTCCACCATTAATAACAAAATCTGATGCCCACCTGGCTGTCCACATATTCCAAAATACAGTCGGGCATATCTGTGTTGGTAGTACCGTATTACCCCGGATTGAAGCGCAGGTGTGCTTATAATAAAACAGTGTTTTTTGGAGGGGTGGGCTTCTAATTGAGGTGTCTGCATAAGCGCATGCGCGTATAATATGGGAAAAAATGAAATTCACTTTTAAACATACTAAACTGAAGCCCGCAATAAGGCGAATCCAACGGGCCATGCTGCACGTGGGTTCGTGCATGGTTTTCAGGCAAAAACAGCCGCGGTGCGGTTTCCCACCGCACAATGCTGTCTAGAAGCATCGAACGTGACAGCACTGACGGGGATGTTGCAGTGCGGCCCAATCACAGCCGCATGCGCTGCCACGCAGGTGCATTTCTTTCGAACCCTCTCGAAAGGTGGGCAAGATTCCGTGCCAGCGCAGCGGATATGCTGCCACGCAGGTTCCTCTACGGGGCCAGGCGGGGGAACCCTGCCTGTCATTGACGAGGACCCCACGCCGCTAGCCCGCAAGGGTCCCCGTCGTTGCCCATTTGTGCACCCTCGTCTTCATTTTTTCATTCAGTTTCTAGTCTAGCCCGCCTGGCTGGCGAAGCCATGGCGGAATTCAGTGGGATGCACTTTCTGTTCAAGAAGAAACCACCACGGCCATGGCGACTTACCGCGGACGGGTGGTATACCCGTGAGCCACCATCGCCTCCTGTGCCACCTGCACCACCTGCACCGCCTGCTCCGCCTGCTCTCCTGTACCTCCTGCTCCTCCTACTCCTCCTGCTCCTCCGAATCCTCCGAGTCCTCCTGTTCCTGACCCGAATTCCCACCAGCGGCCCGTGCTCCAGCTTTACTTGCCAGCCACCTTCGACGAGTGGCTGTCTGAACCGGGCCCCCCAAGGCTCCCGATGTGGTCGTCGCTGCTCCGCCGACTGCCCCGCGGTGGGGAAATCCGCAGGATTGCACGTGGGACGAGTCGGCCGTGGGCGCCGACGATGACGTGGCCGCCGATAAACAACCCACCCGCGACGGCAACGCGGAAGGCGGCTGTGGAGGCGACGGTGGAATCGATCTTGAAGAGGGCGCCGAGGAGGACGTCTTCCCCGATCGTGAGGCCGCCGACGACGACGGCGTCGAATCTTGGTGGCGCGACGCACCACGCGCGAAGATGCCAATACCAACGTATCCGCCCGTTAACAAGAAACGACCCCACCCCTCCTCTGAGAACCGAGATGCCCACCCCCCCTCTCACAGGCACAAGATGACTCTACACAAACGGCAGCGCTACACCGCCCAGGAGAAACTGAAGTGGCTCATACGGCTGGAGCTTGCGGCATCGATAAGCGAGGTCGCGCGGGAGTCCGGCATACACCGCAAGTGCCTCACGGAGTGGAAGAACCAAGCGGAGGAGCTCAAGGCTGCACACGGCGCTCGGTGTCGACTTTACGGGCGCGGAAGGTCGTCCTGGTATAGACCCATGGAGATGAAGGTGTACGCCCAACTCCTGGACTGGCGACGCCGCGGTGTTGCAGTATCTGTCGGCCGGCTGCAAGACTGGTCAAAAGAGGTGATGAAGGTCCTGTTCCCGGACGTCAAGTGGAAGGCGAGTCAGCGCTGGACGGAGCGGTTCCGCAAGCGGTGGAATCTCACCGTGCGCATGAAAACAAAGGTGGCACAAAAGACACTGCAGCGTAAGTGCCCGTCCGTGCTCCTGTCATCCTATCTTGATTATCTTGCTTGAATCTTTGTACTTTCTTGCCCATGCATGTTTATTTGCCGCGGTGCTCATCCGCCTTTTTACCCGTCCCTCCCTCCCCTTACGCAGACGTGGCGGAGCAGTGCAAGGAATTCTGGCAGTACGTCCGCGACGCACGCCACGAGTACGACATCGACAACCGTTACATCATCAATGCCGACCAGACGCCTCTGTGGCTGGAGATGCCGGCGACAACCACGGTGCAGCAGATGGGAGTGAAGTCGGTGCCCATCCGCAGCGGTGGATACCAGATGGAGTGAGTCACTATGATGCTGGCGTGCACAGCGACGGGCGAGAAGTTGAAGCCGTGGGTGTTTTTCAAGCGCAAGACCCTCCCAAAGGGAGACTTCCCGCCTGGTAAGAAGCTGAAGTCGATGCGCGTGTTCCCGAGGGGTAAATCTAGATTATATTCTAACCACCGCTTGCTTGTATGCAGATGTCGTGGTCGGCTGCCAAGCTAACGGGTGGATGGAGGCCTCGGGCGTCATCGAATGGCTCGCGAAAGGCGCGGTGCCGTTCCTGAAACCAAAGTTCGGAGTGCAGAGCCGTAGCGCCATGCTGGTGCTCGACTCCTACCGTGGTCACCTGACCCCCGAAGTCAAGAAGAAATTCGCGGAGCTCAACATCGTACCGGCGGTCATCCCGGCGGGATGCACGGCAGACCTGCAGCCGCTCGATGTGTCGGTCAACAAAAGCTTCAAGGCGAGTGTTCGGCAGCAGTACCAGACCTGGTTCGAGCAGGACGGCATGAACATCCTGACCCCCGCAGGTACGCAAAGTGTTCTCCCGTGACCTTTTCATCTGCTTGTCTGCCTGCGTATGGACTCACGTTTCCCACCCCCGTGTTTGTGGTGCAGGGAACATCAAGAAACCACCTCCGGAGGTGGTGCTCAAGTGGATTTCACGGGCGTGGAAAGCCGTGCCCGCCGAACTGATTAAGAAGTCGTTCCTCACCTGCGGCATCAGCAATGCCCTTGACGGAAGTGAAGACGGACTGGTGCTGGCGCACCGGAGAGCTCAGCTGTCCCACGAGGTAGAGGTAGATGACGACGTCCAAGCAGACGGCTTTCTTGGCAACAACTCCATGGAGCCTGAATCGGACGAGGAGTAGGCCTTAGGCTAGAGTGACATTGAAAATGATGTGTAGGCTAGAAATCAAGTCAAATGTATTGGTAGTTTTAGTTAAAATTGTTAGCTAGTTTGTATTTAGTGAAAAAAACCAACGGTAAAAAACTTGTTCTACAACAGGGGTACGCTTATAATAAGTAACGATTTTTCAGGGGGTGCGCTTATAATTGAGGATCGGCCATAAGCGCATTGCTCCAGATAAAAGCGCATGCGCTTAACATAGGCCTGCGCTTCAATTCGGGGCGATACGGTACCATATGTACAAATGTACAGGAATTACACACTAGGGCCAGAACCTTAGCTAAGCTTTGAAACTGAAATGTTAGACGATGCACTGTAGTACTGTTCTACAGTGATGTGCCTGGGTCCACCAAACCCGTCAATGAGGAAGACATTAGCGAGGACAAGCTTGAGCACTTGAAAGTGATGGTCCTTGGGCCACGCTGCGGGAGAGGGGAGAGAGAGAGCCGGCCGGAGGAAACACCAATGGTCTCAAAATCCAGGTCACGGGAAGAATCATAGAAGGCATGGAATTAGGAAAAGGGAGAATACTGTGTTTTGGTGGGGGGAGGAAGTAGAGGATGGGAGTGGGCGAGAGTGCATCAGCTGGAAAGAGAAGCCTTACTCTGCATCTCGGGGTGTCGAGTGAAGAGGGAGTGTTTGGCGAACGAGAGCTCTTCAGCGTCAAAAACTCGACGCAGCTTAAGCAGATGAGAGGACGAGAGAGGGGAGGGGGGGGAGGGGGTGAATGGGGATGGGGAAGGCAGTTGAGTGACAAGAGCGCGTTTGGCAAACGAAAGCTTGCACTTGGTGCAGATGAACGGATGAGAGCACAAGGGGATGACATGGGGATGGGATAGAAGGGGGGCACTTGAAAGGGTTTCTGGTAGTGAGTATACTAGTCAGCATCGGAGGGTGAGTTCGGCGAACGAGAGCTCTTTGGGGTCAAGCACTCGATGCAGCTGAACAGATGTGAGGATCGGCATTGACATGGGGGGTTGACATGGGGGGTTACTTTGCATGGGGGATTGGCACGGGGATTGCATGATAATCTCAGAACTTCACATGATAATCTCAGAACTTCACATGATAATCTCAGAACTTCACATGATACAGCGTTCATTAAATTTGTGTGTCACATGATAATCTCAAAACTTGACATGATAATCTCAGAACTTCACATGATAATCTCAGAACTTCACATGATAATCTCAGAACTTCACATGATAATCTCAGAACTTCACATGATAATCTCAGAACTTCACATGATAATCTCAGAACTTCACATGATAATCTCAGAACTTCACATGATAATCTCAGAACTTCACATGATAATCTCAGAACTTCACATGATAATCTCAGAACTTCACATGATAATCTCAGAACTTCACATGATAATCTCAGAACTTCACATGATAATCTCAGAACTTCACATGATAATCTCAGAACTTCACATGATAATCTCAGAACTTCACATGATAATCTCAGAACTTCACATGATAATCTCAGAACTTCACATGATAATCTCAGAACTTCACATGATAATCTCAGAACTTCACATGATAATCTCAGAACTTCACATGATAATCTCAGAACTTCACATGATAATCTCAGAACTTCACATGATAATCTCAGAACTTCACATGATAATCTCAGAACTTCACATGATAATCTCAGAACTTCACATGATAATCTCAGAACTTCACATGATAATCTCAGAACTTCACACGATAATCTCAGAACTTCACACGATAATCTCAGAACTTCACACGATAATCTCAGAACTTCACACGATAATCTCAGAACTTCACACGATAATCTCAGAACTTCACACGATAATCTCAGAACTTCACACGATAATCTCAGAACTTCACACGATAATCTCAGAACTTCACACGATAATCTCAGAACTTCACACGATAATCTCAGAACTTCACACGATAATCTCAGAACTTCACACGATAATCTCAGAACTTCACATGATAATCTCAGAACTTCACATGATAATCTCAGAACTTCACATGATAATCTCAGAACTTCACATGATAATCTCAGAACTTCACATGATAATCTCAGAACTTCACATGATAATCTCAGAACTTCACATGATAATCTCAGAACTTCACATGATAATCTCAGAACTTCACATGATAATCTCAGAACTTCACATGATAATCTCAGAACTTCACATGATAATCTCAGAACTTCACATGATAATCTCAGAACTTCACATGATAATCTCAGAACTTCACATGATAATCTCAGAACTTCACATGATAATCTCAGAACTTCACATGATAATCTCAGAACTTCACATGATAATCTCAGAACTTCACATGATAATCTCAAAAACTTCACATGATAATCTCAGAACTTCACATGATAATCTCAGAACTTCACATGATAATCTCAGAACTTCACATGATAATCTCAGAACTTCACATGATAATCTCAGAACTTCACATGATAATCTCAGAACTTCACATGATAATCTCAGAACTTCACATGATAATCTCAGAACTTCACATGATAATCTCAGAACTTCACATGATAATCTCACAAACCCAACCCACGACCTCACACCTCTCCCGAAAGGGTCAGCTTGGCGCAGAGCGGGCTTTCCGGGTCCGAGTCACCGCATGTGCCAAGAGGCAGGGTGATCACTTCTAATAAAACACACTACTTCAGAAATTCACCACACATCCACCTCAGAATATCATACCTCTCCTGAAAGGGTCAGCTTGGCGCAGAGCGGGCTTTCAGGGTCCGAGTCACCGCATGTGCCGAGAGGCATGGCGCTGACAGCCAATGAGGCGCGAGGATCCGATGCCACGTCAGCAGCAGAGGGATCCAGCGGCGTGAGATAAAAGTAGGGCGTCCCTGGGATGGGAGATAAGACGCAGAGAAGAAACGCGCAAGGCGAGGCTAAAGGTGTGGAAAGCAGGTTGTGGTGAAAGAACAACCTGCAGGGTTGAGAAATGATTGCATGTAGAGAGAAAATATAGCTGCAGCAGCTACATGGGGAGTACGTGAGTGGACGGGGAAGGGGGTGGGAAATACAAAAGGCGACTATTAGCAAGTGGGGAGGGGTTACAACTCTAACTTTATCTGTTTTTGAGGAGCCAAAAAAAGCACACCTGAGTAATTGCCAGGAACTCCATCACTGAGAGGAATTTTGAGGCACCTCAGGAATTGCCTCCATTATGTCAGGAATTGCCTCCATCATGTCAGGAGTTGCCTCCATCATGTCAGGAGTTGCCTCCATCATGTCAGGAGTTGCCTCCATCATGTCAGGAGTTGCTTCAAGATGCGCTTCAAATAACAAAAGCACACCTGTGTAGCTGCCAGGAACTCCGTCACTGAGAGGATTTTTTAGGCACCATAGAAATCGCCTCAAGAGGCGCCTCAAATAGAGGAGCCTACAAAACACACCTGTGTAGTTGCCAGGAACGCCGTCACTGAACGAAACCACGTTGCTGAAACGATGGGAACCACAACGGAAAAGGAATACAGGCAGAGAAATTGAATTAAGTTCGAACGGCATAAAACGACACTCTGACATCTTCAAATATTTTTCTTTATCTTCAGAAACATAGAATATGCATCTGTTGTCGTCTATGCAATAAACTACTCACCCAAACGGCGAGCCGTCAAGGCGCCGAGAAATGGTGCTGCATGCAAGATTTCAAGGGAAGAGCAGGTGCATGAAAATTGAGAGGTGAGCATACAACAGAGAATACGGTAGTTCCTTCTTAGACAATATAAAGAGCCTTCCCTTTTGAGTCAATCAGTAGTCACAAAATGTTCGTCGACTCAAATCTTCTGTTACTCGCAATATTGGGGTGTGTGTGTATGGGGTGGGGGGAAGGGGGGGGGGGGGGAGAGAGAGTGAGAGAGAGAGAGAGAGAGAGAGAGAGAGAGAGAGAGAGAGAGAGAGAGAGAGAGAGAGAGAGAGAGAGAGAGAGAGAGAGAGAGAGAGAGAGAGAGAGAGAGAGAGAGAGAGAGAAACCTGCAAATCTTGATTAAAACGGGAATATATTGTGCTAAATGATCTCAAGTATGCTTCTCATGTGTCAGAATTCTCCACCAGCGACCTCTACTGTCCAACTCCTAGGCATCTACGTGTTTCCCACCATTCTCGTGCCCCCAACGGACTGTGCCCCCGTATGTTGACCCAATCCCATACTCCCCCCCCCCCCCCCAGTGATTTGCGCCCCAGAATCAGTCCCCGTGTTTTCAGCCAACCCACCTGAGAACTCCCCAAGTGCAGCGCGCAACCATCCATCGCGCGACCTCAGCCGGATCCTCCCCCCCCTGGCTTGATAATCCCGTCAACTTATCTCCCACGCTGATATGATCACCCTTTCCGCTCCGAATCCTCGGCAACTTGTCGACCGGTCCGTGATATTCACCCTTGCCGTAGTTAATCATATTCTGACGACGCGACGTGTCGCCAGGCGTTGCGAAGCGTCGAATATTTGCGCCTCGAAGCAGATTCTTCCAGCTACTAGTATATGCTGCAGAACTGGCGGAAGCAAGAAATAAGACGGCGATGAGCAGGAACATGAGAAAGGGAAATCTTGGGAAATATCGCGTGCTGAGACGTAAGCAGGACATCGTGATATATTTACGCCCCGTAAAAAACGGACAGATTCCTGCGCTGCAAACGGCGGCAAAATTCTTCGCAAATGACGGCTGAAATTACTGCACGGTGAAATCTGCTGCTGATGTCCCTGCATAGTAATACAAAGGGGAGGGGAGTGAGTTATACTCGTTTTTGAGTGACCTCGTCATATTCGAAGTAATAACAGGATACACCTGGAATCGGAGCGGATTGTGAGTTGCTGAAAACGTTTTCGAAGAATTCCCACTTCCTAACTTGACCACCTGCCCGACCACCACCCATTCCCCCTGGTCCGCTACTAGCCTCCGCCAATGCCCACCGATTTCTTCTTTTTCCCGGTCGTCCCCATTCCCCTGCCTCCACTCTTCCGCCCAACCAGCTGCGGACCGACTCAGACCGTTGCTTTCACCTCTCGTTCCGCGGTTTTTACAGGCGCGTTACGTTCGAGAACGGTAACAATGAAATTTATCGTTTGTACCTTGTGCCCGAGCGAAGCTGACAGGCAGCTATTTCTGCTAAGGAAGTTCCTGAGTCCACAGCACTGTAGCACCTTGTACTTGCTTGACCAACTTTGGCTGGCGGTACGCTCGTTAGTTAGCCATAGGTCGTCATTCTTTACGCGTAACGACTTTTAAATCGCATTAAACGAAACCGTCACGGCTACATCTTCACGCCGAACAGGCTTCCGTAATCAATTTCTACCTTGAAGACGTAGTCCACCTGTAATTCCCGAGATGCCGTCCAGATCGCCGTCGCCCCGCAGGCGGAGCCCCGCTCCGTGGAGTCGCAGCCGCAGCCCTATCCGCAGTCCCGTTAAGCGGCGAAGCCCTAGTCGAAGCCCGGTACGGGGTCGCAGCCGGAGTCCGATTCGCAGGCGCAGCCGAAGCCCCGTCAGGAGCCGGAGTCCCGTTAGAAGCAGAAGCCGGAGTCCTTATAGGCGTCGCTCCAGGAGTCCTATAAGGGGGCGGAGCCGGAGTCCGCCGTTCAGGCGCGCGAGCCCCCCGATGCGGAGCCCTCGGCCACGGAGCCCCGAACCAGAGTACGCCGCATAGGGACATACTCGCATTCGTTATTATCGCAGTCACACCTTACTCATCGTTCCCCTTTTTTTTTCCCGCTTGCTACAAGCTCGTTGATTTCCTGCTCATCTCGCAACCTCGTTGCTACAAGAGTTCACGAGCGACCTTCTCCTTCAGAAACCTTCAGACCCGCCTAATCTTACGGCATTTCTAATTTTCCTCCCTTATTTCGTTCTTATTGGTTTCAGCGACGAGGCGAGGAACCCTGGAAACAACCTCTACGTGACCGGCCTGTCCATGCGGACGACAGAGGTGGAGCTGGAGAAGCATTTCTCCAAGGAAGGAAAGGTATTTCCACTGCTTCATGGAACTCTTAATGCCGGTTTATTTTTCCTACAACAACCGTGGAGTCGAGTTCTGATCAGCCCTGCCTTTTGCCGCATATATTAAGCGTAACTCGTTTAATTCAATGCTTTTTTTTTTTGGTTGAACGTGTTTCGCTTTCTGCAGGTGGCGGAGTGCAGGCTCGTCCTAGATCCGCGCACCAAGGAGTCGCGCGGCTTCGCGTTCGTCACCATGGAGAACATCGACGACGCGCGCCGCTGCCTCAAGTACCTCGACCGCTCCATCCTTGAGGGCCGCGTCATCACCGTCGCGCTCGTACGTTCGGCACCGACTTACGAAACTTTCCGAAACTCTGTCATTATTTCCGTTTTTCGCGTCCCCCTCTGTGCTTTTTATGTTTTTTTCTTCGCTGGTTTTACTCAGTGTCTGATTTCTGTTTGACGTTTTTGCCAGCTTTCTGTGAGGTTGACGTTTTTCGTCCTCCCTCTCTCTTCTCTCTACCATCTCCGCTCTCTCCCGTCTGCCTACCCAGCGTGGGTTAGACCAATGCTGCTCCGCCACGCATCCCCTATTCGTCTCCCACATTCAAAGCCCCTTAGCGGCCTCGACCTAGCAGCGTCGTCACTAGCGGCCTCGACGTAGCGCCAGCAAACCTCCAAACAATTGCAATTTATACGCTACGCCAACCAACCCCAACAATTCTGCATCAACGAACGCGATTGGCATGCACCTCACCAACGCTGCAAGCAGTCAATACTGCTGCAAGCAATCCCCCCGTTCGGCATCAATTTCTGCTTCAATATAAGATTCTGCTTCGATTTCGCGCTGATTGAGTCTGCTCAGCATCGAGCGATCGATGTAGCAGCTGCAATTTACATTCTGCTTCAACCCCAGCCCCAATGCCTATTGTCCGCCTCCCCAACAGCGTCTTCGACCCCGATTCAAACTTGCGCTACCGGTGGTGTTATTTGTTTTACTCCTCTCCCCGTTGCCCTATAGCATTGAACGAGGTCACTGTGTCCGTTTTCATTCTACGTAAATGTCTGCAGTCGGTATTTGCATTTTGTAGTGAAGTTGGTTTCTGCCCAAGAGGGATCAATAGTTGGTGATTCTAACATTGCTTTCTCATTCCCTGGGTTTCCAACAGGCAAAGAGAAAGCGCGCTCGAACCCCAACTCCTGGCAAGTTCCTGGGCACTCGTAGCCTGAAGGAGACTGTCGTGGCCGGTGGTGGTAAGTGTAGGCTCTTGTCAGTATGTCAACCCATACGGTTTTCCCTCTTCGAAATTTTCTTGTACGACTGTAACATGGAAGCTCGTGTAAATTTGTTAATGTGGGCTGGATGCTTACAGTAAGTAATTTGTCATTTCTGTCTGTTATGCTTACCGTTCTGTTTTGTCTTGTCAGACCGCGGTTATGGTGGTGACAGGGAGTTCAATCCCCGCCGATCATCACCAGACTATCAGCCTTACCGCCGAGACAGATCACCCGATTACGGCCCATATCGTGGAGCAGGTTACAGGTATGGTCACATAAATCCAGCATGTGTTACAATATTGCCTGCAATACTCGCTGCAAGCTATAATTGTCGTATCTTGGCAGCATTATGGCTTGCATATTTCGCATATTGATGTGGAGGTGTTCAGCAGTGTCCATGTGGCATTCCCAGCACTCCTTCCCATCCCACCCACCCACCCACCCCAATTTCCTGCTCTCTTTGTGTTCCAGGTAAAGTATTTCGTAGCCAAGATGTAGTGTGGACTACTGACACAGTTTTCAACTCTGCCTTCCACGTTGATTAGTCTGTTGCTATGTTCTATTGACTAGGCTATGATTCGTTTTGTGATTTTGCTAATTGTAGTAAAGTAGGGTAGTTCATATGATTTTAGCAGAACAAGCAATGTTGTCCCACCACGGATCAGTATTTTCGGAACTGATCCCTTGAAGTGCCACTTTCTGTCAGTTCGCTAACCACTCAGAGCGCAGCCGAAATACCTTGTTCTTGGCGGGAAAAGCGGCACACCCAAGTTCAGTTCACACAAACAAGAATCTAGGAGAGAAGAATAGCAGACAGCACCGCTAATTTGACGAATAGTGACCTCCTGAATCTATTTGAGAGTGCGAGGAAACCAGGAAGGTCTGGTTCAACTGTCGCCGACGCGTTGCGGTTGTTCGAGCCTCCTGAATTTATTGCTTTTGTACCTTTCAAGCATCGTGTCCCGCGGATTTCTTAGTCTGCACACCTTCTTTTTGACTGTTTCTCATAAGCGGGCTTTCTACAACAGCTTCGCATCTGCATTTCCAATATCATGGTTCGTCGGAAGCCTTCTCGAATCGCGATTCCGGATGTCGCGGTGGCTTTTTTCGGGTGTCTAGCTGCTGTCTCCCACGTGGCTGCGATATCCAATGACGCGCAAGACGAAGAGAGGCTCATAGGATGGAAGGGGGAAAGGTGGGTGTAGCTGTTTTTGAGTGTGTTTGTTGAGTCGGATAGAAAGGCACACCTAGTAGATTCAGACACTACGTACTCTATGCGTTTCCAGGTATCCCTTCGTGTTTCTATCGCTTTGCATCCCCTCGTTTCCCTTCGTGCTCTTTGCATTCCTCCAAACAGCTTCAACTCAACCAGAGAGGAAGACCCTTCTCAGCGGCAGTGGATAGAGCTCATCTCGTGGGAGCCTAGGGCCTTTCTCTTCCACAATTTCCTGGTAAGTTGTTGTAACAAGGTGACTTCTAAGTCGACTCAAAAATCACAATTTCCTGGTAAGCTATTGCAACAATCTTCCCTAGCGACAGCTTCTTAGGCATTTAAGGAACGACATGTAGTGAGACGACTTTGTAGGTGGATGAGGGATTGGATAGAGCTCATCTCGTGGGAGCCAAGGGCCTTCCTCTTCCACAATTTCCTGGTAAGCTGTTGCAACAATCTTCCCTAGCGACAGTTTCTTAGGCATTTAAGGAACCACATGTAGTGAGACGACTTTGTAGGTGGATGAGGGATTGGATAGAGCTCATCTCGTGGGAGCCAAGGGCCTTCCTCTTCCACAATTTCCTGGTAAGTTGTTGCAATTAAAACCGCGACGGTTTCGTGGTAAGCTGTTGCAACAATCTTCCCTAGCGACAGTTTCGTAGGCCCCTCAAAAACCGCGTGTAGTGAGATGATTTTTTAGGCGGATGAAGACTTGGATAGAGCTCATCCCATGGGAGCCTACGGCCTTTCTCTTCCATGATTTCTGGATAGGCTTTTCACGTGTCCTCTTTTTCAAAACCTCAAATTCAGATTTTTCTGGGACTGCGAACCAAGGATTGATGTCAACTTTCTACTGTAGTACTCCTGTTCTCACCAACCACCAACGAGAGCCCGTATCTGATTTGCATAGCATTCCTTCGTTCTGTGCCAATCTCTCTCATGCCTTATCATCCTTGCCAATTCGAACCATTCTTACCCATCCTCACCCATCCGTATCACCACAGACCGCGAAGGAGTGCCTGTATCTTATCCACAAAGCAGCACCCAACATGGTCAAGTCAACTGTAGTGGACAGCGACTCAGGCGGCTCCTACAGCAGCAAGTGAGTCTTCCTGTAATGAGTGAAGACAGGGATCAGTCTAGGCGGCAGGCACAGCAGCAAGCGAGAATTCCTGTAGTGACTATTTGCAGGGACCAGTCTAGTGTGAATGTAGCGACTTCACTGCTTCCTTCCTATCTAGCATAAATGGTGTTGCAGTTGCAGATAAGAAGGAAGCTTGAGCCTGTGAAGCCTTCGAATTTCAACATCTAAACATTGTAACCTTCCTATTGCAATGGTTTCTGTTGTGGCAGGATCCGGACGAGCTCAGGGTCGTTTCTATCGCGGGGATCAGACGAGGTGGTGACGTCTATCGAGAAGAGAATATCCGATTTCTCCCACCTGCCCGTGGGTGAGTTGTTTGCTAGGTGGAATGGGGGGGAGGGGGAGGGGGGGGATAAGGACCATGCGGTGCCGCAGGGTCGTTTCTGTCACGGGGATCAGACGAGGTGGTGACATCGATAGAAAAGAGAATATCAGACTTCTCCCACCTGCCTGTGGGTGAGTCGCTGACTAGCTAGCAGGAAATGCTTTGGGGTTCGAGTGAACAGGCAAAAATCATCGGATAAGGATGATGCGGTGGGGGTGTTTGTAGAGGAAAGAAAGAGAATAGCTGATTTTCTCCCACCTGGCTGTTGGTGTCCTGTCCACTTACCCCTTTTCTCATCTCTTCCGCTATGCTTCCCACCCATCAGACCACGGGGAGGCCATACACGTGTTGCGCTATGAAGCCTCCCAGGAGTACCAGGCACACTTTGACTATTTCCATCCCATGCCTCCCTCTCTCTTCCACTCCCTCCCTTTGCCCCGCCCACCCCACCAGACCATGGGGAGGCTATACATGTGTTGCACTACGAGCCATCCCAGGAGTACCAGGCTCACTTTGACTATTTCCACGATGACATTAATACTCGCAATGGGGGGCAGCGGCTCGCTACTGTGCTCATGTACCTGTGAGTGTAACGAATGGTAGGAGTGTGACTGTATTGGATGGGAGATATGGAGGGGTTAGAGGGGCCCTCCCAGGAGTACCAGGCGCACTTTGACTATTTCCACGATGACATCAACAGGAGCAACGGGGGGCAGAAAACTTCCACTGTGCTCATGTACCTGTGAGTGTAGGGGGCGACTGCTGTAACTTACGGGGTTTTGCGAGGGATAGGCTTGAGGCCATCTGACATTGTTACCCCGTTTCTCTTCTAATAGCTCCCTCTTTTCCTTCCATATGATTCTGGTTCCCCTCTCTCCTTCAACTTCCTCTCTCCTTCAACTTCCTCTCTCCTTCAACTTCCTCTCTCCTTCAACTTCCTCTCTCCTTCAACTTCCTCTCTCCTTCAACTTCCTCTCTCCTTCAACTTCCTCTCTCCTTCAACTTCCTCTCTCCTTCAACTTCCTCTCTCCTTCAACTTCCTCTCTCCTTCAACTTCCTCTCTCCTTCAACTTCCTCTCTCCTTCATTCGCTGCCATGTTTGCCCTAGCTCTCAATAACAGCTCTGATGTGGAGGAAGGGGGCGAGACGGTGTTCCCAGCAGCAGAGCTCACCCCAGACAACATCCACTCACCGTGACTGCCAGACTCACAGCTTTTATGTTGTGCGAGTGAATTGCTGACCCCCTTTCACTGCTCTCCCCCTGCTCACCTCTCTCACTCCAGATCGGACGTGGAGGAAGGGGGAGAGACGGTGTTCCCAGCAGCAGAGCTCACCCCAGACAACATCCACTCGCCGATACCGCCAGACTCAGAACTTTCCCAGTGCGCCAAGGGAATGCTGGCAGTGAAGCCCAAGAGGGGGGATGCACTGCTGTTCTGGAACCTCAAGCCCGACACAACGCTTGATCCAAAGAGCTTGCACGGTGAGTGTGTTGCCTCCTCACCACAAAGAGCGTATGCATCCACTCGCCGCTACCACCAGACTCGCAGCCCTCTCAGTGCGCCAAGGGCATGCTGGCTGTGAAGCCCAAGAGGGGGGGTGCGCTGCTGTTCTGGAACCGCAAGCCTGACACCACTTTTGATCCTAGTAGTGGATGTTAGCCCTGCAGGTACTGCACTGGCTGTGAAGCTACTGCACTCGATACGGAATGCATTCACTCGTTGCTACTGCACTGGCTGTGAAGCCCAAGAGGGGGGGCGCACTGATGTTCTGGAACCTCAAGCCCAGTACAGTCAAACCAAAGAGCCTGCATCGTGAGTGTTCCCCATTGGCCCTCCAGCATGATTGATGGATTTCTTTTGTTGTAGGCCAGGACACATGGTAACCCTGTGATTCGAGTGTGACTTAATTGTGTGTTCTTGGCATGATGGTGTGCGTTTGGGTAGTTTCTGTGCCAGTTTTGGTGTTTACGGATTTCTTGTGTGTTTCCGTATTGTGTGCCAATGTTATGACAGCTGGATGCCCAGTTATTCGTGGAAACAAATGGAGCGCCACCAAGTGGATTCGTGTACAACCTCGGCATGGACAATATTGATTTATTCAGTGTTTATTATGGGCCTTAATGAGACAGGCTGTTGCTGTCATTCAGACAGTACAAGTGTGAAGACCTTTCTTGCAGTTATGAAGTTCTGTATAGCTTTTTGAAATTGGCCTACAGTGATAACGAAGTGCGCATTACCGAAGTTAGTCATTCTGGAATCCCCGAGAAACTAATAAAGCGTCGTAGTATGCAACAGCAGCCTCGCATCAGTAAAAGCCTGCGCTCGAAGCGAAGTCCCCCGCAAGATCCCACGCCACCGTTTCGTCAGAGCACGGAGGCAATGCCATGGGGGAACCTTAGTACTGAAGTGCATTTTCGTTGCCGGATTGAATAACTAAAGTTGTACACGCACAAGTTCCGAGTTCCGAGGCACATCGGGTTGCAGCGTCCGCTTCTCAGAGTGCCTCGATACTGGGCCGCGGTCGCCGTAAAATCCGCTCTCGAAGGGCGCGCGTGCTCGTCCGCGGGTTGAGCGGGCTTCGAGTGGCCATCTCGAGCCGCTGTCGCGCCAGAAGCCGAAAACTCTTGAGGCGCTTCGCTAGTCAAAGCACCGCTAGAAGGGCGCGCGCGCTCGTCAGAGGTTGGAGGCTCTTGAGGCGCCTCGAAAGTCGCATCCGAGGCCGGAGGCTCACGAGGGGCTTCGCTAGTCGCGCCAGCACCCAACGACCCCTCGGGCTGGCATGGCGGGCGTTGGCGGCGCGTTCGGCGGGAGCCGGTCGCTGCAGCCGGTTCCCCCAGAGAAGGGCGTGTTCCCATTGGACCATTTCGGGGAGTGCAAAGAGGTGCAACGGGTGGGGCTTGATGAAAAATATGGGTGTTCCGTCTCTGGTCTCTCCTGTTTGAGCGGAATTAGAAAGGCTACGCATTATCTCTTCTCTCCGTATTTAAAATATGTCTCACTTTTGAGTGATTTAGGTCATGTGCGAGTACATAGAGTGCAGTGCATCAAGGAGGCTGCTGGATGCAGTTAGCTGGTCTCCTGATTGTGTTGCTCCTTTCTTGTGTGGCACGACATGCCTCGCTATTGAGTGATTCAGGTGATGCGCGAGTACATGGACTGTTTGAAGCAGCACGGCAACCAATCAGACAAGTGCCGAGACATTGCCAAGAAGTACCTGCAGTGTCGCATGGACAGGTGAGCTAGTGAGCCTACCCTCCCTATTGCATTCTAAGGCACTTCAGGAATCACTATTCTAGATGTGCCTGCAATGACGGCAACCAGTCAGAAACCGGTAAGTGCCGAGACATTGCAAAGAAGTACCTCCGATTCTGCATGGACAGGTGAGCTACAAGCACTGTCTCCCCTGTCTTTAGTGCTGCGTTGTCCCCCAAATATCCCCTGTTTCCCCCTGTACTACTGCTTTCTCTTCTCTCAACAAACACTCTGCCATGTCCCTCACCTCACCTATAACTGTACTACTGTTTCCCCTTGTTCTCCCAATGCTGTGCCAGGAACCTCATGGCGCCTCAGAACCTGTCAGAGCTGGGATTTGATTCAACTCCAGCCACAGGAGAAGCATCGACAGCAGGAAGAGCAACTGCAGGTCAACAGTCTACTGAATCTCCGGCAGCTGCAGGTGCTGTTGAGGATGGTTCCAGTAACACCACCAATAGACGAGAGGCTCGAGGATTTATTGCTGGAATTAATCCTCGATAGCATTGCCATTGGAAGCAGTGCTTGGTGCCAAAGCCCATGGAAGCTATGGAAGGGAGGGTGTACCTAGTTATATGTTGTAATAAAGATAATGTGGGTGCCTTATAAACTCTGCATTACTAAACCTGATGTGTACGTACCAGCTGCAAACTTGTCTGCACAATGCTGGGCCACCTACAGTGCCTACATGTACTGCTGTTGTTTAAACCCCTCATGATACTTGTAAATCCAACACTGCTGTCAGATTCCCTCGCCTTGAATTGCCAGCAAATACATTTCATTTTACATCAATGAATCGCTTTGCACAATGCACATGCTACACCAGCCAGCAATACACGAACTGGTGACAGGCGTGAAGAATGATAACTCCTGCACAACTCCAGCAAGGGTTACTGTATTTGCTTCAACGCTCCATATCTCGTGGTGTGAACACACCATATGCTTACTTGTGCTGCAAAAGCAACACGAAGGGGGATATGGGACAGGTACACGTGAGACATGGGCAAATATCATAATCAAACACGAGCACACACTGCACCTGCAATCCGCTAGGCATGATATGAAACGCGACAGGGACAATGAAGCAGAAGAAAAGTAACAAAAAGAGCCTCAAAGACTTCACCATCATAATCAACAGGAAGATGGCAGGAGTGTAGATCAATGTGCAAAGCACATGAGCCAACATGAGCCCAATGAACATGAACACACCCTTATGGCAGACCTGGCGGGTGACCAGAATTACCATACGGCTACAGTAATATGCCAAAATACTGGAACTTTACTCAGCAAACATTAGAGTGTAGCCATATATATGTGTACAACAACACACCAAAACTGCACCTTGCAAAAACCGATGTCCCCTGGAGTAGGTGCGGACGCACTAGCGTCAGTAGTTGAGACCAAAATCGCTATCAATAGTGTACCAAACAACAGTAGACATAGTGCAAACTGTACACCCCATTTTACTGTACCTTGAGGAAGCCAATGTCCTTGGAGTAGGTGCGGAAGCACTGGCGGCAGCAGTTGAGGCCGTACTTGCGGATCATGCCGTGGCAGTTACCGCACACCCGGCTGCCGTGGTGAACGAGTGGGGAAAAAAGGCAGAAATGAAGGGAACGGAAAAAGAACAAAAAACCAGTTGAAGGGCCTTTTAAGAGTTGAGACAATGCGGGTCATCCGCAGAGGTACTAATTAATCATGGCGAAGTAGTTACCGCACATCCGGCTGCTAATGTCGCGACGTGAGGGATGAAAATCGAGGGGTGAACGATGAGGGACGGAAGCAGAGGGAGACGAGATGTTCGAAATACAGCCTGCACCCCGGATTCGTTCATGTGGCCAGGAAGCTGCGTGGATCACGGTGAGTAACAAACGGCATTTCAGATCCTACCGCTACTAAAGAGTTCACGAAGAACTAGAACACTGATCAACGGATGGGTGCAACAATGACCCGCGGGCCATAAATAGCAGGCGGAAACCTAACCCTCTGTTGGCACCCTAACGTTAGCCTTTCGCGCACAGCGACGCCGTACCCCCCTGGTTGAAGCGGCAGCCGACATATACGTGCACTCACCTTAACCCTAACGGTAACCGACCCTTCGGAACCTATTAGAGCCAGGAAATCCTAACTGACCATTGGCGCGCGCCAGGGAAGAACTTCTTCGCGTGCGGATTCGAAAGCATAACGGAACGCCAGCACCCCCTGCAAGCTTTTACTACATCTACGCGTATTCAATTAGGAGTAAAAACAAGCCACGCAATGCACACATGTAACCAGCACTGTAACGCTGATTTACCAGAAGACCGCCTGCCTCTTTGGATGCGATTTCTAGACCCTGACGGTAAGTCAGCACTCCCCTCCCCTATAACCTTTTACAGAAGCGGGCGCCACTTCTTGTAACGCTGACTTACTAGAGGCGCGCGCCAGGGGAGTGCTTCTTCGGGTGTGAGATCTCAACCCTAAAGGTAAGACACTCCCCTGTAATTTTTTACAAAGGTAGGCGCCACTTTCTGTAACGCGGACTAACCAGAGGCGAGCGTCAGGGGAGTGCTTCTTCGGGTGCGAGTTCCATACCCTATCAGTAAGCCAACACTCCCCCCCTCCCTTCCCCTGTAACCTTTTGCGAAAGCGCGCGCAACTCGCTGTAACACTGGCTTACCACAGACGAGCGCCGGGGGAGTGCTTCTTCGGGTGCGAGTTCCAGACCGTCTCGTGACCCATGGTGGCTCGCGGGAATCGAGGGTGCCGCTGCACAGAGCACAAGAATCCGACGGCACAGACGCAACGACGCGATGTGAGAAACTCCTGCTTATATGACGCAACGGATGGCGTGACACGTGGCGGATCGCTACTGCTTAACAGTGTCAAGTTCAAAAGATGATGGACGAACAGGCAGGAACGGTCCGATCAACGCGCCTAAAACCTGAGCTTCATAAAAAGACTAAGCCATACTTCAGGACGAACCGCTAGAGCCGCATAACGGCCTAAGTAAAGGCGGATCGCGTAATGAACGAACCTTAGGGAGGCAGGAGGAGGCGAGAGCGAGTGTGAGCGGAGAATGCGCGAGCTGAGAGGAGGGAAGAATTGAGACGAGTTAGGGTTTTCAGTGGCGGGGGAGGTGGGTGAGCAGGAGAAACACACATGAGCGAAAATGCTTCGTGTATTCAGCAAGCGTGATAACCTTCAATTATATGGGTGTACCTGCGTGATGGCTCTGTGCTGAAGGCTCCATGTGTGTTGTATCGAGGATAGCGGTTGATTTTTATGTTGTGCTGGAATGACTTTCTGGGATTCGCGTTGTTGGCTGGTCTGGAAACAGCCAAAAGTAAAAACCTATTTCGACGTGTTCTCTGCCTGGAAATGAGGGACTTTCTGTCTCCGCGATTTTGTGTGTCGCAGATTCTCCATATCGAGGACTCGGATTTGTGCATGAACGGTCTACACGATGCACACGGCCCACAGAGCCTAGTCTGCACAAACCAGAATTCATGTATCATCCTCGTTATAAAACGCGAAGCGCATCAACGTCACATGCCACTTTCAAGCTGAAGCCCACCAGTTCATTTTCTTTCCACGGTTCTATATGGCGCGTCACGGTTTAGAGCATATACGTTTTCGAAACCGCTAAATACCGCGTGAAAGCCACTGCAACCGCACTGAAGGATCAGTAGGCACCCTGACTACCCACAAAACACCAGCACAACAGAGACTGTATAATCAGTAGCTGGAGCCACATAGCTGACATATGCGTTATCCCTAGCTTCCATAATACTGTCTGAAGCGTGGCGCAGGCCTGCCCGAGCGATGCACTCATCGTCCGCTTTCAGAACAACATTCGTGACGCCTCTACCCTCCCCGACATCGTCATACCGTAATCGGGTAACCCTATGTCACACAGCCGCATCGCCGTTCTTGCAGTCTGAGCCGCGACGCATCTCGCGACAAACCCAATGCCGCGCGAATCGCGGCGAAGGAAACGGCGAGGATTTTCCGAACACGGATTGGATGACGCGGACAGACCCGTGGGAGCTGCTAGGCGTCGCGGAGGGGTCCTCTGCCGACGAGATTAAAGCCGCCTTTCGCGCCAAGGCAGGTGATGCGACACGTGGGTGATGTGACACGTGGCGTAGTGCTGTTTGACGATGAGATCAGGCAGATCCATTCCTTTACGAATGGCATCCACGAGCATGGCAAGCATTCTTTGCTCAACAGTCATTCTCAAGTCCACGCACAAATGAATGGCATCCGTACTCGCCCTCTCCGTTTTCAACCGTCAGATTAAGAACGTCCATCCTGACGTGTACCGAGGGGAGTTAGACGCTGAGGCGATTACAACCCGCCTCGTTCTCGCGTACGAGGTGAGCTACTCGCATCCTCACACCCTCCACCCTCCACTTTCCACTCTCCACCCTCCACTTTCCACCCTCCACTCTCCACTCTCCACTCTCCACCCTCCACCCTCCACCCTCCACCGTGTTCGCATACGAGGTGCGATGCTCCCGCACTCCCAACCTCCACAGTGCCACCCACCCACCCTTTCACCCTTGCACCTTGTACGTCCACTCTCCGCTGCTTCTACCGTTCCCCTTGCACGTTCTCTTTCTCCTCCCCCCTCCTTTCTCAACCCTGCACTCTCCCACCCTCCCCGCCGCCTCCTATCACGCCCCCCTCTGATGTTCTCATATTGTAGTCTCCTGCTCGTTCCCCCCCCGCAGTTACTTCTAGAGGAGGTGGAAAATCCCACGGGAAACAGAGGAGGGCTCGAGTTATCCGTACCACCCCCCACACTCCCACCCTCTCTCTCATGTCGCCCTGCTTTCCTCCCCTTCCTCATGCTCGTTCCCCCCCGCAGTTACTTCTAGAGGAGGTGGAAAATCCCACGGGAGGCAGAAGGTGAGCTAGTATAGAATTGAGTGTAAGGCCCAATGAAACGTTTCCCACAGTGGCTTCTCGAGGAGGTGGGGAATTCTGTAGGAGGCAGAAGGCAATCTGTATGTGTGCATGTGTGCCTGTACGCATATGTGCACATGCTTGCATGTGTGCCTGCACCCATGTGGGAACTTGCTTGCATGTGTGCACGTACCCATATGTGCACATGCTTGCATGTGCACTAGCCCATCACCATATGGTTCCATTAGCAAATGTGCGAACGTTACTTGTGACCAAATCAAACCAACTTAGGTGTGCTTATGCATGCGCATACCTGTGCGTACGTGTGGGCTCAGATGGAGGAGGGAGGAGGAGGAAGAGGAGGAGGAGGGGGATCTCTGGCCCTGGGTCAACGAGATTCGCTGCCTTGGTCAATGTGAGTCAACACCTGGTCAATGTGAGTCCACACCTTGTCAATGTGAGTCAACACCTGTCAACGTGAGTCAACACCTGTCAATGTGAGTCAACACCTTCTCCCCTTGCTGATGTGCCCCTTGTGCAGAGTTACAAGATTTTTTTTAGCCCCATGTGCCCTTTTGCGAGCATCTAAATGCCATCTGTGCTCTGCTCCTCACCACCTGCTTCTTGTTTGCTCGCTCTTCTGCCTGTCCCTGGTCTCCCCCCCCCCCTGCTACAGCTGTCACTACAGCTGCACTGTAGCTGCTCCTCGTTTCCTACTCACACACCCCCCTTCTTCCCCCTCCTCCCCACCTCCCTCTTTATCCTTTTGAGCTCCAGCCTGCCTCTCTAGTTGCATAGTGACGGCGCCCTTCCTCTTCTCCTATGCGGAGGACACTGCACGGGCCCGTGCCATGTCTCCAGACGCCTTTCAAGGTAGGCGGTTGTGATTGGTGCTACAGCCTCTCACTCAAGCCAGTTGCCACAGCCGGTTGCTAAAGCCTGCTGTTACAACAGGTGTTCTCCAGTTGCATAGTGACGGCGCCGTTCCTCTTCTCCTATGCGGAGGACCCTGCAAGGGCCCATGCCATGTCCCCAGACGCCTTTCAAGGTGGGTGCTGGTGATTGGCTCTACTGCACATTGCATCACATGCTTTTTTAATATCACTGTCACAGCCCGTGCCATGTCCCCCTGCACATTCAGTTTCAAGGTACGTGGTGATGGACAAATCAGCCTGTCGCTACAGCCTGATGTTGCTACAGCCTGTTGCTACAGCCATGCTTCCCAAGAAATGTGTTACCAAGGTCAAGTGTTCCCATGGCCATTTTACTTGAAGTGTAGGTGTTATATCTACAACCAAAAAGTATGTCTAGCCGTTATTTTATTATGACACTAGTCTGCTCTTGGCTGCAGTCACCCATTCTATGTATTGACTTCGTTATAATCACGTTGCTTCCGTGCAGGGTGGACTGTGGGAGGGGAGACCAAGGACAGGGCTCGTTACTGTGTCAACCTCGCTGTGGGGCAATGCCCTGAGCTTTGTATACACTATGTTACATCGGCTCAACATGCTGAATTATCTGAAAAGCTACAGGGGTTAGTGTTTTTTTCTTTGTCGTTCGATCTTTAGGTTATTGCCATGTCTGTAGCTTCACTTCTCGTGTTCTCAGCCACATCCTTCCTCGAGCCTACAGTCTAAATTGTTTTATGCCTACCCCCCCCTCCCCCCCCCCTTCCCCCCCTCCCCCCCCCCCTCCCCCCCTCCCCCCCTTTTTTTTGAGAATTGTTCCCCCTTTCGTATCTTGCCCTACCTTACCACCCTCTCATTTTGATGCGCAGGATCATAGATGGGATGGTACCCCTGCAAGAAGGTGCGTTTGATATCCAGACGTACATAGCTAAAGCCACATACGATAACAACCGTCGACCACGACCAAAGCGAAGGCCCAAAGCAGAAGGTGAATATGTGGACTGGTATTAGAAGCTGATTTTGTTCTCCCTTTTAGTGCTCTTGTAATCTATGTGAAATGTTTTTAAATATTTCCACTGTATAATTAAGGCTACCTGACTTATCAGCCAATAACGCTCAATCTCCTGCGACGCGACGCCGCAATTTGACGTCACCTCATCAAAGTCGCACGAAATCCTGGAGATGCTTCGTTGCACCTGAACGACCAAGATGAGGTGAATCGCCATTGGAAAAATTGCGCGACGCGACAAACCCCGAACTTTTCTCAAACCCATCGACCAAGCTCGCACCACAGATAGGGCGATCCGAACCTCGGCCAAATGGATCGACCTACATGCGCTTCCACGTCATTTTAATGCTGCGAACGCGTTTACTAGGCGTTACAGGTGCCAATTGGTCAGAATCGCGAAATTACAGCTTGTGGTTCCGATTCTTCCAATATATATATTTGGTTTCGCTACACGACGCTACCGAGTGAGTCAGCATGCTGACCGCGGGCAGAATAAATAAACCCCATGGCCTACGGCATGCCATTCGGGAGCCTCAACCCTAAAATTTTAGGGTTGAGGCTCCCTACTGGCTTGCCATCCGGATGGGGTTTATTTTATTCTTGCTTTCGCAATATATATTCCAGTAAACAAGAAACGTGGCACGCGCGCCAAACATAATCGGACCACCGACTCTTACGCATCAGAATTGTCTGTCTTTATCGAAAAATCGTATGTAGGTCGATCCATTTGGCCGAGGCTTTGATCGCCCTAATTGCGGTGCGAACTTGGTCGATGGGATCAAGAGAAGTTTGAGATCTGTCGCGTCGCACAATTTTCTCATCGCCATTCGCAAGGCCTTCGCTCGCACTGGGACATCCTTGACATTCGATCAGGGATCCATCAGTCTGAGATCCACGTGGCAGAATCTCGCAACTGCCACTGAAGCAGCAAGATGCTCGGCGTTCCCAATAATGTGGGTACTCTCAAGGGAAAGTCTATCCCAGCTCCTGACTTTCAGTTTTTTCTCATATTTAGCCCTATGTTTACTCAAAAAGCACCACTTTCCATTATTTCTCTCACGCGAGGCCCAAAGTATGTTCAAAACTGGTCCTGCGGGGCGAAATTCGACACGTGTCGTTTTGTTACCAGCTGACGCACTTCCACTCTGAACTAACCGTTTGTCAGGGCAATTTTCGCGCCGGAAAAGTTTTTACGGGACAAAAAAACATAAAACCCCTAAAGGACCATTACACATTTTCGGGAGGGAGCAACCCTAAACACGGGACCTGCTAGGTGTTTAGGGTTGATCCCTCCCGCGAATGTGTCCTGGTTCTCTAGGGGTTTTATGTTTTTTGCCCCCGTCCAAATTTTCCATGCGTGGAAGTTCGTCAGATGGTGTAACAAGAGGACACGTGTCGAAAAAATCGCCCCGCAGGACCACTTTTGAACATACTTTGGGCCTCGCGTGAGAGAAATTCTAGAAAGTGGTGCTTTTTGAGTAAACCTAGGGCTGAATATGAGAGAAATCTGAAAGTCAGGAGCGGGGATATACTTTCCCTACTCTCAAGGCCACTCTGCCTCGAAATTCTCAGGGATGAATGATGCATAGCGTAGGAGTAGGTGAACACAGCGGCCGTACCAGGCTAACTGGAAACTCAAAAGCTGGAATTTGTTGAGGTGCCGAGAGATTCACCGTATCCTAGGCGTTTAGGGACGCCACTAGATACTCCCCCAGTGCTTCTCCTTTTCTGGAGGTAACGCAGACAGCATTGTTGTCAGGCGTGATCACGCATTTGCGACGCCGTGTGGTTACTCTGATCCTGCTTGCATGAAAGAATTCGGATCAGTAAGCCCCGTCGCCAATCCCAGTTTTGTTGTGTTCTCGCCACTTATCTGCTGCGGGTGACGGCACACGTAATCGCGAAGCACACTGACACCAGTGAGCCACTAATTGACGCCCGTAAGCTAATAACACTGACCCGTACGTCGCAGTGGGGTGTAGGTAAACCCGGCAACGTGTGCGCAACATTGCCTATCTCTTCATTCCCGAGACGTCGATCCGTCACGAGGTATTGCCGGATCCTATGCTGCTGCTGTGCGCTATACGCAACAGCGCTTCAAGCAAACGCGCTACTAGCAACTCGTTACCAGTAACTCACTGCTGGGATTTTTCGCTACTACCAGCGCATACCATTTGGCTTAACAGCTGATCCGCACTCGCCAGCCCGTAACTTGATCCCTAACTTAACACCTAGTCTCGTTAAGCAGCGGCGTATAACGGATCCGTCATGGCAGGCAGTATCGTGAACATCCCCGGTATCACCAGCAACGGCAACACGGCCGCGTTATTCCACCTCATCCTCCCCCAGCGATACGTGATCGTTCTGCTAACGCTCGTCTGCTCCGCAGTGTGCTATATCGAACGCGTCGGGTTCTCTATCGCGTACACGGCGATCGCGATCCGCGAGGGGGTGGATCAAGCGACCAAGGGATGGGTCATGTCAGCCTTCTATTACGGATACGCATCGTCGCAGGTACGAAGCACTCGCTACCTTCAAACAAAGAAGAAACTTTTCTACGTTCTTTGAAGAGCCTTCCTTGCTACCCTGGTTTGAAAGGAGTAAATCAAGCGACCAAGGGATGGGTACTGTCGGCCTTCTACTACGGATATGCATCGTCGCAGGTACGCCGCTCCCACTGCCCTCATTCATGTGACGCTATCTCTACCTTAATTCGTATAAGTTTTGACACGACTCAAATTTCTCTCTACGTTCTTCCTGAACACGCTATCCCTACTCGGGTTCGTGCGATTCTGAGACGCTCACTTTACTCTTCCTTCGCTCTCTGCTCCCTGTCCCCTCCCTAATCTTCCCTGACCTAAAAATACGGTGACAGGCGCGACCTCGCATACTTGTTTGTAGCGTGTCTCGCTGCTCCCATCTCATGTTCCCGTCCTCTCCTCTCCTCCTCCCCCGCCTCACCCACTCCCAGGTCCCAGGCAGCTGGGCGTCTCAAAAGTACGGGGGAAGATGCGTCCTCACATACTCGTTTGTAGCCTGACCCGCTGCTCCTTGTTGCCATCTAATATTTCCCGTCCTCTCCTCTCCTCCTCCCCCCTCGCATCATTCCCAGGTCCCAGGCAGCTGGGCGTCCCAAAAGTACGGGGGAAGACGCGTCCTCACGTACTCGTTTGTAGCCTGGTCCATTCTATGCGTGCTCACGCCCACCGAGTCACCCCCTGACAGCACCGGCAGCGGCCCCAATACAGTCACTCTCGTTATAATCCGCCTGCTAGTAGGGATCGCCCAGGGATTCATATTCCCCGCTATACACACCGTTCTGGCTCAATGGACCCCCCCTCACGAGAAATCCCGCGCAGTGAGTCTGTCTATGTCGGGTATGTATCTAGGAGCAGGCATAGCCATGCAGATTCTACCCGGATTAGTAGCTTCTAGAGGCCCCGAATCGGTATTCCAATTAGTAGCAGCTATGGGCGTCGCGTGGACTATTTTATGGGTTAAATATGCGACGGATCCGCCTGGTGGGGCGACGGCGTTCGCGCACGTGCCTGTGGGAGGGGGGATGGGGGGGCATAAGGGGAGTGAAGCGGAGCTGCTTCCGCTGGTGAATGGGGAGGCGGAGAGGGGGAGGGTAGGCGGAACAGGGTTGGAATCAGAAGTGGTGCATAGAATAGGGGGAGGCGGAGGCGGAGGGGGAGGCACGGGGGGGGCCAATGGAGGGAGTGGCGGAGGGGGAGGAGGCGGGAAAGGAGGGGGACTGACTTCAAGCACAATTTCCGCGTTAGGGCTAGGGGCAAAGGGGGGAAGCAAGGAGGAGGATGAGGATGAGGAGGAGGAGGAGGAGCAGCAACGGCTAAAGAGACTCAGTCAGGGTTACGCCTCAACGCCCAAACACCTAAAGACGTCCTACAAGCCGTCTCTAGTTAAAGACCCTCCTATTCCCTGGATACCTATCCTCACCAGCGCACCCGTGTGGGCCATAGTAGCTAATAACTTCACCTTCCACTACGCCTTATACGTTCTTATGAACTGGCTGCCTACATACTTCCACCAGGCTTTAAACACCAGCCTGCACAACGTAGGATCTGGTAAAGCCATGCCTTACTACATAATGACGCTCTTTTCCAACGTTGGAGGTGTACTCGCCGATCACTTAATCGCGAAACGGTACCTGACTGTAGGGGGGACAAGAAAGGTCCTCAACACGATCGGATTCTTCGCGTCAGCAGTCGCCCTAGCCCTCACCCCCGTCCTCAAATCCGTCAACGGTGCTGTTCTCTGCTCCTCGCTCACGCTAGGCGCCTGTGCAATCGCCAGGGCGGGCTTTGCGGTAAACCACATGGATATAGCGCCACGGTTTGCAGGGGTGGTGATGGGTGTGTCGAATACTGCAGGGACTATGGCGGGTGTGGTGGGGGTGGCTGCTTCTGGACTGATTCTAGAGGCGTTTTCCGGTGGAGAGGGGTCGGGAGGAGTGGGGAGCGGTGGAGTGGGGGGAGTAAGTGGTGTGGGAGGAGCAGGAGGGGGAGCGGGAGGAGGAGGGAGGATTGATCCGGGGTGGTGGTGGGTGTTCTTCACGCCTGCGTCCCTGTGTGTGGTCAGTGCTCTGATCTTTGACGCGTTCGCCACGGGAGAAAGGGTCTTTGAGTGACGTGCCTGGCAGGCCAGCAGCAGCGCGATTGAGCATGGGATGAGGAATGACGGGGAGGAGGACTGACGGGAAGGAGGGGGAGGAGGGGGGAGGGATTGAGCCGGAGTGACTGTGACCGTGTGTGGCCAGCTTTCATGCCAGCGTCCCTGTGTGTGGTCAGTGCTCTGATCTTCGACGCGTTTGCCACGGGGGAGAGGGTCTTTGAGTGACGTGCCTGGCAATAGAGGCTGGACCTTCTGACGCAGCTGAATGCCTCGGGTGAGAGGGTCTTTGGGTGGCAGAGGTTGGAATTTCGGAGACAGTGCGACAGGATCTTTGAGTGACGTGCCTGAAAGTAGAGGTCGGGACTTCTGATACAGCTGACTGGGCAGGGGAGACAGGGTCACTGAATGACATGCTTGGCTGGAGCTTTTGTGCCCGCTGACTGGGGTGGTCTTTACGTGGCGTGGTTCACTGCAGTGGCTGGGACTTCTGAGGCAGCTGACGGGATAAAGGGTGACTTTTGAGGCGCCTCAAAAGTTGACTGGGATGGTCTTTAAGTGACTTGCTTCACTGCAGTGGCTGGAACATGTGACGCAGCTGACGGGATAAAAATCGACTTTTGAAGCGCCTCAAAAGTTGACTGGGATGGTCTCTAAGTGACGTGCTTCGCTGCAGTGGCTCTGAAACTTCTTCGGAGGCAGCTGACTGAGAGGGTCTTCGAGTGATGGAGGTTGGAACTTCGGAGGCAGCTGACTGGCGTGGGGACGAGGGTGTTGGAATGACATGCCTGGCCGAACAACTGCAGTATGAATGAGCATGGGGGGAGGAAGGAGGCACAGGCACGTGATAGAATCTTAGACGTCTCAGAACTACACTTCTACCACGTGGGTCTTGGAGTGACGTGCCTAGCAGAGCAGCTGCAGTGCGAATGAGCATGGGGGTGGGAAGGATGCACGTGGTAGAATTTGAGCCATCTCAAACCTACACTTCTATTGCGTGGGTCTTGCAGTGACGTGCCTAGCAGAGCAGCTGCAGTGCGAATGAGCATTCAAGGATGGAGGAGAGGGGGGAGGGGGGAATAGAGCTGGAGTGGTGGGGTTGGGCGTGTTTCACGCCAGCATCCCCGTGTGACGTGCCCCAGCAGCAGCGCAAAAGAGCATCGGAGGAGGAAGAGGGAGGAGGGGGGGTTGAGCTGGAGTGATGGGGTTGGGCGTGTTTCACGCCAGCATCCCCCTCTCCGTGTGTGGTGAGTGCTTTGATTTTAGACACGTCTGCCACAAGGGAGAGGGTCTTGGAGTGACGCGTTTGCCAGCTTTCACGCCACCATCCCCGTCCCCTTCTGCGGTCACTGCTTTGATCCTCGATGTTTTGACCACAGGAGAGAGGGTCTTTGAGTGGCGTGAGGGTCGAAAATTCTGAAGCAGCTGACTGCCACGGGGAGAGGTTGCTTGGGTTGCGGAGGTTGGAGCTTCTGAAGCAGCTGGGGGAGAGGGTCTTTGAGTGACGCGACAGACAGTAGAGGTTTGGAACCTCTGGGGCAGCTGCTGGCACTGCAGCTGGCCCGATAGGCCAACTGCAGTGCGAATGAGCGAGGGAGGGGGAGGAGGAGGAGGAGGAGGAGGAGGGGGAGGAGGAGGAGCGGTGATTCGGAATGCTTGGTTGCAAGCTGCTCGCAAGCTGGTTCCCAAGGGATCAATGCAAGAGGCAAGGGGACTGTAAGGTCCGGAAGAAGCTGGTGGAGTCGTTGTGTACTCACATGTATCTCTCAGCCACCGCTGAACGGCTAATTCTCTCTGGTTCAATCCGTTTCATCTTATGAGAGGTACTATGCGGGTCTTGGCTGAGATGATATGCAGGTCTTGGCTGAGATGATATGCGGGTCTTGGCTGAGATGATATGCGGGCCTTGGCTGAGATGATATACGGGCCCCCTAGTCTGCAGCCATAGCCTTTCTGAGGTTTGGCTGACTCGAGATGAGATGGTGTGATGGGTAAAAATGATGATGGCAGTGTTTTGGGGAATGGCGCCGTCAGCAGCAGCAACAACAGCAGCCGCAGCAACGGCGGTGGCGGCAGCAGCAGAAGCAGCAGAAGCAGCAGCAGCAGCAGCAACAGCGGCAGCAGCAGCAGCAGCAGCAGCAGCACCATCAGCAGCAGCCACCTGCAGCAGCATCAGCACCACCAGCAACAGGTGAAGAGGCAGCAAAGGGTTGGACCTTACTGAAGATAGTAGAATGCTTCTATATTCTCAGCAGCAGGAAAGCACAGCAGTTGGCAGAAGCTGCCTATGCCGTGTTCTTGCCCTTCCTAAGACATTTGAACTCATGTTAGAGCTGCTTTTAAGAAGTTAATAATGGTGATGATTTTGCGGAACGTGATATATTTACAGGTTGCAGTAAAAGCATGGTGTGGTGACAGCACCAGGGGTGAGGCTACAGCACCAATGACAAATTACAGGAGCAGGGGTGAGGTTACAGCAGCATGCGTCGAGCACGCACGCGCGTGAGCGCGCGGCCCCCCACGTGTGTGTGCATGGATGCATGCGCGTTCGTACCCGCATACGCGCCAAGAGCATGCATTCTAGGAGGGATAAGAACTGCATCGCTTCTATACACCACCACCCTGCCGCTTGGACTATCAAACAGCACATCCCCACTCTCCACCAAGGCGGCTGCATACGGGCTTCCATCATCTATCACGTGACCGTAGCGGTTGACGATCTTGCTCATGGGAAACAGCGAGCCGGACCTCTGCTGGGGCGACATGCCTGAGATGTTCCACATGCCGCCATACATGGGACTGTATGTCATCCAGAGCGGTTGTCCATGCATGGTTGGAAGCTCCCAATGGCCATCTACAGATGCGTACTGCAAATGAGCGATGCATATCACACGAGGACGGATCATGAGTGGTTGCGGGAACGAGTAGTTTCTTTAAGAACGGTCACCATAACGAGAATGGGCATTGTGATGAGTCACAGTGAATGTAGTATGGCATGGCATGCGGCGTGAATCACGAATCCATTGTGATGCCACAGCGTTGGCATGATGTAATTTGGTTCAGATCCTCACCTTCTGCATCGCGACGGAGGGCGGGATGTATTGTTTCACAATCTGAAACTTCCAAATATCCTTCATCGCTCCTGCAACCGCCGCAGAGGGGTTTTTCCCTACGACCCAGTGGCAGTCATCTCCTGACAAGCCCCCTTCAAACATGAACGTGAGAGCGTCGGCGATCGCCTGGTCGAACTCGCGCGTGGCGTTGTCGTGCATAGGGTAAGAAACAGACGCGGCATATAAGGCGTCGAGCTGCGGGAGGAGTATCGTCACGTTAGCGATGTCTTTGGTTCCATCAAGCGCGAAAAGATGCTTAATGAGCGAGGAATGAATGTCGTATGGCTGCGAGGGTGACTCTAAATCAGTCACTGGAATTGCGCGGGTGGTCGTGGGTAGCCGTGCAAGCGACGTGGCCACGAGCAGCAGTACCACGCCGGGGGCGCCCAAGTGCTGCCATGAAAATGAGCGGCCAGCCATTGCGGTGTCTTCGAGAAGTTGAACGTGCGTGAAATTCCTTCTTACACACCGGAATTCGTAGTGGTAAGGAAAATGAGAATCGCGATTCTTGCAAGAAGCCAGAGAGAGCGAGGTGGGGACTGCTGGAAAGTTGGAATTTGTGTGGAAATACGGAACAAGAATCCGAAGGGATGACGAAACGGTTTATGCTTGGCGATGGCCACTTCGAGTCGCAGGAGTTTAGAGGCATTGGTGACGAACAAAAGAAATTCACGACGATCGGCGAAGCGTTTGCAACGAATCACCCCCGACCAACGAATTTCAGGCTGTGGATCAAGAACGAAATTGATTTATTTTTCGTCGCAGCGAGTAACTACGTACCAGTCTTGCTGGAGTGTCCGCATTTTTCCGCATGAGGTTCTCAGGCGATCGTTGACTTGAACAGAACGGGCGAGCGGAACTGGTTCGTGATGAGCTGGAGATCCACGCAGCGGCATGTTATTGGGTAACGGCATTGCTGATTCGCCATGACTTGTCCTGCTGGCGTGTCCATGACTTGACAGCCTAGACCACAAAGAATTTGCATTCCTTACAGAGCGACCTGGCCTTGATTCCTTCCATTAATAGGCGCTTGCTTGCATAAGCCAGGCCTGAAATGTTTGTCTGAATACATGCATCCATTCCAGAAAGCTATGCATCATGCATCTCTATCTAGCAGAATAGCTGATGTGAAAAAACTCCTCACACTTCATGGAGAATGCATAACAGCTCAGAGAAGAGAAACGTGCGTACAAAGGCGCCTTAAAACCATACAGCTTGATGCCACAAGCACCAATTCCACATGTTCCGTACCACCTTCCGCATTGAGATACGGTATCGGCATGCCATGATGCCATCCTATCATTTCATTGCGAAGCAAGAGCCTATGAGCCTCTAATGTTTCTTATTTGATTGCATGGCTTCCAAGCATGTTTCATTAATAGGCGCTTGCTTGCATAAGCCAGGCAAAGCGACGAGCGCGCCGCCACGGCACAGCACATCTCAGTAGAAACAGCAGGTGTGGTTCTAGCAGCGGGAGTGTGGCTACAGCATGAGTGTGGTTACAGCAGGAATTTGGTTACAGGAGCAAGAGTGAGGTTACAACAGCAGCATGCGTGTGCGCCCGCGCGCGTGTTCGAATGCACATATCTGCATGTGTGGATGTGTGCTCGTCCGCACCCTCATACACGTCAAGACCATTTCTTCCAGAAGGGATAAGAACAGCATCACTTCTATACACCACCACCCTGCCGCTCGGACTATCAAACAGCACATCCCCACTCTCCACCAGCGCGGCAGCATACGGGCTTCCATCATTGACCACGTGGCCGTAGTGGTTGACGATCGTGCTTCTTGGAAACAGAGAGCTGGCCTGCTGCAGGGGCGACAATCCCGAGATGTTCCACATGCCGCCATACTTGGGACTGTATGACATCCAGAGCGGTTGTCCATGCATGGTAGGAAGCTTCCAATGGTTGTCTATAGATGAGTACTGCAAATGAGCAACGAGGATCGCATGGGGACGGATCACAAGCAGTTGCATGATGAGTGAGCTTAAAAGGAGCAGTGACTGTATGGCGCGGCGTGGCTAGCAAGGCATGACTCACGGAATCCACTTTTCCGCGGCGGTGTGTGCCGAGATTCGCGGAGGACCCACAGCACCGAATTCAATCCGATTGAAAAGCTCTCCATTCCTCTAATAATTGAAGAGATATTTGCTGGGAAACCCTGACTGCGATGCTGAAAGAATCACCGTTGCGACGGAAGGCGGGATGTGCTGCTCTCACCTTTCTGGAACTTCCAGATGTGTGAACATGTTCACTGCGGTTCATTGCAGTCCACTGCGGTCCATTGCGGACCGGCCGTGCGCGGTTCAGATCCTCACCTTTTGCATCGCGACGGAGGGCGGAATGTACTGTTTCACAATCTGAAACTTCCAGATTTTCTTCATCACTCCCGCAACTTCCGCAGAGACGTTTTGCCCGACCATGCACTGATCTCCCGACGCGCCCCCTTCGTACATGCACGCGAGCGCGTCGGCGATTGCCTGGTCGAACTCGCGGGTGGCGTTATCGTGCCTGGGGTAGGAAGCAGCCGCGGCGTATAGGGCGTCTAGCTGCGGGAGGAATATCGTCACGTTGGCGATGTCTTTGGTCCCGTCCAGCGCGAAAAGATGCTTTATGAGAGAGGAATGGATGTCGTACGGCTTCCAGGGTGATTCTAAATCGGTCACTGGAATTGCGCGGGTGGTCGAGGGTAGCTGTGAGAGCGACGCGGCCACGAGCAGCAGAGCCACGCCGGTAGCGCCGGAAAGCTGCTTCGTAAATGAGCGGCAGGCCATTGCGGATGTCTGCGAGAATTAGCGCGTGCGCGAAATCCCTTGTTACGCACCAGAATTCTTAGTACTCGTAAGAAAAATGTGGATCGAGTTTCTGGCAAAGAAGCTGTGAGAGAGAGCGAGGTGTCCATTGCTGGAACCCTAAGTTGGAGCTTAGGCGGGAAATGATTTGACGAGGGCGGTGATCAATACGCCCTACTCCGAGTAAAGCTACTCAGAGTGGGCACAGCAGCACCGACATGTAGGTGTTGCTGGTGGGGGGGACTTCCCTCCCCATCCCAACCAATCCAACTCCCCCAGTAAATTCTGGCAGGCGAATCGGCGAACCGCAACAATCACGTACATACATGGGTGGTGTTCTCTAGGCACTGGCGAAGGGGGAGCGAGGGAAATAGAAATCTTCCCCCCTCTGCGTTTTTTGGGGCGACACGTCGGTCAGCCCGTAAAATCGTGCCGAGCCTCCTTTTTGCCCTCCGAACCAAACCGAAGGTAAATGCCAACAGAACGCTCATTTACCCTCAGGGATGTGCACCCTTCGGAAGGTTCCCATTTACCCTCCCCACCTTCCTCATCGGGCAAATTTTGCCTCCCTCGCCCCCCATTCCGGCAACCACCCCTCATGGGGATGTGAGACAGGCATGTGAGGGAGGTGCTGGGGAGGGGAAACCGACATTCCACCCGTGAAACTGAAGACTGCTTCGTTGATTCGCCCTTCCACACGCGCAACACCTTGGAAAAAAAAAAACCCACGTCCCCTTCTTAGAGCAAACCCTGGTTGGAGGTTGGTTTGTTGGTGACTTCTGTTTTTCGATAAGGAGTAGCCCTGGTTTTGTTTGTACCCCGTCTTGCTTGTTAGCGCGAAATGAGCTACCCCCGTTTCTGGACCAGGAAAATGTACCCACGTGTTCCTCATTTACCTTCAGATCCTTCCTCCCATGGCGCGAGAATTTTTTCGTCGACGGCTGTAGCGGGATTTGGTGAAATCGGCCTTGGAAACATCCGCGGAACCATCATCATTTACATTCGCCCCTCCACCTCCCCCCCTAGCAGGAGTCACCAGAACACCACCATTACATCGTACAAATCCCGCCTTGGCAGGGCAGGTCCGCCATGGATTTCTCCGCGCAACCCCGACGCCCTGTTGTTCCAGCGAACAGCCTTTAGGATTCTGAGCACATTACTGTACGGAAAATGCTTGAACGAAAACAATATGAATTGAACATACAGTTGGTACATTCCGCAATCCATGCTACGCAAGCCTAGCCACATCTCGAGCACAGAGAAATTTTGGTCTGGAAAACTCCAGACAATGGCAATCCATGCAGAATGCAGAACAGCACAGAGAAGAGAAGCGGGAGGACGAACACACTTTACATTTATACAGCTCAATGCCACACAAGCACAGGCTCCAGAGACGTTCTGCTTTGCACTTGTGGGGCCCACCGAGCGAACGTGGAAATACCATAATATTATCGGGTCATTGCTTTGAGTAGTACCATTGCATTCAGAAGAAGAAGCCATACAATTCTATGCCACACAAGCACAGGTTCCACGCATTCTGCTTTGCACTTGTGGGGCCCACCAGGCGAATCCGGAAGAATCTCGCCGGGCCAATCACGTCGCACGATTTGTATGGTGTACAGGCGTCAACTGGCCAAGAGGCATCCTGCCCTGGCCAAGGTGGTTTTGTGGGGTTGAGTGCGGTGCAGGTGTCAACTGGCCAGGAGGCATACTGGCCCGGGCGGCAGAGGGAGGTGTCATCTGAGTGGCGCCGAAGGCTCGTCCAATCAGATCCATTGTTGGACGCCTGGGGTAGGGTGTGAGGGGGAAGGAAAAAACAAGGAGGCGGGCAAGGAAATAAAAAAGAAAAGGTGAAGGAACAGTCAAGGTGCTTCTCTTGTCCCCTGAGCCGTGTAAGAAAACTATCGTACACCCTCACATGTGTCATCCCCTCTCTTCAACCACAGAGACTAAAAACATTCACCTCTGTTTCCGTTGCTTTGGAGAAATCTCAAAAGCCGGCACCAGGAGCGCATGTAGTTGGGACTGCCCGTCCTGCCTGGTCTTGCTGGCTTTCAAGAAATTTCATGCCGCCTTAGATCACATCGTCTAATGTCACACAGCGTTAGGCCAAAGCACCCACCTCGACGCGCCGTGAGCTACCATCCTGCTGAGCACACAGACCACACCATCACATACCTCTCAACCCCACTCAATCCCTCTTCAACCCAAGGAACCCACCTCAAGGCACCACGAGCGCATGTAGTTGGGGCTGCCGTCCTGCCGGACTGTGTAGAAGTTGCAGAGAAGCTGTGGAGAAGGGGGAGAAAGGGGAGAGGCAGGCAGACACATTGGAGCTTGTGGTTAGGGCTGCCGTGCTGCCTGACTGTGTAGACATTGCACAGAAGCTGCGGAGGGGGAAGAAAGGAAATAGGGGGAACAGAGGGAAGAGGAGGGAGAGGGAAACGGGAGATAGGGGAGGCGAATGGGGGCACATATGTAGTTGGGGCTGCCATCCTACCTGACCGTGTAAAATTTGCACAGAAGCTGCGGAGAGGGAAAAAGGGTAAGAGGGGGAAGGGGAGCAGGGGAACCGGAGAGGGGGGGTTCGAGAAAGGGTAACGAATGATACAAGGGATCAAATGGAAGGGAAACATGGATTGTATAAACATCCTCATTTGAATTCACAAAGGACACATTGCAGGAACTCAGAACATGCCTTGTGCTTCTCTCCAAGGTCAATCCGCAACCAAGCTGTCTTGCAGCCCTCGACCAAACAAAGCCCCACTTCGACTCCTATCCTACGATTTAACCAACCCAGACTTTTTTTGTTTAACACCCCCCTTTGACTGGAAAGTCGAGTTGTAGATCCCATGCTGCTCTTTAAAATACCCTCTCTCACCTTGTGCTTCTCCCCCAGGTCGATGCACCACCAAGCCGTCATGCAGCCCTCCTCCACACAAGGCCCGGCAAAGGACGAGCTCTGCAGGGGTGGAGTTGGGTGCAGAAGGGTCGTTACGGGAATTGAGGGAAACGGGGATAAAAAGAGCAGCACCCCTCCACACAAGCCCCCAACAAAGGACGAGATTTAGTTCCCCAAGAAGTGACTGCTGGCTGCCACTGCGGTGCATTACATTGCACCGCTTCTCACCGCATTGCATTCCGCATTCACCACATGGTCCCTCGAAACGATGAGCTTGCTGTGCCAGCGGTGCAGCGCGAGGGAGAGCTGCTGGCTGGCACAGCAAGCAAGGCGACTATAGGGCACGAGCAGATGTCATGTCATGCAAGCAAGGCTTTTGCCACCACACCGCATTCAACCGCACTTCACCGCACACACTCACCACATAATTTCCCAAGACCATGACCTTGCCATCGGAAGCGTGAGGGAGGGCTGCTGGCTGCCACTGCACTACACCTCGTACGTGCATCTGCACCACATCGCACCGCACTTCACCGCATTGCACTCCCCACACTCACCACATAATCGCCCGAGACAATGAACTTGCCATCGGTGTAGCGCGACCGAGGGCTGCTAGCTGTCACTGAGAGGGTCTGGTGGGGGAGAAAGGGTAAAGGGGGAAGGCATTGGCGGAAGGTAATGGTGAAAAACGGGGGAGGTAAAGGGGACAAGAGAGGGGGGGGGGGGGTGGTGAAGGGGGTTGGGAGAGGAGGGGGGAGGTGTAGAGGGAAGTAGGACAGGAGAGGGGGCTGGGAAGAGTGAGACGGGGGAGGAGATGACAGAGAGGGTGACAATGCGTGCATACACAGGACACATGTGTGCAGCAGCATGTTGCTCACCCCCAGAAGCACGGGGTTCATCCTGGGGTGTCGTCCGTATGAGGTGCCCGCATGGAAACACACTCCGTTCTTATCCCCATCGTGCACACACACACGGGATACATGCATGCAGTGGCATGTTACTCACCCCCAGCAGCACGGGGTTCATCCAGGGGTGTCGCCCGTATGAAGTGCCCGCATAGAAGCACACTCCGTTCTTATCCCCATCGTGCATGTATTGAAGCACACGAAGAGAAGTCGAGAGTCGAGACACCCAGTGACCGATGCAACAAACAACTCACCCCTAGGAGCACGGGGTTCATCCAGGGGTGTCGCCCGTATGAAGTGCCCGCATGGAAGCACACTCCGTTCTTATCCCCATCGTGCATGTATTGAAGCACACGAAGAGAAGTCGAGAGTCGAGACACCCAGTGACCGATGCAACAAACAACTCACCCCTAGGAGCACGGGGTTCATCCAGGGGTGTCGCCCGTATGAAGTGCCCGCATGGAAGCACATGCCGTTCTTATCCCCATCGTGCATGTACTGAAGCACACGAGGAGCGCTCGGGAAACCCGGTGATTTCTGCAGCAGCAGCTTCTCAGTTGTCTCCTGCAGCAGAAGCTCCTGAGTTGACTTCTGTGGCACCTGCTGCTGCTCCTTTTGTGGCTTCCCTGGCCGTTTTGAGACACTTTGACGGTTGAATCCCCCCCCCTCTTTACTGTCACTGCCCGACCAGCGTGCTCCTCCCCCTTCCATCGCTTTCTCCCCATTCCTCAGAACCAAACCCTCCCTCTCGTTACTGTAGCCACTGGAAAGAGGCAACTCACTCTTCTCCTGCTCATTATAGTCACACCTCACCTCCTCCTCTCGGCTCACAGTGGAAAAAATGTGAGGTGATTGGGACGGAATAGACTCGCCCCAGCATGTTAATCCTCTCCCAATCAACCTTTGCTCGAATGTCGTATCCCCTTCCACATAATCCTCGTCTCCCCTTCTCTTCAGCCCTCGCTCCTTCCCATCCTCCCCATCCCGACTTACCCACGCCCCCACATTCCGCGTCCCTTCTCCCCCCTCTCCCCCTTCACCCCCTGTCCTTTCTTCCAAAGTCTGATGCGTCTCAAGACTCTCCCCTGCTCTCCTTCCCCACCCATCATCCCCATCTTGCTTTCCCCACGGCCACACACTTCGTAACTCTCCCCCTCCTCCCCCCTCTCCCTTGCTAGTGTCCCTCCCCTCCCCCGAGTTTTCAGCCGTCTCAAAACTCTTTCCTGCTCTCCGTCCCCTCCAATCCTCTCCTTCCATCCCACTCCACCGCTCTCCACCCCCCTCTGCCCCTCCCTTTCCTTCTCGCTCCCTATCCCCCCGTTTCACCCCCACACACATACCACTATGTTTCTGAAAGTGTTCAGCCCCTCGCACCTCACCCCTTTTCCTCGCTGCACCCGCCCCACGCGTGCATGCCTGAGCACCCCTCTCTCCTGCCACGCACCCATCTCCACCGCTTTCAAGAGACCATGATCGTGGCACGGCCGCACCCGAGCCTGACGGCCAGGCTCGGGACGGGAGGTCCGGGGACGCGAAGCGGACGATTCGACGGCCGAGATCCACCTGTATGTCATTCGACTCAATCAAATCTAACCGGACAGCATTGGACTGTGGATGCTGGAGCAAGCGGGATAAACTCGAAGGATGCCCATCATAATCCGGGGGAGAGAAACTGTGAGGGAGACTGCCAGAGAGGCCGTGGGAAAATGTTTGCGGAAGGCTGCGTGAATCACCACCGTACATTTGCGATTCAGATGCTTCAGAAGATGAGAGGTGGTGGGTGGTAAAGGAGGAGGAAGAGGGGGAAGAGAAGGGATGGCCTTGCGGTGCGCTGGGTGCGTTGGTGTGTGGGTTGCGACGAGCAATTTCCTTGATGGCCTGAAGGGGGAGAGAAGGAGAGTGAATGGGAGAGAGGAGGGAAAAGGGGAGGGGAGGGGGGAGGAGGAAAGAAAGGATGAGCAAGAGAGATGCGGGGAAATCCACAACAACACACGGAGAAAGATGTGACAACAAGACTGGTGGGATTGGGAAAGGACGAGAACAAAAGAAGCTAAGAGGGGGTGCCACGTGGCAAATGGGTGCACGAATCCAAGGAGACGTACGGATCGGCGAATGGTGGGCAGCCACGTGGCAAGCAGGCTGTCCCTGAGCCTGACAAGCAGCGAATCAGGTAGTGACATGAACTGCACGTGCTGCAGCAACCCAGAAACTTCGTCCCCCTCCTCCTCCTCTCCTTCATCCTCATCACCCTCCCCCCATTCTATCCCTTCACTCTCCTCCTCCTCCTGTGTCCTGCCTCCTTGTCGCATTGGTCCAGCCCCTTGAGGCTGTAGCATGGGCTCAGCTCTGTCCAGCTGTAGCCGACCCAAAAGATCGGCTTGAATAAGATCCTCGATACCAGGAGCCTCTGCTACAGCCAGACAATCCCCCTCCTCCCCTTCCTCCTCCTCCTCTTCCTCCTCCTCCTCCTCCTCCTCCTTCTCGAGTCCCCCTCCTCCCCCTCCTCCCCCTCCTCCCCCTCTCTCATCATTATCTCCTTCACTGCTCGCTCCGCTTCCTCCCAGCTGCTGAGGTCAGCATGCTGCATGGCCCACGTCAGCACAGCATCCAGCACTCTCTCCTCAGTGGCTGCTCGAAAGAAGGGGCTCTGGTAGGCCGACAAGTGGCAGCAATCCGACAGGTGGTAACCAGACGGATGGTAACCGGATGGGGATGTAACAGATGGGTGGTAAGTTGGTACGATCAATGGAGGAGCCTCAAATCACTGATAGAAGCAAATATATAGCGATGTGGCAGCAACAGCACAATCTAGAGGGAAAACAATTCATCCGTGAGCATCAGGCATACCTGCAAAACAGCAGTGAGCGCAGCAGCAGGCATTGTTCTCAGCCCGTCCCCGTCAGCGTCGACGCACCGCTCGAACCGCGCCGCGGCCAATGACGCGGCGACAGCTGTGAGGTGCGTGCAAGCTTCCCCGGGGATTGATGCGGCAACTCGCAGTGTCGTGAAAGCTGATGACTGAACGGAGGAGGAAGAAGTGAGGTAAGCGATAAAGGAAGATGAGGAAAACGAGCAGCGGGAACTGTCAGGTGCAAGCAGGCTACACACACACAATAGCAGCCAGTGGTTGCCATTTTAGCAAGGGATAATCAACTTGACTATGGGCATTGATTCGCACTCACCTCATCAACGCACGCCAGCAGTGGCTCGTTCGCAGCATAGTGGAGAGCCGGGAGGCAGAAGTGGTCAGCCAGGCAGGCACAGCAGCGAGCGAGAGCAACACGGAAAGGGTAGGGTGTTACCAACCGGTTACCATTCCCTCTCTACCAAGTCACAATCTCATTCACCTCATCAACGCACGCCAACCGTCACTCGTTTGCAGCAAGGTGGAGAGCTGGGATGCAGAAGCGGTCAGGCAGGAAGGAACAGCAGCGAGAGCAGAGAGGGGAAGGGATGGTACTCCCAGATTGCCAAATATAATCGCTTACTTCATCAAGGCATGTCAACAGTCGCTCGTTCGCAGCATGGTGCAGCGCTGGGATGCAGAAGCGGTCAGCCAGGCACAGCAGCGAGAGCAGCACGGCCTGCATGCTGTCAGGTGCTGCTGCTGACGCGGATCGTGACTGCACGCCCTGTATACTGTCAGGCGAGGATTGTGCCTGAAACGAGAGTGACTGTGACGAGGACGACTGTGATGAGGGGTGTGACTGTACGGGGCGTGCGTGTAAGGGGTGTGACCGCTTCTGTTGTGAATGTGACGAGGGCGTGGGGGGCAGCTGTCCAGTATAGAAGAAGTGCAGGAGAGAGGAGACGGCTTCATTAGAAGCACCTCCGATTACAATCTCATGCGAGGTGGCTTCCCGCATGCCACTTGTCAGCATCTGATTGGACGAGAGCAAACCGGAGGTGGAAGGAGGTTAAGAAAGATATTAGTTTTCCTTATCAAAAAATTGAAATCCAGCGATACAACACAAAGAGCTGACGTAAAGGGAGCACAAGCAGCAGAGAGCAGAGAGCAGAGAGCAGAGAGCAGAGAGCAGAGAGCAGAGAGCAGAGAGCAGAGCGCAGAGCGCAGAGAGCAGAGAGCAGAGAGCAGAGAGCAGAGAGCAGAGCGCAGAGCGCAGAGAGCAGAGAGCAGAGAGCAGAGCGCGGAGAGCAGAGCGCAGAGAGCAGAGAGCAGAGTGCAGAGAGCAGAGCGCAGAGAGCAGAGAGCAGAGTGCAGAGAGCAGAGCGCGGAGAGCAGAGCGCAGAGCGCAGAGAGCAGAGCGCAGAGTGCAGAGAGCAGAGCGCGGAGAGCAGAGCGCAGAGCGCAGAGAGCAGAGCGCAGAGAGCAGGAGAAAATACTCGCCTTGTGAAAGGCAGCACTCCAGGCGCAGAGCACCACCCTATGTGCTCGAAACACAGTGCTGCCAGGCTGAGCCGCCTGCACGCTCACGTCACTGTAGCTGCTGCAATTATGACGGTGAGAAGAGATGCTGGTGTCACCGCTACTGCAGCAGTCGCAAAGCAGGTATTGAGACAGCCGGCACGGCGTATCAGAAGACAGGAAATGGAGCGGAACACATGTTCCTTCCGTGGGTGATACTGGGCCAGAATCTGAACCTGAAAGTGCACCTGAGCTTACACCTGAACGAGCACCTGAACGAGCACCTGAACTTGCGCCATCTCCTTGCCTCACCCCCTTGCTCGCCATCTCCACAGACGCCTCTCTTGAGTTCTGCTCCTGTGAAACAGATTGACCCCCGCTGTTAGAAAAGGCTCCACTTTGCTCTGCTTTCGAAAAGCCATGCTCCCGCTGCTGCAAACTCCTGCCGACTGGGTAACACAGATGCACAAGGCCGTTGACCTGCGTTGACTTTAAAGCCCCCGTTGACTTGGCTGACTTGGCTGCCTCCCCCCTCCCAGCAGCTGTAGCATTGGGAGCAGCATTAACAGCAGAGCTGCCCCTCTCTGCTGCTACAGCTGCAGAGGCAGCAGGCACTTGGTATTCCTCTGTAGCAGAGGGTCCCAAATAACTCTGTCCAGATGCAGAGAATCTGCTCGTGTGACTGGGTGCAGATGCAGAGGATCTGGACGGAATGGATCCAGATGCAGATGCATCTGAACGGATTTCAGGCGCCTCACACGCCACGCCGTGCGTTCGGAGTGATTCTTCGCATGCCTGCTGCAGCTCCTGCGCCCCTAGCTCGTGCGCGAGAGAGAGGAGGGGACGGACGAGTGCGAGGTGTACCTGAACCCGGGGAAGAAGAAACGGAGAGGAGAAGATTGCATGAGGAAGAGAATCCGAGGAAGAGAAGGAGGAGGTCTGAGACGCCTCACGAGCAGAAAGAGGTTGTAGGTCAACGCAACGCAGACACAACGCACAGCTGACTTCGCTTGAGAGCGGAGGAGAGAGGAGAGGAGAGAGAGATGAGAGGGGAAAGGAGAGAGGGCGGAGAGGAGAGAGGGGAGAAGCATCACCTCAAGTCGTCCCATGTAGTAGAATGTGAGGAGCAGCAGAAAGAGATTGGGGTCCACGTGAGGTAGGGAGACCACAGGCAGCTTCTCTTCAGCCCGCTGCCTCTGTAGTGACCCAGCAGGTCGAAGTGAGATGGGTGCTGCTGCTGCTGCTGCTGCTGCTGCTGTCAGCGATCTTCCATCATATCCTCCTGTCACGCTGTCCCCCTCGTTTGCCCCTTTAACGGACGTATTGGCACCATTAATCCCTGAAACCCCTCCTACCGACAACACACCACACCCCTCAGAACCGTAGCGTCTGCACAAGGCCTCAAAGCCTGCCCACGACGCTGCCAGCACCACTCTGTGAGCCGGAAACAGACGAGGGGGGAAGGAGCGGGGAACAGGGGTGCTTCTTGCATTCTCCGCAGCCATCGTAGGTCTTATCTCTCGGAATTCCCTGTCCGCAGCACCGGCAGCACCAGCAGCACTACCAGCAGCACCAGCAGCGCCAACACTACCATCTTCTCCAACAGCAAAAACAATGTCTGAAAACTCGTGGGAGTTGACCAGAGACGCCCAGAACCCACGTGGCGACGAGCCATTGGTGCTCTCAAGGCTGACTCGGCTACAATTAGGGTGACTGTAGCCGATGGTGCCACTTCTGCTGCCATACACACTCTCACTGCTATGATCTAGAGTCCACTTGCTGCTGCTGCTGCTGGGGCTGCTGCTGCTGCCATTTCTGCTGCATGTGTTGCTGCCGCTGTTGTTTCTGGTGCCGATGGTACTGATGCTGCTGATGCTGTGAATCAAACAGCCTTCCCTGCCCCTTCCGCCCACAGTTTCCCACACAGACCTCGGAATTCTCACATGTGGTAACACGCGAATGTTCCTATATCCAACGTGCTTATCCCACGTGCTCAGCCCGACGAACCTAACGTCCAGGTTCGGGTTGCGGTCCTTGTGTAAGAGCACCACCCGCCTGCCAGGCTCGGCACCCAATCCTACCGCGATCTGCCCATCCACCACGTTTATCCAAAAGGCTCGGAATTCCGAAGGGGTAATCGCCATGTGGGGCCCACCGCCGTCTACAGTATCTACACCGCTATGATCCTCTACAGTACGATCACTTTTAAAACGTAAGATTCTAGTAACGGAATGAAGCGGCAAGTGAGCGAGGGTAGTCCAACTACCATGGCTGGCACACGTGAAGCAAGTGCAATACAATCCGCTTTTGCTGCTGCAGCTGCTGATTTCGCCGCTGCCGCAGCTACCACCGCCGCTGCTGTTGGAACCAATCCTGTTCTTCCACGTGGCCGTCCCTCCGCCAATACCAGACTGCAAGCACTCAAAATTAGTCGTTTCAGCCACGGCTACCCCATCGACCTCCAGCTTAAGCCGTCGGTTCCTATGGCTGCCGAACACGACCGTGTAATTCCGCCCCGCGTCCGTCCGATAGTGCCGGCTGCCGTCGCGCGTGTCTTTAATCACCACCGTCGCGTCGTTCTCGCCGCGCACCTCCAGGACCACGCACCCGCGGCCAGGACGGCAGAACTGCAGGCCGGCGCCGTCCAGCCACGCGCACTCGAACGGCGGCACGACGACGACGCTGTTAGGCGCGACGCGCACAGCCGTCGCTGACATGGCGACTATTAGACGTTTACCTAGAAAATTACCGGTTTACCGACGCGCAGACAGTACGACGACGACGATGACGGCTACCAAGTAACCGTGTAACCGTTTTTGCAGTGATTCCGTTCTGGAATATTGCGTTCCACGCTCCTTGACTAAGTAAAATGCGAGCTCGATCTCAGTACCACCTTACACATGCCATACGAGCATACTCGCGATCCCGAGGTCGTACGTAATGAACACGGTCAATAGGATCTGGAACCTGGGACTATATGTTCACCTTCTTTTTTATGCTTTAACGACCGTTACCGAAATCGTTTAGCCCGTCGTGCGCTAGAAGGTACATCGACCCACGATCGCTTCCCTAATAGCCCGATTACGACTTGTCTGTCGTCAGTTCTGAACCTGCCTGCTCTACACATCAGCACCAATGCTTGCTTTGGTTTTAGGCGGCCTTATTACAAGGGAAAAAGGCTGTCAGTCAGTTTCAAGGGCCATACGGCAATCTCAACGTGCCGCAATTGCTGCTCGTCAGGTCCCTCCTGAATCACATCTCAAGGTTGGGAGGAAGTGAAGAAAACATTCTCGTTGTTGGCTGGTTCGATATGAAGAGAAATGCATATGACTGATGGTATCGTGTTGTTATTGCGATAAGTGAGGGTTGTGCCGCTGCGTGGGTCTGGCGTGACGGGGATCACACGTGAACCACGGCTGAAGAGGTGGTGGAGGGTGATTGGCAGCAATGACGTGTCGCACACGCCATCAAACACGACGCGTGGGCGATAGAACACATTGATGTAACGTCACGTTTCGCACAAAATATTCGTCTCAAAAAGTTACAACTAACGGAGTACACTCCATGTTTCAAAATCTCAAACATGGAACACGTCTATTGCCAGCTCTCAAACCCCTGCCGTTGCAGACGCCGAAGCACCTGCGACTCGCCACGAAGCATCAGCAATATCTCCTGAAGTATATCACCTTCGCCAGAAACTCGCTCGAATTCATTCGGCTCCTCTCCACCCGTCCGCCGCGCCAGTTCACAAGGGCCCATCACCTCCTCCTGTTGACCAAGAGGGGAGGGGGAGGAGAACACCGCCCAGGGTTCATTGGTTCATGTACCGCATTTGAGAAAGGTTCTTAACGGTTTGAAACGGTGATGTAAAACAATTCCTCCAAATTCCCCTGCATCGTACTCGACCGTTTTACCAAACATGTATGCCATCTCCCCTTCACCACCGCTCCCTCGCCTTCCTTCTGCTCCATTCTTCAGCCACATACGTTGCCTGCCCACCTGTCTCAGGTGGGACCAAATCACCTCACTTGATTTGTGCATCCGCCAGAAGTTGGGGCGGTGATGTCGTTCGAAAAGAGAAACTACGTCGCACAGTTTCGAGACTGTACTGCCACGCGCAGGAGAGGATCCCCTTCATGATGTCAAAGCAGTTTGTAGCATATTCAAAGAATCCTTTGTAATATTGGACTTCGCTTACGCAAACGACCACGGTAACTAGCACCCGCGTAGGCGAGAGAGTTATTGAATAGCTCGCGCCATGGCTCACATGGTTTTGCTCTCCGTCCTCGCCCTTCTCACTCTCTCGTCAACCTTCTCGCACCCTCGCACCGCACTTGTCGCCGCCGTATTAGACAGACGGCAGCTAGCTACACCAGCTGCCGACAGCTTTCAGCTGACCGGCGACTCAAGTCTTCACGACGGCGAGGATGACGGTTTAGACGACCAAGCGCTGCTGAAACTGTCTGAGGCGGAACAGGCGGACTTCCTGCGTCAGTCCGCGGCAGAGGAGTCTGATTTCCTGCAGTACGATTCCGAAAGCGCGCCGATTCAGCCGAACGACGCGCAGCGTGCGGCGCTTCTCTCGCTCAAGACCGCCTGGGGCTCCGATTTTTTCAGGGCGGAGACATGGTCGGATGCGGAAGGGGAGCACCAGTGGTGGGGGGTTACTGTAGACTCTGACGGCGACGTCGTGGCCTTGGAGTTGCCGAACGCGAATCTGGAAGGCGAAATTCCCGAGGAGCTGACGAAGTTTCATGATCTCGCGACGCTGGATTTGCGCGGGAACAGGCTTAGTGGAAACATCCCTACAGGAATATTTTCCAACTTAACATCGCTGCATGAGATTTACTTGAGCAATAATCTGTTGCAAGGGAAAGTGCCCTGGATCGAGTTTTTCTACTCCAATGACTCCAAGGTGACAACTCTCCGGCTTGATGGGAACAGGTTTTCGGGCAAGATTCGTCCCAAAGCTTTCGATAACGCGACGTCGCTGCAAGCTCTCTTTTTGGGCAACAACAAGTTCTACGGGAAGATCCCGAGGAGTCTCGGCAGCTGCAAAGAAATCTCCGTCATCGATTTGAAGAACAACCAGTTCTCGGATCTGATGCCGACTACTATCGCGGATCTTCCCGCTCTCGAAGTGCTGGACGTTAGTGGCAACAAGCTGACTGGACCAATTCCCAACTTCCTCGGCCGGCTCCCCAGTTTAGTCAACCTCGATTTAAGCAATAACCAGTTCTCTGGCCTTGTACCGGATTCATTCAAACTTTTTTCGCACAAGGCGCGTGCGGTGAAAATTGGAGACAACTTCCTGACTGGGCCTTTGCCTCAGTTTCCACGCTTCTCTAAAGGCTGCGGCATCAACGGCGTAGGAGGCTTGGACACCACATCGTGTTACATGCTTCGGTCTCTTCTGGATTTCGAGGGCAACTTCTTTTACGGAAACTACTCGCTGGATATTCAGCTGCCCGGCTCGGAAAACCGTCCTGCCATGTCAACAGTCTGCCCGTACGAGTACCCTGAAAGCATCTACGTGAATGATAACTGCCTGAGCTCCACGGATTTATGCGAAGCGGAGAAGCAGAGGCCAACCAAGGAGTGCGATGAGTTTTGCGGGACCGGCACTCCAGAGGGGCAGTGCGGGGGCAAGGGGGTTTGTGTGCTGAATTCCGTAGAGGGGAGTGGGCAGAAGTTCGTGTGTGAGTGTGAAGCGGGGTATCTCCCGATGGGCAACCCTTCCACTTGCGTGAAGGGCTGATCGGGGTACGTGAAGCAAGGGGTGGTGGTGAAAATGGGGTGTCTGTGAGGTGGTGTGTATGGAAGGACTTCTGGGTCTGCTGTCATGACTTCCATGTTCTTGTGAGCAGCACCAAAGCTTTTTGGATGCGGGAGAGGAGAGGAGGAAGGCGGGGAGGGGAAGGGGGATGGGAGCGGGGAATGTGGACGAGTGAAGTGAGTGGCATCTAGGCTTATCCTGATGCCATTAAACATTCTGTGCATAGAGTTTCTAAGTACCTCTCTGCATTCAGAATATCAAGCTTTTGAGGTCTCTCATTTGTTTGTAATATTGGGAGGTTTGGCTGACGTATATGTACAGCAACCTTATTGCATGATAGTTTTTTAAGCTAGCAGGAATCGTACATACGTTTCCAAAGCAGGGAACTGCACGTTACCAGTACAGTAGATTCGTGTGTCGCGAGGAAAAGTTTTTATTGTAGCGCGATGGGACAGTACAGGTGCCCTTGCCTCGGAGTTGTTCCATGACCTCCCAGTGCTGCTGTTTGATTGGTCCGAATTACACTGTTTCATTGGTTCCTCGATTCCATTCCATGTGTATACGCGTTGTGGAGTTACGGAACCCCCCTAGGAATCTTGGCAAGCAGCACGCCATCGCCAGGCAAGCCCGAACATGGGTGAAGCCGTTTTGGCGGGTGGGTGCTTCGACTTGTGTCAGGAGGAAACAGCTCTCTGCTTTCTTCAGTGGTGTTCAGTTGCCGCTTTCGTAACAGCTCCATAGCCTAGCATCCGGTTTTCGTGTTGCTTGTTTCCGTTTTCACGGATAGCTCCACGGTCGTACTAGCTACAAGGGTCCATTCGTCGTGCCATAACTAAGAGAGCACTCGCTAGGGTTCTCGAAGGCACGTCGATCTGTCGTGTTGGTAGAAGCGTCTTATCAGCCTCACAGAAGCTCTCGTGTTGTGGAGTAGTTATTCGTTTTTGCACCCTGACGGAGGAAATCCCGCACTTCATTATAGCGCTACACGAGCATCGGGAATGGTTGATCAGGCAATGTACTCGTGTAGTTTAGACCGCCTAAAGCAGATCCTGAATTAGGAGCTGATTGTTTGCAGCGAGACCGAGCCAGGCTAGGGTTTCGTTATAGGAGGTTCCGACAGGAGGACACAATGGCCACCAAACCCTTGTCGTTGTATCTAATCCTTGGTGCAGGTAGGACCTCTGACCTATGGCGACGCAAGGGGTGCCAGAATTGTACCCTCGCATGTTTCTGCTCCTTCAATTGGCTCCCAGCTTTGAGAAGTTCCGAGCTTTATTTATCTTCGTTTGTGGCTTCCACGATATGGTCAAAGGAGTTGTTCTACAGATTCGGGCCTTGGACTTCTTGCACCAGTGGATCTGAGCAGCTGGTTTCCCGATCGAACTCTTTCTCTCGCGGTCAACGCCGTTGCCATTCATTGCGCCAGCTTATACTCGTTATTCGTGATTTGTTACGCGCAGGTGTAGCTGGTGTAAGCATTCTCGGTCCCGCCGGCTTTGCGGATCTTCTCCGCGATATTACTCGGGTGCGTGAATCCCGTCCATCCCTGTACGCGCTATTGCCATATGCGTAACGTAGTAAAAGGTGGTCATTTCCCGCTTTTTCCCGACTGTCTACGTAACCTCTCACGATCTTAACCATCCTCTCACAACCTTGCCTTGTCGCATTTGATTTTGCCCGTGGCTCTCTGGATCGTACGCTTCATTGTAAAAGAACCCCGCTCTACCGTATTTCGCTCCCACGGAGCCTCTCTCAACCGTAGTCCGCCTTGAATGAATATCTTCAACAAACCGTTGGACCTCTGAGAAGCCTCCGTGAGCTATAGCTTTCAGTAGCTCCCTTCCATCCCCCTCTCCCCCCTCCCCCACCACCCTTCCCCCACGCCGCCTTCTCTGTTTCGTTCCTGGCAGGTGGTATCGAAGCATCTGAAGTCGATAGACGATGGATCCGAGAGCAAGAGAGACCACACAGATGACGTCAACATGGCTCTGATCGACCAGGTAAGGTGTCCTAACTCCTGCTCTGGCTCTGCCAGTTACGGTGCTTGCCTCTTGCTGCTGGATTGATGGGCCAGGTAGGGTGTATGGAAGCACTGTGTTTTGAGGCACCTGAAGGCGATTGATGATGGATCAGACAGCAAGAGAGATCGCACAGATGACGTCAACATGGCACTGATCGACCAGGTAGGGTGATTAAAAGGGACCGTTTATTTGGTGTCAACATTTTTTAGCACTCCAATTTCGGTGCGTTTTGTGCATTCTCTCTTCCCCCAACACCCTCCCCCCCCCCCCCCCCCCCCCCCCCTCCCTCCTCCCCTCCTCCCTCCTTTTCCTGTCTAGCATAGAAGCTGATGTCATTTGACCTGCATCTGACGTCACCATCGTCACATCTCTCTTGTCCTTCCCTATTTCCTTGGAACCTTCCTCTCAGGTTCACAAGCTGAGCCTGCAGGTGCAGCAGCTATCCACCAGCTCTCGACCAATCACAGTTGTCAACGCGCCACCCGCACAAGACCGAGGTAAGGAGGTTCCGTACAAGGTTGCCGCTTCTGGTTTGTTTTCTCTAAGCAGCTGATTGCATTTGTCAGGTAGGGCACATGCCTTTTTTTTTGTGTGTGTGTCCTGAGTTCTGCAATTTGTCGAGCATTTGACCCAGATGATTTCTGCTCCTTTTTGTCCGCTCGTCCTCTTGTGGTGTTTGTGCATGAATGCAGGGAGCATTGTGGGGTATGTGGTACCGATGGCAGTCATTGGTGCGGCCGGCTATGGGATCATGTGGTGGAAGGTGCGTGCGTGTGCATGTGCGATTGTGGTGCTGGCATGGCATGGTGATGTTGGCATGGCATAAAATGGCAAGGCGAGGGGCGCAGAGACAAGGTTGTGAAGGCTGTGGGGAAAGGCATCAAACGTTTTTGCTTACTCCCTGCTTCCTCCACCTTTTCTGCCTCCTTTCTAATCCCTTCCTCCCTGCTGGTTTCCCCCTCCCCTCGTTCAGGGCTGGCGAGTGAGCGACCTCATGTACGCGACCAGGAGGAGATGGACCAGGCAGTGAAGCTGGTGAGGGGGAAAATGAGAGGGTCCATTTCCCCCCCCCCCCCCCCCTTCCTCCCCTTGCCTCCCTGCCGTCTTCTCTGTATGTCCGTCGTCTCTCCGTGTGCAGGGCTGGCGAGTGAGCGACCTCATGTACGTGACCAGGAGGAAGATGGACCAGGCAGTGAAGCTGATGGGGGAGAAGATGACGGAGATGCAAACAGCCCTCGACGTAAGCCTCGTTACACAGCACAGCACAGCCGGTTCTAGATCTGAGTTCAAGTGCAGGGAGGCAGCTCTAGGTGTGTGTGTTTGTGCATGTGTGTTGCTGGTTAGGCTGCTCTATGTGAGCGAGTGGGGCTTGTGTTGCGAGGGGAGGGGAGGCAGTGAAGCTCGTAGGGGAGAAGGAGACGGAGCTTCCAACAGTGAGTAAAGTTGGGAGGCAGGTGACTTTTGAGTCAACTCAAAAGTAGACGGAGCTTCCAACAGTTCTCTACGTGAGTAAAGTTGGGAGGCAGGCAGCCGTGGATGTGATGTGAGTGGGCCTTGTTCCATGAGGAAAGGCAGTCGGGTCTAGACTGGCAAGAGTGATAAGTCGATTTCTGAGTCGACTAAAAAATCGACTTATCACACACCGTGGATGTGATGTGAGTGGGTCTTGTTCTATGAGAACTGGCGGTCAGCTCTAGACTGGCAAGAGCAGCTGACAGGGCGGTTGGAAGGAGTGTTCAGGAGTGTCCCTTCTGTCAGGGCTCATAATTCCCACATCCTTCCGCACTTTCCCCTCCCTCCCCACCTTTTTCTCTTCCCCCGCCTCTCTTCCTTGGGAACCCCGCCTGCAGGCGGCGAATAAACAGCTGGCAGGGCGGCTGGAGGGACACATTCGTGCCCCACTATTCCATTTCCCTTGCATCTCCTCCTCCTCTCCCCTTCCTCCCCCCCCCTCCTCCCCCCCCCCCTCCTCCCCCCCCCTCCTCCCCCCCCCTCCTCCCCCCCACTCCCTCCCTCCTGGATCTCCACCTGCAGACGGCCAAGAAGCAGCTGGCGGGGCGGTTGGAGGGAGTGACCCTTCTTCCCCACATCTATCCCCTCAATCCCTTAAGTCTTTCCTCCCCTTTCCCGACCTCTCCTCCCCTCCCCCCCTTCTCCCTCCCTCTTCCTCTCCCCACCTGCAGACGGCCAAGAAGCAACTGGCGGGGCGGCTGGAGGGAGTGTCCAAGTCAGTGGCCGAGACGCTGAAGATGCAGGCCGTGATAAAGAAAGATGTGAGTAACGCATATACGGTGTGACTATAAATGAATCGAGTGAGGGGCTGGGTATGTGGATTAAGGGTGACAAGGAGGGAGGGAGTGTCCAAGTCGGTGGCCGAGACGCTGAAGATGCAGGCGGTTGTTAAGAAGGACGCGAGTGACTCATATAGGGTGTGAGTATAACGAAGCGAGTGAGGGGCTGGTAGGTGTATTAAGGGTGGTGGTTAGGTGTGTGACCAGGAGGGAGGGAGTGTCCAAGTTGGCGGCCGAGGGGCTGAAGATGCAGGCCGTGATAAAGAAAGATGTGAGTGGGATGGGCGGTGTGAGAATAAAGGGTGTGACTATAATGAAGGAAGCGCAGTGCGGTTGTGAAGGGTGACTAGTAGGAGGGAGTGCCTAAGTCGGTGGCTGAGGGGCTGATGATGCCGGCGATTATCAAGAAGGACGTGAGTGGGAGGGGGGGTGTGTGACTGTAACGAAGCGAGTGAGGGGCTGGTTGTGCTTGTAAAGGGTGGTTTGGTGTGATCAGGGGGGAGGGCATGTCAAAGTTGGTGGCTTTGGGGCTGATGATGCAGGCGATTATCAAGAAGGACGCGAGTGGGAGGGGAGGGGGAAGGGGAGGTGTGATTATACTGAAAGAAGAGAGCTGCTGGGTGTGCTTGCGCAGGGTTTAGGGGTGATAATGAAGGCAGACGTGAGCGGGGAGGAAGGTGTGAGTGGAGCGGGAGACATAAATACCTGGTCCTTATCTTAAAACCCAGCTCTTATTTTTCCTTCCCCCCCCCCCCCCCATGCTTGCAGGTTATCGAAGTGAAGGGGGTGGTTACCTCTGTGAGTCGGGACCTGGACAACATGCATGGGCTCGTGGAGGGCATGGTGAGTGATGGAAGAGGGGTGGGGGGGAAGGCTGGGGGAAAGTACTGAAGAGCACGTGTTGCTAGCGCTCCAGTCACCAGTGTGAGTCGCGACCTGGACAGCATGCATGGGCTGGTGGAGAGCATGGTGAGTGGAGGGGTGAGAGGGAGGTGGGGTGATTGCGGTGGGTGTTTGCATAGGGAGATGTCTTTCTGAGTTGACTCAAGTGTTGGGACCTTGACAGCATGCATGGGCTGCTGGAGGGTATGGTAAGTGCGAGGAGGGCAAGAAATTATCGGGGTGGCTTTTTGAGTCGACTTAAAAGTCAGCTGGGTGAATGGGTGGTCATTGATAAGGAGAGTGAGGTGGAGTGTTTCCATATGGGCGAGATCTGAGCAACATGTATGGGTTGGTGGAGGGCATTGTGAATCGGAGAAGGGGGGCTGTGGTATTGCCACAGCCACCCGAAGCTGACATTTCTCGTTTGAGCACAAGCAGGGCATTTCTACCCAACCACACGCCATGCTGCTGCTCTCATGTGCGTTTGGCATGTGTTTGCTGCCTGCTGTCCCCCTCTGCTGTTCCTCACAGGATACCAAGCTCGCCTCACTCGAGTAGAAGCAGGACATTGCCACTCGGGGGGTGCTGCTGCTCTCTTATGTCTCTGTCTTGTGCCCCCCTGTGTTACAACGCTCCTGCCTGCAGGATACCAAGCTCGCCTCGCTCGAGCAGAAGCAGGACATTGCCACTCGGGGCGTGCTGCTGCTGTGCAGCTTCGTGAGCAGAGGGCTGCAGGGCAACCCCGGCAACCAGGAGTTACTGAAGGTGTGATGGGTGGCGGGGAGGTGGGGTTCGGTGCAGAAGGGGAATGATGCGGTGAATGGTCTGTCTTTGTCTCTGCAGCTTCGTGAGCAGAGGGCTGCAGGGCAACCCCGGCAACCAGGAATTGTTGAAGGTGAGTAGTGGTGGGAATGGACGAGAGGGGTTGAGCGAATGCGGTTCAGTGGGGGAATGATGCGGTCCAGTGAGGTGAACAGTCTATTATTCAGCTTCCGCTTCCTCTTTTCTGTGTACTCAAATCTGTGTACCCCAAAGCCTGGCCGGCATGTCATGAATGGCCGTGCCACAGCTTTCCACGGGCAAGGGCGCTTCAGTCCCTCCCTCCTTCCTCTATACCTCTCGCCCTCTCTCCCTCTCCCGTTTTTTCTCTCCTCCCCCCAGGGCTTGGCAGGCATGTCACGAATGGCCGTGCCACAGCTTTCCACGAGCAAGGTCGCGGCATGCTTGCCTTTCGTCTCAGCTCCCTTCCTTCCTCTCACTTCCTCTCTGCCTTCCTCTCTCCCTCCCCATCTTCCCAGGGCCTGGCGGACATGTCTCAAATGGCCGTGCCTCAGCTTGCCGCAGGGAAGGGAGGAGCGGCAGGCGGGGCAGTGGGGCTATCAGGGCTCAAGGAGCTCGAGTTCATCTCGTCTGCCCTCGAGTCCTCCGTGCACCATACAGGTGGGGGTGCAGGTGCGCGTGGTACTTCTGCTGTGCTCGCTGGCCTGGGAGTGCTGGTAATGCTGTTGCAGGGTAGGGGGACGAAGGGGGGAGAGGTGGGCAATGGGCCTGACAGGGCTGAAACAGCTTCAATCTATTTCCTCTGCTTTTGAGCCGTCCATGCACCAGTCAGGTGGGAGTGAAGGCAAGGCTGGTGCTTCTGGTGTGGTTGCTCGAGGTGGGATGTGCTGGTGGTGCAGGGGTGTTGCCGGTGGTGCAGGGGTGTTGCCGGTGGTGCTGGGATGTTGCCGGTGGTGCTGCGGTGTTGCTGGTACTATTGCCACACATATCCCTTTAGCCCTGTTCCCTGCATCTTGTGAGAAGAAAAGGTAGAAGAGAAGTTGATGGATTGATTGAAAGGATGGGGGGTTTACATAGGAGATGAGTTGGAAACTAGCCTAGGTGAACATTATTGGACCCCAACCAAGGAGTTGGGTTGGGAGATTATTGGTGGGGTCCAATAATGTTGGCCAAGTTGGAGTTGGGCCAACATTATTGGAGGGGACCAATAATTCTACCCATCCCAACCCTTGGGGTCCAATAATTGGACCAAGGTTGGGTTTCCAACCTACAAATTGGGTAACCCCTGCTTGTACACCCAAACTAAGTTTGGGTGCTTATCTCTAGCCTATCCTATAGCATATATGCAGGTTACAAGAGAGGAGATATTCTAACACATCTCTCCATTATCTTTCTCTTCTTCTCCACCAACTCCTCCTCCTCTTCCCTCTCCTTGACCTCTGTTTTCACTTTCCATCTCACCCATCTGTCATGTCGCTCCTTCCTGGTCTATCCCTCCTTCCTTCCCACCCATGTCACTGTCCCAGGAAACCCACCACTTGATCCTGCCTACACCCACCAACCCACTCGCCAAGCCTCCTATCAAGCCTCATACCAAGCCCCGGCAGCAGGTTTGGAGCGGCAAACCTCCACACCAGCAGTGGCACCGGCAGCAGCAGGAATCGCGTCCAGACACTCGTTCGGAGCAGGAGGGGCGGCCGCAGCAGCAGCAGCCGCAGCAGCGATTGCTACAGTGTCGGGGAGATCCCGAGGGGAAAGTGCACCTGGATTAGTGGTAGGGGTAGGAGGAGGATCAGGAGGAGTGCATGGGTTAGGGACAGAGCGAGTGATGCAAGGAGCAGCAGCAGCAGCAACAGCAGCACGTGGCTTGCATACAGCAGCACGTGGCTTGCATACAGCAGCACCTGCAGTGCAGGGGTTGCATGCAACAGGAGCAGCAGCAGAAGCAGCTGTGGTTCAGAGTGTGAGAGAGGCTGGGGATGCTGTGTTGAGGCGAGGAGTCGTGATTGAGGAGGTGGGGGATGGAAGGGAGGGGTATGGGCGGCCGCTTTCAGCGAATGAGGTGTCGCCACCTCGTGCTCGTGAAGGAGGACCTGGGGGTTATCCACCAAGGTGCGTCCAACCCTTACTGTTTTTCTATTCGTATGAATTTTATCCTCGTGTTGCTGCAAATTACGATGCAGGCTCTTACAGTACTGGTTTGGTGTAGCGCCTCTTCTGGTTCACTCCAAATTCCACCTGACTGACTTTCCCTGGCATTTACTTGTGTTTCAGGAAGCTGAGGCATGCTCGATTTGGGGACTGAAGAGGACTTTTTATTAGCATACATGGCCACGATTGGCGTGAGCAATTCATACATACCCAAAATCTTGAAGATTGGTATACATGAGATGCAAGGTGAAATGCTGCACCATAACATGTTTCATGAACTTATCGCTGGCCCTTCCATGTGCTATTCCTGCACCACAATATTCTTGTGCAAGGGGCATTGTTTGTGAGATCCACCTGAAGTTGCATAATACGAAACATTAGCAAGAAATCAGGAGTAAAAGAAGCAAGAATTAAGGTGCATCTCTAAGTAGAGGTCCCTGAGTAGGGGACAACCAAGTAGCACCAACAGGAGGCGGCGTTATAAGTGCATGCTAAAAGCTAAGGGGAGTATGGCAAATAGTAAACTAGTCATGCCCCATTCACAGCGAGATGCTGGGTGCACACTGCTCGTTGTACTTCTTAGCGGAAAACGGGTCCAGCTGCATCGTGCATTCCACATGCACCATAACGCGCGGCGACGAGATGCCCCAGTATTTCACGCGCGCGGCAGTGCCAACCACCACCCGCATTTCCGCGCGCCCATGCAGCAGCGGCGTCGTCAGCAGGCTCGCGGGACTCAGCGTCGCCAGGGGCGCGTCGACAATATCGAGGGGGACAGTCAACTCCGCGCTCCCACCCTTGCTCATGCCCACAACGCCAGGGAGGGTCACATTCGCAACATGCATGTCGAAGAATTTCACGTCGATGCTGATGTCTTCCGCTTCCACGTCCCTGTTGTTGGGGTTATACACGAGCGCGGTGACGTTTAATAACGCGGATAGGCCCAGGCGGAAGTTTTTGAGGCCCAGGAAGCCGCCGCCGGATTTGGTGATGCCGACGCGGATGATGTTGATTTGCTCGACCTTCACCTCCGGCTGTTGCTTCGAGACTGTCAGGTATGCGACGAGCCCTGCGACGCCTAGGCCGACGATAACGACGGCGAGGGCGATGAGCGACCAGCATGCGACTCGGCAGCAGCAGGTCCGGCGACGACGCCTCTGGCGATCCGTCTCGTCCTTGCGAAGCTTTTCTACTTCGTCTGCAGTGCTGGTCACTTCCTTAGGGTTGGCGATGCGCAAGTCGGAAGGGTAAACCGCGGTGAAATCTCCCGGGTTTTCCTCATCCGCGCTGTCACTTGCGGAAACTGCGTTCCTGGCTAGTGGAGGCGCGCAGCAAAATAGTGGAGGTGACTTTTGAGGAGGCGACGAGGAAACGGGAAGCGAGGCGTCTGGAGCTGAGAAAGCGGAGTTTCCAGATTCAATGTCCCCGTCAGATGCGAGCTGTTGCGTCGCCTTCGAAATCCGCGAATCGTTGACGAGAGCATTACTTCTGGTTGGGGATGGTTGATGTGAGATGGTTGGGTCGAGTTGGGTCGAATTGGTCTGTCTGCAATGCCCTTGCGCTTGCGTATTTATCGTGCAAATGGGGGCGAGAAATGTCAAGTTCCGTGGCCCCCCACCCTCCCTCCCCGCTGGGGCCACGCTGGGTAATCCTGGGTAACCGAGTCGCGCCCAGGGTAATAGCGGTCCGCTGTGCACGGTTAGGCGAAGGTAATGGCGGAGCCGAAGCTTCTTCCCCGCTTTGTTATCGGGGATGCGGACAAACGAACCAGACGAACCAGCCAACGCGTCTCGGTGTAGCCCCTCATTCCCAGCCTGCCTAGCCTACGTGTTCAATTTACTAGTACGTCCGGTTAAACTCATCACAGAACAAACCGTTACTAGTCAAATGTGCTGGCTTGTTGACAAACTAACTTCTTATGTCAGTGCATGGATTTCCGAGGTTGGCTATCCAGGTTCCATCCCTTCATTTACAACTGTAGTTGAAACGAGTGAAACAAGCTGGGCCGGGGCTTGGCGATTAAGAAAGATGATCAAATAGATCACGGTTTGAGCTTTTTGGATGTACCAGTAGCACAATAATAGGTAGCTAATGAATTCAGTTACAGGTTAGCTAAGCCTCGCTAACACATTGCCAAGACACAACTACTTTGCTTCCCTAGGCCACCACCAGTTTTATATAGGGACCAAGTGAATGTTCATCCAGCGGAAGAACCGCACAGGAGGCAAGCCCTGCTACTCAGTGTCGCTCTCGCCTCACGACGCTGGTTCAGGCACTGCTGCCCTGCCACCATTTCCTAAACCCATGACCCATGATAGTGCTTAAAAACACACGTGTGAACTACCCGTTACCTCCCCAACACGCATCTCATCCCCCCCAAGAGCTAATATCTATCCCGCGATGATGGGATGTCACGTAGCAACGAAATCGGCAGCTTCGAAAACGCACCCCCGCCGCCGCCCCTCTCAGTGTCGCTCTCGCCTCTCGATGCCGGCTCAGGCACTGCCCTGCCGCCGCTGCTGCTGCGCCGGCTGCCCGAGGAGGACCGCTCGCGCTCGCCCCCGCCGCTGCTGCTGCGACCAAACGCACTGCTGAAGCCACGCGTGAGGGGCGAGGTGCTTCTGGGAGATCTCTGACCGGCTGGTGGGAGGGAATGGGGCGGCAAGGGAGAGGGAGGGGGAGAGGAATGAGGGTGGAATGGGAGGAGACATGCACTGTTGAGCCATGGGTGAGGGACGAGGTGCAGCCCTGCTGCTGCTGCAGCTGCTGCGCTGGTCGCCTGAGGAGGACCGCTCGCGCTCGCCCCCGCCGCTGCTGCTGCGACCAAACGCACTGCTGAAGCCACGCGTGAGCGGCGAGGTGCTTCTGGGAGATCTCTGACCAGCTGGTGGGGGGGAAGGGGCGGCAAGGGAGAGGGAAGGGGGGAGGGGGGAGAGGAATGAGGGTGGAATGGGAGGAGACATGCACAGCTGAAGCCATGGGTGAGGGACGAAGTGCACCCTGCTGCTGCTGCTGCTGCGCCGGCTGACTGATGAAGACCTCTCATGCTCGCCCCCACCGCTGCTGCTGCGACCAAACGCACTGCCGAAGCCACGGGTGAGAGGTGAGGTGCTTCTGGGGGATCTCTGACCGGCTGGTGGGGGGTGAAGGTGTAAGGGGGCGTGGGGCGGAGGTGGAAGAAGAGAAAGAGATTGAGGGTCACATGCGGAAAACACAGCTGAAGCCACGAGTGAGGGAGAGCTTCTTCTGGGGTGCCTCTGTCCGGCCGGTGGGGGTTGAAGGAGTAAGGTGGCGAGGCGGGCTGCTAAAGCCACAGGTGAGGGGCGCTGGTGGAAAGCGGGGAGGGGGGAAATGAGGGAAGTCACAAGCCGAAGGCATGACATCGCATGCACTCTATATCACGAAAGGGCATGCGGAAGATGTGGGACACGTGGGGCATGTGGGGCATGTGGGGCATGTGGGGCATGTGGGGCATGTGGGGCATGTGGGGCATGTGGGGCATGTGGGGCATGTGGGGCATGTGGGGCATAGGGGGCATGTGGGGCATGTGAGGCATGTGGGGCATGTGGGGCATGTGGGCACGTGGGCATGTGGGCATGTGGGACATGAGAGGTGTACCCGAGGGGCTAGAGCTGCGAGCAGTGGCGCGAGAGAGCAGCCCGCCTCCTGATGACGATGTGCCTGTGGCGCCTGACTTGACCTGCGCCTGAGGGGTATACACACAGACATCACATACACACAGACGTGCACACCCAGATATCATGCACATACATACATGGCCGCACACACAGACATCATGCCGTGAAGACAATCATGAGCTGTGTGCAGTGTGCACAACCTGGCAGCCATGAGAGCCTGCGGAAAGCAGGACTCGTAACAGATAGACCCGGCAACGAAACACTACCAGCTCCCTTTGAGAGTGAAGTAAGCGTCGATCAGCTTGAAACCAAGCTAAAGTTGCATGCTAGAATGGATGCTGGACAAACTATGGACCGAGGACAGCTAGAGGCCTGGGACCACCATGACATGACAAGTGGGCGCACCTTGAGAGTGAAGTAGGCGTCGATCAGCTCGTGCAGCAGCGGCCGTGTGGCACCGCCAGGTGTCATGATGGCATTGGACGACGGCAGGCCGAGCTCGTCCTCTAGCTTTGGTCGGCGTGGGTACACCGGTGGCTGGGGAAACGCAAGGGAGAGAGGAAATAAGCTTAGTTGAACGAACGGAACACCTTAAACCGGACTTTTTTGCTTTCACCTTTGGTCCAAGCCCAATTATCCACGGTCGACTTTCCACGACACCGTTACTGTCTGTACCTACGACCGTGACCTCTTACATGGATGCTGAACATACGCGGTTACCTCTTGTACGCAGTACATGCCATTGCTGTCACCTTCACGTAAAACATCTATTCACCGTTCACACTCGCATCTTGACCTCCTATGCTCCGCTCCATTGACAACACGGCTATTCGCCTACATGACATGGCGTTAGAGCACCGACCAGGTTACACGCTAACAGGTACACTTGGACAGTTACTGGGTTACATCCCGCGGGGTACACCTCAACAGTACGTACCAGGTTACATCCAGAGAGGTCACGTCGACCGTACGTACCAGGTTACACTCCGAGAGGTACACTTTGAGGGTATGGTCCATCTCCCCCCACTCGAGGTACTCGCACAGCAGCGCCGTGAGCAGATGCCCTGGCACGACGTCACCCAAAACCACGTGGGAACAGTGAGGTATATGTTACAGTGAAGAACAATGTTATTCACAAATCACGGTTGCAAAAGCGGGTAGAGTTTACGTATGTCACAGTGAATCATGAGCTACACAAACGGCAGGGGCAGCAAGCAGAGAGTAAACAGCAGCCATCATACAAGCCGCCTCTCACAATCCGATTCGTCTGAACGCACAAGCACTTCCCATCGCCTCCCATCAATTCATCCGACTACCTCCCATCCATTCACGCGACTACCTCTCATCAGCTCACCCGTTTTCGAGTCGTGCAGGTTCTTCGCTTGCTCGCTGCAGCCGCCTCTCACAATCCGAGACGTCTGAAAGCACGAGCCCTTCCCATCACTTCCCATCAATTCAACCATCCGCTCACGCGACTACCAGCTCACCCGTTTTGGAGTCGTGAAGGTTCTTCGCCTGCTCGCTACAGCCGCCTCTCACGGCGCGTTGCTCGTCGCCGCTCGCCGTCTTGTCCTTGTCGTCGATCACCTCGAATATGCTCGCTCGCAGCTCCGCCTGCCACCACAAGCCACGAGCAAGGAGTCACGAGCACGACATACGAGAATTTTATCGACGATTCACGAGTCCCCAGACACGAGACACAAAGAAAATCTTAAGCGGCCCAAATATTCGCCGTCTTGTCCTTGTGGTCGATCACCTCGAATATGCTCGCTCGCAGCTCCGCCTGCCAGAAATAGCCACGACCCACGAAACTCCAGATTCGAGAGCTTCAGTTACGAGACACGACCTACGACCCTCATTATGTCAAGCTTCATTGAACGAATACGAATCTCTTGATTTTGACCAATAACGTGCCTTGAAACAAAAACACAACCAGAGGCGACACGGCTCGAGCGACGGCATTCACGCGTCGGAATCTGACATGCTCGTTCAAAAGCCGTCGTCCCGAATATCACTTTGGCCTTCTCGTACCTTGAGTCGAGCCAAAACACCCTTCTTCTCTAAAGCCTTCGTCACGAGCGTTTTCAACTCTCCCATCTCCTTGTTGTACTCGTCTAGAGGAGTCGGGTGATTTTGAAGCGTCGCCATTCCCACGTGTACTCAGCCTAAAGTCGGAAGGTGAATGAGCTCGGTCAGGTCTAGCAGATTATGAAAGTTAATCCTTCAAAATACGCGTACTTTGACTGCACTGGGATTGCAGCTTCAGAATACGGTAAGTGCGAGTGACGCCAGTGTAACTTGAAAAAAACTAATTTACGGTCCAAAGTACACGATAGGCGGGGAATATTGATGTCACAAATAGCAGACTGAGCAACTTTGTTCTCTCGAGTCTGCCGAAAGGACTGGGAAATGAAGGAATAAGGTTGGTGATTGATGGGATGTGGAAGGAGAGGTAGGGGAGAGCAATGGATCAAGCGATAGTAGCAGGCTGGAAAATTGCTTTTGGGTATGGTCATTTTTCAACTCATTCACCACGGTTCTGCGGTTTGCGTTACGTTCCGGATCGGTAAAGTCAAAGTACCGCTAAATACCGATCGAGAAACTTGCTGAACCGTACTGGACGATCAGCATACAACCACACCCTGTTTGCTTCAGCCGACAACCAGCACGCAGATGTGCGAGGAGGTGCTTTCCAGTGCCAATCCCCGACAGAGACGGAGCGCAACGGTCTGGGGTGCTGGAACTGCCGATGAAGCGAAAAAATGCGAGATGAAACGAAATGCAAAACAGGCTGACGAAAGGAAATCAGGTTGCCAGCTTGGCATGCTTGTCAGAGTGTGTGCAGGCTTTTGGAACCGCGCAAATGAAGTTCCAGTCCAGACCAGACCAGCCTTTTGGGTTTGTCCTCGGTGGTCCCTACACCAGGAGGGGGAAAAGCTTGGAGGGAAAACCGTCTGACAGGCTTGAACCACAACCCGTCGATGCAAGCCCCAGTACCGGATATGGCTATTGACAGACAAATGATTTAGGGCAAAGTCTTACACAGTCTTGCAATATCAAGCAAACCATAACCTACATGCTGCATAAAGAGTGATTGCAGCACATTATTCAGCCCTATCACGCCTTTCTACGCCAATAAAGGACATAAACTACCAGAAGTGCTAAAACCCTGCGTGAATAGACATGTACATACTATTGGCATGCGGTTTTATGTCCGCGGGAGGGGAATGATCAGGCGATGGCAAATCCAACGGCGGGGGAATGGACAAAGGAGGCAGTCCCCTCTTACGCGCCCATTGCTCTCGAATCAGCCTTGCAGCCTTACTCACAGGAGCACCCGTCTCCCTCAACTCCCCCAAACCCAGCAGCAAACCCCCCAAACTGCCTTCCGAATCTCCAATACTCACACTCCCTTCATCCCGGCCCCTCTTATTCGACTGCCCAGACATGCTAAACGAAGAGTTCGCAGATCGTACGCACGGAGAGGCGCAAACGTGGGAAATACCCTCCGTTCCGAGGCTTGAGATGGCAGCGGCTGCTTCTCGGGCCGCTGTTGACGCTGGGAAGAGGGGAAGCTCCGTGATGGCTGCAGCGGCATTTAGACAAGGTTCTCCATGCACAGGAGGTGGAAAATCGACAGCAAAATCTGCAGCGCGCTGAGCATCGGCTGGGTAGGAGTCCGATGCAACCGTAGGCCCGGCAGCCCACGTGAAGTCGCTTGCCGAAGCAGCCGCCGAGCCTGACGCCGAGCTTGTTCCAGGTCCGGAGAGGGGTGCCGAGGCTGAGAATGAAGCGGAGGCGTGGATAGGGGCGAGTGCGAGGGAGAGGGTGGATGGGGAGTGGGCGAAGTTTGTGGGGTGGGGAGGGTAGGTGGTGACTGGATAAGGTGTTACTGGGGAAGATGCTACTGGAGCAGGCGCAGCTGCTGCCGGGGTTGGAGGGGCGATTGCTCCCGTACCAGCCGTACCGCCCACACCAGCCGAACCAGCCATGCCACTTGCACTGCCTACATAAGCCATATCATCCATATCAGCCGTCTCAAACCCAGGGCTTGCAGCAGGCACTCCCATATCAGCAGCGCCAGAGGCGGGGTGTGAGGAAGGATGAGTAGCATGTGGGGCGGCGTGTGTGGCGTGGGGGTGCAGGTGATCCGGGGAGGGGAGGGAGGGAGGGGAGAGGGCCGCATAATCGGATAGAGGAGGAGGTGGTGGGGAAGACGTTATGAGAGGATGGTGGGGAGGTTGCTGCCATTGCTGCTGTTGCTCCTGCTGCCATTGCTGCTGCTGCTGCTGCTGCTGCTGCCATTGCTGCTGCTGCTGCTGCTGCTGCTGCCATTGCTGCTGCTGCTGCTGCTGCTGCTGCCATTGCGGTTGGAACTGCGGCGGTTCCCGGTACTGCGGCAATGCGTGGTACTGCAGTTGCTCCTCCGGTGGAAGTCCAGATGCGGGAAGCGCGGATGCTGTCTGTGCTGCCGCTGGCTGCGCTGGTGTTTGCTCCCTCGATGCTGGCTCCCCATTGGACGGCTCCCACATGGCACACGCGACAGGATGGTCCAATGAAAACCCACCATCTGGCACGTGAACAGCATCCGGGGCGCCACTCGACTCTCGAGACAGGTTGGCCGATGGGAACAAGAAAGGCTGCTGGAAAGGCGGCTGGAAGGGCTGTTGCTGCTCTTCTCCCTCTTTCGCGCTTCGTTCTTCCCCCACGCCCTCCTCTTCCCCATGTTCCAGCTTTACCGGCGCCATCCGCGCAATCGCGACCCCGCGATTCCCCCCATCTCCCCCCGCGCTGCCCCCCCCCTCCCCTTGTCCCGCGCCCGCCACCTCCCCCACATCTCGCCCAGGAAGCTTCGTTAAAAGCTCCTGCTTAAACTTCTCTACAGTCCCCTTAATCATCTCGGTACAGTCACCCCCGTTTACAGTCACATTCTTGTCGGAGGACAGGAGCTTTGTGACCATATCGAGCAGCGCCGTTGCTTCTGCTTCAACTGGTGACGTGGCATTGGCGACCGGCGCGCGTTCAACGCCAAGTGTCACCGCCTCGTTTGAGGGTGAAGTCAGCTTCGCGCCGCGCGACGCGCAACCATCCGCTCCGCTCCCCTTTACAGCGCGCGATTCGGGGGGAGGCGCAAGCTCAGATTCCCGCAGGCTGTCCGCCTGTCCGTTCGTTTCCGCCTGTCCTCGTCCCCGCGCCAACGTTGCGCCTGCCCCTTGCGCCGCCGATTCCTCGCCCCGCTCTCCCTTCTTCACGCCTTGGCGCCGTTCCCGCTTCTCCGCGGCCTTTGCGCCGTCCGCCCTGCGCCCGCCTTGGAGCGCCCAGAGCTCCGCCATGATCGCGGGGAACGTCGCCTCCCCCTCGAACAGCGTGACAACCGGAGATTCGCCGCCTTTTGCGCCAACGGCGCCGCTGGAAGAGAGGCCGGCGTAGAAACTTGACGGCGCCGGCAGTTCCGCGGCAGACGGCGCACTCGCCGGCCGCGCTGAAGGAACAGATACTCTGGGCGATTGCGCGCCAAGCGCAAGATTCTTCTTCCCCGCGCCGCCCGCTGAGCGCCTTTGCGCTGGAGGCGGCCGCGGGCTCGCGGGGATCTTGGACTGGCAGCGCTGCTCGTTTTGCGGCTTTGCGGGTTTCTCGCCGGTTTTTGCGGGTCGTGGCGACGGCTCAGCGCCGTCAGCTGACCGAAACCGTTTCTCGGACGGATTCCGTCGACTTTCGTTAACCGCAGAAAGATCTGCGTTCGGCCCGAAGAGAGCAGTCAAGATCGCGTTCGCCTCCTCAAGTGCGCGCATCTCCTGCGCGGACGGCGCGGGCGTGGCGGAACATGTTCCGTGCGCCACCGCCTTTGCCCGTGCGGGAACCGTGCCGGCGTGAGCGCCGCGGGACGTCGGGGGAGTATTCGGGGAAGCGGGCGGAGAGTGCTTGGCGGAAGGCGAAAATTCGGGGACCTTGGCGGAAGCGGGTTTCGCCCCAAGCGGCGCGGCTTGCGCGGAACCTGCGCGCGGCGTCTGCGCGGGCGAGGCGGAAGCAGCGGAAACGGCGCACGCTGAACCATTGGCGAGGGGGAGAGCGACCGCCGGCCATTGGCGCTCGGGCTTGGCGGCCGCCGCCTCAAATGGCGGCCATTGCTCCGTTTTGACCTGTGCCGCTTTGCGCAAGGCGTCCGCCCATCCTCCGCCCAGCGCCGCCATTCTGGATCGGTAACTCGGGAGCGGATCTTTAGAATCTTCAAATGTAAACAAAAAGGACACGCGGCTTGAAATTAAGTTTCTGGTAGCGTCGTGCGCTCGAACAAGCGTGAAGAGAACTTGGATCTGAGGAACATATGGCCTGCGAACACGCCGTATCGGTCCAGACTGTTCTGCGTTCCGTCTTACTACTGTCGAGTGCGTATGAGAAACTGGTAAATAATAAAAGCTTGCGACTCCTTGTCTGCCGCAGCTGCCGCGTATTCTTGATTATGTCCCACAGGTCGGCACCCAGCGCTGCTGTTCCGCGCCAAGCGGTGCGGGACCCTGAGGGCCCTGCGTGTCCGGAAGGGCAGTGGCGCAGATGAAGTGGGTGCGGGAAAATGAAGCGCAACGCGACCAACGCGAAAAACGCTGGGGAGGTGAGAGGGAGGGGTTGGGACCTCAGACAGGGCCAGGCCACATACCGATGGGGTAGGGAAGGGAGTGGAGATGGAGATGGAGTCAAGTCAAGAACTGCCCGTTGCGGCTGCATCTGGGGTTTTGGTTGGGTGTAGAAATAAAAGGTACCTTCCTACTGCACCAGACGCTTTTCATTTCTGCTTTTACAGGTGTGACCCACTGATTTGGTCTGGGCTTCACTCGCGGATATGATGAATGAAGATGTGGGATGAGTCTGCTTTATAGAAGTGATACTTAATACACTGGTAGTTTACGAGGAAAAAGGTTGACCATTTCTTCCATCGCTTTTTACATTCTGCCCCGAATAAAGATTCAAGAGGGAAGGCGACGCGTTGCCTGTCATACCGTAGGTGAAAGGAAACCGGGCGAGCCGCCGCATGTATCGGCTCTTCAAGATTCACCTGACAACACAGTGGCAGCCTGAGAGGAAGACGCCCAACATGAAAATGGCACCTGAATCTGCGCAATACGAAGTCATCGTTTTTCCACATTCGTTAGCAATATTGACTTATAGAGCAGCAAACAAACCTACTACATATTCTAATCATAAATATAATATTATACCCGCCGACATTATTACCTGCCAACTTGTGATGTGTGTTGAAAAGAAGAGGCCCCGACCTCCCTTGGAGAAGCCGAATTTGGTGACGGCTAGGCTTCGTGGTTGAAGCCGATTCAGAAGTGCATGTTGGCCAGGCTAAGGGTCAATTTCGGCTCAGCTGGCTTTGACGCTGGCTGACGTAGGGAGGTCGACGAGTTCCGGCTTCGGTGGTCGCCGACGTGATATCGACCTGCGGGTGTCAACCGACCATCGGACGTCGATGTGACTTAGCGTCCTATTCTAGTCAACCTGCAAACTGGTCGACGAGATTATGCGGGGGTGCACGAACTTCGCCCTAGCTGGTTTCGGCGAAGTCAATCTGCAGGTCTAGCATCACGTGATAGACAACCTCGCATATGCGAAGTCTGCATGCACCTACTTGGAAGTCTGCACGTACGCGCACATGATAGACAACCGTCTACATGCACCTACTTGGAAGTCTGCACGTACGCGCACATGATCAACTACGCCTCCGACGATGGCAAGCGCCACCTGTGAATGCGACGCTAGCAAGCTGCCTTGCTGCGAGCATCGACAAGCCGCCTTCCAGCTCCGTCGGCACTCTGCCATCTTGCGAGCATTGGCAAGCCGCGTTTGTGCTGTGCTGTAAGTCGACTTGCTGGTTGTTATGTTGCCTTGTACTATTGTTGTATCAGTTTTGTCATAACATTGAGTTCAATGTTCTTCTCTTTTTACTAATGAAACTCTTGCCAAATCTCTTTAGGAACAGTCAAATTTGCACATGAAATAATGAAATTTACGGTCATCCGTACAACCTCGTAGCTCTTACGTAGCCTAGCTACCATGTAGAGCGACTCTCTGCATGGTACGGTGAGAGTGGATCGCGGTTCGATTCTTGCAGGAGATGTCAGAATGTTATAATTGTCACGTCTGCAGTGGGGTACTCTATAGTGAGTACAACCCTGTTAGGGTTTGCTATATGTACAGCCCTGCTTACTAGGTTAATCCTCTATCCTGTCATAACTTTCTGCTTGCTAATCTGACATGGTAACAGAGTAGGTCGACCCTCGTGGGTCAATCCTGTGGATGGGCCCACCAGATGCTTCCGCTGCTCTTCAGCTTCTCGCGCGCCTCGGGCGCGCGACGTTTTCTGCCTGCCGCGCGCTCGGAAGGCGCAGCGTTTTTAGGGTTTCTAGGGTTTTCTGCCCGTCGCGCTGCCCTGCTCACCGCGTGACGCCCTGCCCTGCCCGTCGCGGCGCACTTGGGGCCCGCCCGCAGCCCACCCGTTGCGGCGCCCTGGGGGCCCGTGCGCGGCCCTCTCCCGTCGCCCATCGCGGCGCCCTGGGGGCCCGCGTGCGGCCCTCCCTCCCGTCGCCCGTCGCGGCGCCCTGGGGGCCCGCGCGTCGCCCCCTCCCGTCGTCTGTCGTGGCGCCCCGGGAGGCCCGCGGGCTTGCATTACCTGCATCCGTCGTGGCGCCCCGGGGGGCCCGCACGCCTGCTCTATCCGCACCCGTTGCGCCTGCCCTCCCACGACCGTTGCGCTTGCCCTTCCGTCGCGACGCCGCCCGCCCTTCCCCCCTCCTTTGACTTCCAGCATCGCATGCAGCCGTGTGGAGGGTATGGGGGTGGCGGGTATGGGGGTGGTTGGTGTGCGTCATCCGCTGCTCCTCCTCCTCCTTCGTCTCCCACTAGTACAGCTGCTGCTGAGGGGGGTGGATGTGTGGGAGTCGAGGGCGTGGCGCTAGGGGGGTGCTGTGGAAGTCGAGCTAGGGGTGCAGCAGGGGGTGTGTGAAAGGGGTGTGGGACAGTTGGGGGAGGTTGAGTGGAGGCAGCCGTCGTGTCGTCCGCAGCGCCAGTAGTCAGGAGCCGCCGTGCTCTCGGTAGCCCAGCGAGCCTGCTGTGCCAGTCACCCGTTGCTCCTGCCGCTCGTCATAGCCGCGGAGCCAGTTACTCCAGTAGTCCGGAGCCGTCGTGCTCTTGGTAGCCACTGTGCCAGCCGCTCCTGTTGCTCGTGTTTCTGCAGCTTCAATCGTCGCCTCCCTTCTCCTCTCCTCTCACAGTCCCTTTTCCTCCTCCTCACTTGCCCTCCGTGATTGCCTCTAGCTTTGCTTGTGCTTGTGAACTTATTTATGACTACTTGCAGTGCTGATCATACCCCACTGTGCCTATGGGGGTGTGTCAGAATGCTATAATTGTCTAGTCTGCAGTGGGGTACTCTATAGTGAGTACAGCTCAAAGTAGGGTTTGCTATATGTATCATATCTGCTGCTAGTGCAATCCCTCTTCTGCTGTTCATTCCTGCTTGCTATCATGATAGCAGCAAGCGTCGCGCATGCGGCGAGATGCAGCATCTGGCGGCAGATAAGTAGCAGTCTGCATCAGTTAGCAGCATGCGGGTAGCGGGTTGTCGCAGCGAGCGGCACGCGGGCTGCGGGTTGTAGTAGCGGACGGTTGGTACATGAGAGGAGGGTGGGGGGGCAAGAGAGGTGAGCGCGAAGACGAGCAGATGTGCGAAGGCGCGGTGGCAGCATCAGTGGCGTGCGAGAATGGAGGGCTCTAGGTGCAGTACGAAGGGGCGCTCACGATGCGCTCCAAGGAACGGGCTTGGGGTGAGCGAGGGTAGGCTAGGGCTGGCATAGCAGAAGTGCAAACCCTAGACTTTCTAATGATTCCATGTCAATAAGTAAAACTGCATGCAATGATCTTAAACTGAAAGTATGTCTCCATATAAATATGCCAAGCCTAGTATGGCAAAACTAGCCTATCAGAAGTATACACATATAAACATGAGTGCAGTTTGACAGCATCATCTGCTTAGAGGTTCCTCAAACACATCATTCGTTCCCTCTCCTTGAACCACACATATGAAGGTTAATGATGACTAACTCATGCTCTCCAACATCAAAATCAACATAGAGCTGCATGAACTCCTCTTGATGGATGCTACCGTATGGCGAGTCTGGATGGCAGGTGTAGCATGGTGAAGCAAAGGTTCCGAAACATACGAACTGTGGCTTTGCTAACGTCGGTTAGCACAAAAGCTGATATAGCGAACAAGTAGGGTTGCCGAGCTACAAGCCTACCGTATTCCCCCCCATGATAGAGCACCCCCGGGTAGCTTGTGCGGGGTGGGTGCTATGGGCGACCTCGTTTTCACTATACCCCCCTTTTTGTTTGATTTTCTATAACACCCTCCTTTTCTTACGAATTCGTTATTATAGTCGTTAAAGCCCGGGTACAGCATGGTTATTTTCAAGTTCAAGATTCTTGAACTTGAAATCGTAAAAAACAGGGTTACCCTACTTTTTTGAACGGAACTATCGCGACTCTGGGACAACGCCTAACGATACCCTCTCCTCATTGGCTTTTGTGCACAATCGCAAAACAGAACCGAGCGTCGCTCGGGTTTGCCCGCTGTTTGGCTCTCACATATCTTGATCGCCTAGTGAATCATGAGAAGCAGGGAGGGAAATCATGAGAAGCAGGTAGGGAAATCGTGAGAAGCAGGGAGGGAAATCGTGAGAAGCAGGGAGGGAAATCGTGAGAAGCAGGGAGGGAAATGAGGGGAAGTTGGGGGGGAAATGAGGGGAAGCAGGGGGGGAAATGAGGGGAAGCAGGGGGGAAATGAGGGGAAGCAGGAGCGTACAAACCGGGAAAGCGGGAAGGGAAATAAGGTGTGTGGGGGGATATGGAGGTGGCTATGAGGTGGGAAGGCGGGTGGTGTGTGGGGGGATATGGAGGTGGCTATGAGGTGGCTATCCCCCCACACACCACACGTCACAAGCGGAGCCTCCCTCCTGTCGCGCTCGTGGCCGCCGATTTTCTTTCCCCTCTTTTCCCCCTTCCACCACCAGTATCTGCTCCTTTAATCATCACCCGTCTGGCGTTGCGTCTGCCGACAGCTCTCCCATCGCGCGATCAGAACCAATTTCCCCCGCAGACGCAGTCTTTCTTTCCGCCTCTCCCCTCTCTCTCCGCCTTTCGGAGAGTGCAGAGCGCACGGGGGCAGAGCGCAGGGGGCAGAGCGCAGAGCCCACGGGGCAGAGCGCAGGGGCGCGGAGCACGTGTACCTGTCCTAGCGTGGTGGTGCCTCGTTCCAGCGCCCTCTCCGCGGCCGCCCTTACCTGCACGTCCAGCGATATTTCCCCCACCACCACGGGCGTGCCCCAACCCCGCGAAAACAGAGCAAGGCACGGGTAAAAACCGCGGTGAGGAGAACGGCGAGCGGAGGCGCGGCGAGGCGAGCGGAGGAGCGACGAGGGGAGCGGAGGAGCGACGAGGGGAGGCTTCCAGAAACGAGGGGAGGTGTGACGATGAGAGGAGGTGCGACGACAAGAGGCGAGGCACGAGAGGATGCGCGATGAAAGGATGGGTGGCGCGACGGGAGGTGGCGCGATGGGCGGAGGAATGCGACAATGGGAAGCGCGACGATTGGAGGAGCTCGAGAGAAGGGGAGGCGCGTTCTATGAGCCACTCAGGGAGGTGCGTGGGCAGGCATGATGAAGTAGCTTCACTCACCCTCGCGACTACAGTGACTTTGTGTATGAGCTTATAGTCTCCCTAGATCCTGCGTATATTATGCTGCGCTGCGCTACCTGAGTAGGTAGAGTATTTAGCTTGATTGAATGAGTAGATTGATCGTGGTGTTTTTTCTCCTCACACGTTCTGAGGTTGTTGGAGTTTCCCATCTTCTTTTATGCTAGTCGTTGTATCGTGCGTGGACATTCTCCACTACGTAAACACTATTTGGCTGAAGAACAATCTGTGCGACACTCCTTCCAGTCGCCCGACGCTGTTCTGCAAATTTGTCAAAGCTACACAGTATCGTCTACCATCGCTTCAGGTTTGGCGAGACCCCTTTTCCCCTCGTCAGTCAATCCCCTTTCGCTACACTGACTTTGCCGAAATTCTTGTGTTTCAAGGTTTCGCTAACACTATTTCAAAACCACATAACTTGAAAAAATTACCATGCTGACTCCGGGCTTTAATGAGTAGCTGCAATACGGAAAAATAACGCGAGAATTTCTCCCTCGATGAAATTTCGCAGTACTTTCACATACTATCGGCCGAGATTTACCCCCTCCCACTATTTCCCCCTGCCACGTGCTGGTGAATCTTCCGCTGCAAGTGGCCAGAAAGGTGCCACATGGCATTTTCGTGGGGTGATGAAATTCGCGGCCGAAGCTCACATTAGCGCCTCAAACAGTGATGTTAAAACGACCAACAAAACACCCACATTAACATTAACAGTAAAGTATGCCATAGGTAAGGACCCGGGTATTATGTAGCTTTTTCCTATGAGAAGACACCCCCCTTTTTTTCTTGTATTTTTACAAATACCCTATGGTGTTATGTCCGGGAGAATACGGTACATAGGAAAAAACGGTTGGGCATTATCCCTCCCTAACCTTCAACAATGCAAAACAATAATGTTGTTCCACCATCAAATGGAAGGTACAGTTATCGATGAAAAAGTCACATGCGGCCATATAGTATAGCCTTATGCGATGGTTCATGCCATGAGGCGGCAAAATATTCTCTCGGACATGACCATCAAATATTTATTCTGATACATAATCATTTTGTTAGATGATGAGAATTATTTATCATAAGTAGCATCAGATGCTAATTGTATTATCCTACGTCAGTCAACTTATGGATAATTCTGGGGCTTCAGCGGAGAGTTCGACTATTCTATACCGCGAATGCATTCTTTGCGAGCTCAGCGATGTTTCACGATTTGTTGGCTTTAGTCGCTTTCCGCCAGCCTCCACCTTCTGGTAACCTCATGCCCCATCAGAGTTGTCCGTGCGACCATGAAACAAGGCGTATGCCCGTCGCATGTGCGAGCTTCCCCATACGTCTTCGTCGCACGTCAGGGAAAAGGCCAAGCAGCACTCCCCCAACTGCCATTTTTCACTCCTTCGCGCCTCACTGGCCTCGATCCGTCAGGGTTTCGTTTGGTTCGGGTTCTCCCTCGCCCCAGTCCCTCGCTTATATCCCTCTCCTTCCCCTCCCTGCTCTCGTTTATGTCCCTCCCCTCCCCCTCTCCGCTCTGAACAATTCTCACAAGCAACATTCCCCTCACCGCTCACACACCTGTAGCCAGCAGCAAGATAGGAAGCTCGGTTGTTAGGTTTTCTGATCCGTTCAGGACGGGGAGGAAGCAGGGAGTTTGTGAGCTGAGCTTAGGCGAGAACGTTAGTCTGCTTCGCTTGCCTCCCTGCTTGGTAGACAGGGACGCAGGAGGAGTCGAAAATGAGTACAGCGAATAAGTTTATCAAATGCGTTACTGTAGGGGATGGTGCGGTCGGTAAAACTTGCATGCTGATCTCCTACACGAGCAACACCTTTCCTACTGTAAGTCAGCCGAGCCGACCGACGTCTAGCGAGCTGTATTAGCTAACATTGATAGCACGCTTAAGATTGTTTCCGAAGTCTTAGTCATTTTTCTTAGTCCGCTTAGCTTGGCGAACATTGAGTCGATTTGTGATGGTTATCGCTGGTGCAGGACTACGTTCCTACCGTCTTTGACAACTTCAGTGCCAATGTGGTGGTGGATGGCCAAACTGTCAACTTGGGACTCTGGGATACAGCAGGTTAGTCACAGCCACTAGAGACTTTTAGGCGCTGCTTCCCTAGTGTTCATTGGGCACTGTTTGCTTACTGACCGTTAGGCGCTCTTCGTTTTTTTTTTTGAACAGTTGCGGAAACATTTTTTTGCCTTTTTACGGTTGGTTTTCTGCGCTTGCATCTTGGATGCTTCCGGACAATAAGTGGTCCGATCTACTACGACCAGATGTTCTCATGTCGGTTCCAAAAATCAAATCGTTCTCGTCTTGCTCACACTTGACCTCATCTCTTTATTTCCCGTGTCATCAGGTCAAGAAGACTATAATAGACTACGCCCTCTGAGCTACAGAGGTGCTGACGTCTTTCTTCTTGCGTTCTCGCTTATCAGCAAAGCCAGTTATGAGAACGTATCGAAGAAGGTGGGTCTATCCGTTCTGTTCAAGGAATCGCAACACAATCTGCGAGAGAGAATGCCAGGTCTATGTTGCATTCCTGTCATGTCCCTGTGCTCCCAGGGAGGTCGGCAAGCCCTGCGAAAGGAAGTCGGAAAGATTTGCCTTAGCAATGCCGGCCGTGTTGTTTTCAGTGTATTTTTTTTTCGCCGTCGTACGCTTTGTACATAGTTTGTGAGAGTTCGTGAAGCCACGCTATGCCGCCTGCAGACATAGGTTATAGGACCGATCTCTTCCGTTATATGGCAGTCCGACTTAATCCCATCTCTCCAATTTCTTCCCTATTGTTTAACGTCGAGCAGTGGATACCAGAATTGAGGCATTACGCTGCGACCGTTCCGATTGTCCTCGTCGGCACAAAGCTAGGTCAGCCTGTCAGTCTTGACTTGCACAGTTGATCCGACTAGGTCTGGTGGCATTCGCGTCAGCTTCGTCGGTTGTAGTGAGGGTGGGGAGGTAGCGTTTTGTCGACATGTGCTTTGCCTTACTGTCCGACATCAACCAGTTTCCTATATTTCGCCCTTCTGCCTTGACGTCAACCGTTTCCTTTACTTTCCCTGACATCTTTGATGCTGTCCGATGAGTGCAGATTTACGAGATGATTCACAATTCTTCAAAGAGCACCCAGATGCAACGCCGATCAGCACTGCTCAGGTACTGTGGTTCTTTAGCGACCATCCGCCAGGCTTTGCAGGTGGCGAAATTTCATGTCGTTGCGCCTGCTCTTTCATGGGTCCAGTACTCATTGCTGTTTATTTGATTGCGGCTTCAGGGCGAGGAGCTGAAGAAGGTGATTGGTGCAGCAGCTTACATTGAGTGCAGCTCGAAGACGCAGCAGGTTCGTTAAGGCACTTTCCTGTCTATTTCAGTTTGCTCCTTCACAAACCCTCGTTTCATTTTCCGAGCAGGTCGTTTTTCAGCACCGTTCATTTCTTATGTTCCTGCCTTTTCTTGTCACTTGGTAGCCTGTTCCCTGCATGCTGAAGGGTTGTTATTGTTCTGGAGTAACCTTCATGGTTGGATTGGATAGGTATCAGGGTCATGAGCTGCTTAGCGGTGAGGATGTGCAGACGCAAGTTTGAATGTAACACCATTTCTGTTCTTTGCCATTGTTGGACCTGTTAACTTACCCGCGCAGAATGTGAAGGCTGTCTTTGACACGGCAATCAAGGTGGTGTTGCAGCCACCAAAGGCGACGAAGACGAAGAAGAAGAGCGGGAAGTGTGTTATCAGTTAAGCCGCAGGGTACTTTGCCACCATGACCATCCATACCTTCTCTTCATCCCTGTTCACTTATTTCATCAGCCGGTGGCCGAGCTATTCGCTGGCTCATGTGCGCCACAAGATGGTGGACTAGATATTCTTATGGCCATTCTGAGTTCTCAAGAGGCATACAGCTGTAGAGGAAGTCGTTGCGAGCGGGTCGATAGGATTGTCAATGGAATGGAGGGAGGTGGAAGGGTAAGCAGACTGTGTCGTGGGATTGAGGTGCAAATGAGGGCTGTCGGGTTTTTATTAGTAATGTTAATGGGGTTAGGTTTAGGGATTTTACTTTATTTGTTATTATGGGTCAACTGCAGGATGCTTGTGATGATTCCTTTGGGCTGTCTAGCATTGTTTAGTCCTAAACTTATGGCAAGGCTGGCTGATTTTCACTCTGCCTTGCCCTGTAAGTTATGGCCTTTGGTTTGTATGTTTCTTCTGAACCTCGATATTGTATTCATCCTTTCAATGTCCCGAACACCACAACCTACTCTCGGACCACGTCTCCAGGTTCGGACCACGTCTCAAAAATTGGTAACCACATCGGTAGTGTCGAGGCAACTCTTTGTGGCTGTGGAGAGCTGAACCGTGGCGGGTCCGGTCTGGACTCCGGAGGCTTTCTGGTTGGAAGGCTTGTCGGTGAGGCGCCAGCCACTGCTGGCAGGCAGAAATCTAGAATTTTAGGGCGTGTAAAATCGGGAACTCCAAAAATTCGGCCAAATCCGTCGGGCCGTTTCTGCGAAAGTAACCAGTTTGCGATCTCCGTTTCTCAAGTGGCGACAGTCGTTAATTTCGCAAAAAAATTACGAATTTGATGGCTGTTTAGAATGTCGACAGGAAAACGACGCCGAGTCGACTCCAAAACGGCCAGGCAGTCGACACATTGTGCGACAGTCGTCTGCGACGTCCTACAGTTATGTATAACGACAGAATTTGTGATCTCGTCAAATGAAAATTATCGTCGTTAACTGTGCGACCTCGTCGTACATTCTCAAGAACTGTAGTAACTGCAAATTTTACAAATTTTCTCGAACCGGCCTGCAAATCGGCCACCAAAGTTGTAAAATCGCCAAAACTGTACATGGTGGCTGTAAAAGAGTCGACCGTGATTCGGCCACCTCGTCGTTGTTCGCGAAAAATATGACGACCATTTGGTCGTCGGAAACCCGGCCAGACCCCATTTTCAGAATTGCGCGGGGATTTTACACGCCCTTATAGTCTCTTTTTTTGCTCAAACCCCACTGAACCGCTCTGAAATCTCGAATGGTTGCTTCACTTCACAATTTTTACCCAACCGCATTGTACCGATCTCTCACCAGACATTCGTATCGAAAATCACTTTCCTCGTTTGATTCATCTCCGTAGGTAGTTCAGTCAGACCCAAGCTACTAGGTTCCGCTCGTCAGCACTAATGTGGATCTGCCTGAAACTGCCAATGTGACTACTCTCACGCAGAGGTGCTGTGGAGTTTCCAAGGTTCAGGCACTGCTTATTCCTCCCCTTCGCAGCAGCAGACAAATTTTGAACGATTTCTTCTCGTCAGTGAGTCGCTTTGCGCGAAGACCATGTGATCGTCCCAGCAAGTCTTCGTCGTCCCCTTAGCCGTTCTTCCACTAATCGACTAACAATAGGACAGACCTGTTTACTGCAAAGTGCTACGACACTAGGCTGATCCGAGCAGGGTGAATCAGTTTCAGTTGTTTCAAAACTCTGAGTTAGATTTTGTTTAAGGTTCACTGAAATGACATTACTGGACGTGTCGGCGGAAGCCATACACGCAACGACCCCTGCGAGTGCACAGGCAGACGCCGAGGCCGTTCTGCAAAAGGGTTGCGGCGAGTACGGGTGCGTTAACTATCGACTACTGTCGATTCAGTATTTTCCTTTCCCTTTTTTTGTGTCCAGTTCCCGGGGTCACGCCCGACCAAGTTCAACGGAAACGAGTGTTTGATAGATTTGCATAGACAGGTTGTAAGTCTGCCTTTTTGTTTTCCTTCAGATGCTCACACTACCGGAGAAGATGCAAGATCAGGGCTCCGTGCTGTAATGAGGTGTTTGATTGCCGGCACTGCCATAACGATGCCAAGGTGCCGTCCCTGCTAAAATACTTCGTAGCCAGCTGTATTCGAGACTGATCTCCTTAGGTGGATAGATTAGATCTCCCGAATTGAGTCGTTTCTTAGGATGACGTGACGAGACAGTCTGGTCAGATTTCGCCGTCCTGGCTGGCCATCATGTTACTGATCTGATTGAATACTTGCGTTGAGTGTGAGCAGAGTCATTCAGAGGACAAAAGTCGACATGAGATCGCTCGGCACAATATCGAGCGGGTATGCCCAAGGGCGAACTGGAGAAATTTTCAATCATTCTTGCGTTCCCCGTCGTGCCTGTTCTTTTTTAAAATTATTTCCATCCCCATTCGTGGTCTGTGCTCTTTCGAATCTTCGTGCTGACAGAAGAGCGTTGTTTTCCTGCTGTTTGTGCTCGTATTTCTTGTTGCAGGTAGTTTGCTCTCTGTGTTCGACCGAGCAAAAGGTAAGGTGCACAGATTCCCTATTTCTAACGGACGAATCATGATTTGATTGCACACGGATGCGTTTCATTCAATTTCAGGTGCTCACGATACAACGTGTTTTTTGCAAGCCTTCGGTTTCTCAAGCATGTGGGAGGAAGTGTGACATTTTGGAAGGAACGGAAAGCCGTCTCTGTTCGTCATTAATACTCTCAAATGCCCTGTTGCTTCTCCATTTTCTTCACTCTTTTTTCACCTTGGTTGGTTCCTCAGGTGCAACAAATATGCGAGGCATGTGGTGTGTGCATGGGACGGTATTTCTGCTTCAAGTGCAAGTTCTATGATGACGAGGTATGTCAAGTAATTCACTCAAAGTCATGGTATACATAGCTCAGATAGTTCAAGCTTTCATCTGCACCTGCTTGGTTTTTAAACAGACTAAAAAAGTTGGATTAGCTGCGGTTACTGAAGCTTTGCTTTCGTTGGGCAGGTTGCAAAGAAGCATTTTCACTGTGACGAGTGCGGCATTTGCAGAGTTGGTGGCAAGGACAAGTTTTTCCACTGCGACAAGTGCGGTGCGTGCAGGTTCAGTGTGTTATATGCAGCTTCAGAGCGGTGCGTGCGGTGCATGCAGGTATTGTCGCCACCTGCATACTCTTGGTTTGTTGTTGCCCTAGCTCGCAGTCCCATGCACTGACAGCCACCATAAGCTGCTCTGCCACCATATGCTGCTCTGCCACCATATGCTGCTCTGCCACCATGCGTGTCCGCCACGCACGCTGCTTCATGCGTTCCTTGAGTCCATCAAAATTAGAGAACCATTTGTTGACTCGCTACCCCTTTCCGTAACTCACTACCCGTTGCACTGCCTGCCACCCACCCTTCTCTGGCGCCACACCTGTATCCGTCCAGGCTGCTGCTATGCCACATCTTTGAGAGAGGACCACCGCTGTGTGGAGAAATCCATGCATCACAACTGCCCAGTGTGCTTCGAGGTGAGCTGTTCTTGTTTGAGTCGCTCTGGAGACCCTGGTGCTGCATGAATAATGCTCTGGCTGATATGCCTTTTCCTGTCGGGCGACACTCTCTTTTTTTTCTCTACTTTACGTGCCGCTGCTGCCTGCCTGCGCCCATTTCCTGGCAGTTTCTGTTTGAGTCGCTCCGGGAGACGTCGGTGCTGCGGGATTGCGGGCATACAATCCACACGGAGTGTCTGGACGAGCTGAGGAAACACAACAGGTAAGTGAGGGATGTGAGCGAGGGTTTTAGTAGGGAGGTGTCATTTAAAATGGGATGGAATATGGAGGGAAAGGGGTTCTTGCAAGGTTATGGGTGTCATCTTTGCTGTAAACCATCCTTGATATAAGTATTGTTGAGTTTGCTGTGTATGTCTGAAACGTGTGTTTCTGTGTTTGTATGTGCATCGTGTGTCTGCATGCATGTGTGTGTCTGCGTGGATGTGTGTGTGTGTGCGCGCGCACTTGCGTGCGTGCGTGCGTGCGTGTGTGTGTGTGAGCAGGTATGCGTGCCCCATCTGTTGCAAGTCCATGTTTGACATGTCCCGAGTGTGGGCCCAGCTGGACCAGGAGGTGAGCACATTCAGAAGCGCGGATTGTTGGCGGCAATCAGAAGCACCTCGTGGGATTGATTCTTAATATTGTCTTCTTACAATGCCCTTGACGACGTCTTCTGAGTAATGTCTTCTTGTTGGTGAACGGGGATCTATGTGCTCCAGTGGTGCTCCATAGTTGCCTCTAGTGCATCTTGAAGATATCATATGCACTCTTCTTCCTGGCCTGCCTGTGTGCCATGGCAGGTTGCTGCAACGCCCATGCCAGAAGCATATCAAAACCAGATGGTAACCGCACTATGCTCCCACACGCCTTTGCTACGTGCCCCTCTGCTGCCCTCTCCATTCTCCCCACCTGTTTGCTTCACACACGTTCGTATCTGTTCACTTCAATTGCCAGCCTTTTCCTCCCCTCCTCTCCCCTCGCCTTCCGCTCTTGTAGTTTGAGACATTCCGAATCCTCACTTGCTCTGCCACTTGACCGTCTTCCCTCCCTGACATTCGTCCAGACACCCATCCTGTGCAATGACTGTGGAGGCAGTGGTTCTGTTCCATTCCATGTGGTGGGGCACAAGTGCCCGCACTGCGGCTCCTACAACACCCGTCAAACACAGTAGCGGCAGGGTGCGGTGCACTGGGCGACGTGGCTTGGCGTTTAGGGCGGCTAGTGGAATGTTACAGCTGACATGGTGCATTCTGCACCTGCCGTGCAGTGCGGCGGTGATGGAGAATTACTGCTTGCTGCACCACCCCATCCAACAACATACCTTCCCTCAGCCCTTCCCCCAGCCATTCCCCCAGCCCTCCGCCCAGCCATCCCTCCAGATATTCCCCCAGCTATCTCAGCAGCCACCTCCCCAACCACCAGCTGAGCTATTTCCCCAACCATTCCCGTGACTCTAGCCACTATCCCAGCCACCACCACCCGTCATCGTCCAATCCATCAGCCTTACCACCATTGTCCCAATTCAGTGCACACATGTACAGGCATCATCATTCGAGCCTTAACTCGGATTATCCCAGATCAACCCAGATCCATCTGAGCCATCCAGAGCTGGCTTCAGCTAGCCAGCCATAGCTGTACCTTATCTCCATAGAGCAGGTTTTTGTTGGATGATCATCGGCAGCATGGAGAACCTTCAGCGTCATGCTGACAATGTGTTATTTCATCCGAATTGTTGACAGCTAAGCATTTGAATTTGAACACGTGCTGCAGCCATGGCTGACTCGCTGGGGGTGCAAGCGTTGGCATGCTACATCTTGCTGGCTTGTGAAGCTGTCTGATGGGTTGCTGCCAGCTTTGTTTGTCCACACATGACCACACATCCAGGAGTGAATCAGTGTTGCTGCTTTGCTCTGCTTTGGTGTGATGAGGCTCAGAGTAGTGCTGCTCTGTTTTGTTGTGATCAGGTAGTGGTGCTAGCCTGAAGCCTGGAAAAATAAGCAAGGTTACACACAAAGCCAGACTCCACGATTGGAACAAGCTGGCTAGGTCAAAACGACCTGCCTGAGTACATAAAAAGCGCTCCCGGGTGGGCTTGAACCACCGACCTTATGGTTAACAGCCATACGCTCTAACCAACTGAGCTACGAGAGCTGTTTGCGTTTCGAAAACTAATGTAATTAGATAAAACTTATGTTTGCTGTTTCTGGCACCACAGCCACTCATCCTTGGTTCGCCGCATTTCCCGCAGCCATGTGGGAGGAAGGCGTGGTGCTCCACGGCGGGCGAAAGCGATGGCGCCACGGCAGAGCTCGCGAGGACGGCGTGCCGCAGTACATTCACGATCGCCTCATGTTACTGTGTTACGAAAACGACCCGCTGCACCTCACCCCCGCTATAGACAACCACAGGTCCGCGATCCCCTCCGAATCTTTCTCATCTGTTCCAACGGCTCTGATTTCGCCACTCTGCTTTGACCACTCTCTTCCGATCGCTCCGTTGTGACCGCTCTGTTCTGGCTTGCACACGTTTGCATCACTGGGCCTCCCGAGAAAGAATGCCGCCGACGGCCGTCGCGAAATGAGTATCCCTTGCATTCCGCATGACGTCGGGGTACATCCCTCATTATCCCTCACCATCCCTCACCATCCCTCACCATCCTCACCACCCATCCCTCCTCCCACCCTTAGGTACATCGGGGTGATGACAGAGGCAGCACGCATATTGGCCCACAACTACTCCGCCGACATGCTTCTGTTCAAGCTCTCGCCCCCCCGAACCCCCCATCACCACTCATCACCCCTCACCGCCCCTCACCGCCCATTCATCCTCGTCAAATAGGTACATTGGGGTAATGACGGAAGCAGCGCGCATATTCGCTCACAACTACTCTGCTGACGTGCTTTTGCTCAACTTCGGCCCGCCCCTTCCTGATGCCGAGCTCTACTCGCTCTTTAACAAGAATGTGTGCGAGGTAATGGGCAGTGTTGAGCGGTGGTGAGGGCTGATGAGAGGTGGTAATGGGTGGTGAGCGGTTGTGATGGGTAGTGTGTGGTAGTGAAGGGCGGTGATGGGTGTGAGGTGGTGAGGGGTGGTGAGGGGTGGTTAGAGGCGGGGAGAGCGCTCCTCCTTCCAGATGCTGACCCCTACTCGCTCTTCACCAGTTACCTGTGAGATTGGCCCTTGGGATTTTCGCCTGGATTGCCCATTGAGGTTTCTCCTTCGGGAATGCCCCCTTGGGATAGCCCCCCTTGGGATTGTCCCCTTGGGATTTTTTTGTTTGGATTGTGTCTTGGAATGTTTAAGATACTGTTTTCAAAATCGTCTCGCAATGCATGCTAATCTCTCCAATCAGTCACTGCCCTGCCTTCCCCGTGTGTGCAGCTGGGGGCGCCGTGGGACTGGCCGCGCGGGCCCATGGTGTGTCCTCTCTCTCAGGTGTTATGAGGATTTCGAGGAGTTCCTCGCACTGACTGACTGCTGCCACTCTCACTTGCACTCGTTGCGCCTCTCATCCACACCCGCTTCCCCCCGTGTGTGCAGCTGGGGGCGCCGTGGGACTGGCCGCGCGGGCCCATGGTGTGTCCTCTCGACATCATCTTTCGAGCCTGCTCCACCATGCACACATGGTAACCACCATGCACACATGGTAACCACCCATGCACACATGGTAACCACCATGCACACATGGTAACCACCATCAATCAACGAGTGAGATTTCTTTGTTCTTTTATGTGTGTATTTTTTTGTTCCGGCTTGCGCTGAAACCCGTGACAGCTGATGAGGTGTGTGAAAATAAGTAGAAGTGACTTTATCAGCAGGTAAGTCAACTTTGTCAATCTCTCTCCTTCTTCCCTCTTCCTACACTCCCGCTCTCCCTCCCCCCTCCGCCTCCCAGCCTGGCAGCAGACGAAAACCATGTGGCAGTGACACACACGCACACAGCCCCAGCCGCTTCAATTTCTCTCTGTCTGCTTTTGGTCGTTGGTCTATCAAGTCCCCAACCAGGCTCGCAGCAGACTTCGACCATTTCGCAGTGATACACACGCGAGCAGTCCCAGCACTGGAGTTTCAACTCCGTCATTCTCTTCCTTCCACTCCCCTCCTGCCCAGGCTCGCAGCAGACGACGATCACGTGGCTGTGCCACACACGCGAGCAGCCCCAGCAACAATGTTTCAACCCCGTCAATCCGTTCCTTTCCTCCCTCATCCCCCCCCTCCCATCCCACCAGGCTCGCAGCAGACGATGATCACGTGGCAGTGGTACACACGCGCAGTCCCAGCAACGCCGGGGGAGCATGTTTCCTCCGCTTCATTGCTGCATGCTACCTCTCCCACAGGTGCTACCCTTTCTCACAGGTACTCTCGCCCTTCTCACAGGTACTCTCGCCCTTCTCACAGGTACTCTCGCCCTTCTCACAGGTACTCTCGCCCTTCTCACAGGTACTCTCGCCCTTCTCACAGGTACTCTCGCCCTTCTCACAGGTACACTCGCCCTTCTCACCAGTACTGTGTGTGTGACGCTGTAGCGTGGTGCTGCCTCACACACACATGCCCTCGCTTTACTCTCTCCCCCTCTCCCATCCATCGTTGTATCCTTTCTATACCCTCTTCTCTCCACTCATCTCACTCTTGCAATGCTAATACTCCTGACAATGCTTCCAAGTCTCCTGTTACCTTCACCTCCCCCACCCCAACCACCCACAGGCCCCCTTCGTCCCCCTCTTCCCCTTTTGCCTCCACAGCTGCCGTCTCTTATCTTCCCCCATCCCTGCCCTTTTCCCTCCCCCTTATCCTCCCCCATCCTCCCCCATCCTCCTCCATCCTCCTCATCCTCTCCCATCCTCGATCCTCCCTCGTCCCCGTCCCCAATTCGTTATCCCTTCTCCCATTCTCCCTCCTGAATCCCCCCCAATCCCCCTCCAGTCCGCGCAGAGTTTTCAGTGCATGGAAGGCCCTCGCTTTCCTCTTCTCCTCATCCTTCCACCCTCCCTGTCCCAATCCCCCTCCTCCTCCCCCTCTCCGCACTTCCCCTCCTCCACCTTCCCCCCAATCCCCCCCTTAATCCTCCCCCTTAACCTCCCCCCTAATCCCCCCTCCCCCCCAATCCCCCCCCCAATCCCCCCCTTAATCCTCCCCCAATCAGCGCAGAGTTTCCCAGTGCGTGGCAGGCCCTTGCTTCCCTCCCCCAACCCCTCGGCCAACCAGAACTCGCCACGTGGCACCCCCTCCCCCCCGAAGAGCTGGGAAAGGGGAAGGGGGAGCATGGGGGACAGGGGGAGCTTCGGGGGAATGGGGCGCTGGAGCAGCAGGGGGAGGAGTGGGGGGAGGTGGTGGGGGGAGGGCAGAGGGGCAGCATGGGGCAGCAACGCTACTGCACCTATGTGGACGAGTTTGTGAAGGCAGGGAGAGGGGATGAGGTTGGTGCTGTGCGGTGTTGGGCGGTTTTGTGCTGTGAGGTGTGGGGTGTTGTGTGGTCGTGTGCGGTGCTGTGTGGCTGTGTGTGAATGCTGCACTGACCAAGGAAAGGCAGCATGGGGCAGCAGCGGTACTGCACCTACGTGGATGAGTTGTGAAGGCAGAGCGAGGAGACGAGGTGGGTGTTGTGTGGTGCTGCGAGGTGGTGTGCGGTGCTGTATGGTTGTGTGTTGGTGCCCCATGTTGGGGCAGCAGGGCCAAGCATCGTTCCTGCACTGCAGTCGTCTTCCCTTACCCCCAACCTCTCCTGTCCCCTCTCAATCCCCCTTCCCAACCCTTGTCCTCCCTTTCACCCCCTCTAGTATTTTCCCCCCTTCTTCGCCTTCCTCTCTCCCCACCCTGTTTTCTCCTGTTCAGCCCACTCAACAATCAGTTCCCCATCCCACTCCGCTTCCCCCTCTTTCTCCCCTTCCCCCTCTCTCTCCCCTATTTCTTCCCCTGCCAGCCGTCACTCGCCTCCCTGCCTCCCGCCGCCCCGATTCTTCGGAAGCTCATTCTCAGTGCATGCCCTTCCATCGATGGGGCCGGCGTCTTTCGGCCGTATCTGAAGGTGGGGAGGTGTTAGCTGTCTGTGGTGGGGAGGTGTTAGCTGTCTGTGGTGGGGAGGTGTTAGCTGTCTGTGGTGGGGAGGTGTTAGCTGTCTGTGGTGGGGAGGTTGTGGATGGACTGATGGGGAGAGGGTGGAGTGTGGGGGAAGAATGTGGAGTGGTGTGGAGTGTGAGGGGAGTGTGTAGTGCTTTGGAGAGTGTGTGCAGTGAACATGCTAGGAGTTGTGTCAGATCTTTGGAGGAGTGTGCCGATCAAGCCACTCACATGCACATACATGTAACATGTATGCCAACGCCGTGTGTACGCATCACTGTGAGCAGGTGTTTTGGATGGGAGAGAAAGGGAGTCAGGAGCAGTGCATTTCCTGGAAGTGATTTATAGGTTTCTCATTGATTGTTTGATCACCTGTTGACAACCCATGCTGTGTGCTGCTATTCCCTGTCTGGTGTTTCCGCTTGGCTGTGCGCAGGTGTTTCGGAGGGGAGCAGAAGTGAGCAGCAGTGTCTTGCCTGGGGAGGTGAGGCGTGGGGGGGGGTGAGATGTGGGGGAGCTGAAGAGAGGGGGCAGATGGGGAAACAAGGGGTGGATGGGTAAAGAAGGGGTGGATGGGCAAACAAGGGGTGGATGGGTAAACAAGGGGTGGGTGGATGGGTAAACAAGGGGTAGATGGGTAAACAACCGGGTGGATGGGTAAACATGGGGAAGCAAAGGGTTTTGGGGAACAAAGGGGTAGATGGAGAAGCAAAGGGGTAAAAGGGGGGGATTCTCTTTCCCATCCTTCCTCTCCTCACCTCTCTCCTCTCCTCCTCTCCGCTTCTCCTTAATAACCTTCCCTGCTCTGCTCTTCCCCGGATCTCCTCTCGCTGCCCTCTTCCTGGTGCCGCCATCCTCCAGGTGCCGCCATCCTTCCCTACTGGGTCAGCGTGGATGGTGCCCTTTGAGGTCAACGCCCCTGTGTGGGGCCACTGACTGTGCTTTCCCCCCTTTCCTTACTAGTCTCCTCCTGTCGGCCCCATCACCCCCAACTCAACCCCCAGGTTCCTCCATCCTTCCCTACTGGGTCAGCGTGGATGGTGCCCTTTGAGGTCAACGCCCCTGTGTGGGGCCACTGACTGTGCTTTCCCCCCTTTCCTTACTAGTCTCCTCCTGTCGGCCCCATCACCCCCAACTCAACCCCCAGGTTCCTCCATCCTTCCCTACTGGTTCAGCGTGGATGGTGCCCTTTCGAGGTCAACGCCCCTGTGTGGGGCCACTGACTGTGCCTTTGCCCCCTTTCCTTACTAGTCTCCTCCTGTCGGCCCCATCACCCCCAACTCAACCCCCAGGTTCCTCCATCCTTCCCTACTGGTTCAGCGTGGATGGTGCCCTTTCGAGGTCAACGCCCCTGTGTGGGGCCACTGACTGTGCTTTCCCCCCTTTCCTTACTAGTCTCCTCCTGTCGGCCCCATCACCCCCAACTCAACCCCCAGGTTCCTCCATCCTTCCCTACTGGGTCAGCGTGGATGGTGCCCTTTGAGGTCAACGCCCCTGTGTGGGGCCACTGACTGTGCTTTCCCCCCTTTCCTTACTAGTCTCCTCCTGTCGGCCCCATCACCCCCAACTCAACCCCCAGGTTCCTCCATCCTTCCCTACTGGGTCAGCGTGGATGGTGCCCTTTGAGGTCAACGCCCCTGTGTGGGGCCACTGACTGTGCCTTTGCCCCCTTTCCTTACTAGTCTCCTCCTGTCGGCCCCATCACCCCCAACTCAACCCCCAGGTTCCGCCATCCTTCCCTACTGGGTCAGCGTGGATGGTGCCCTTTGAGGTCAACGCCCCTGTGTGGGGCCACTGACTGTGCCTTTGCCCCCTTTCCTTACTAGTCTCCTCCTGTCGGCCCCATCACCCCCAACTCAACCCCCAGGTTCCTCCATCCTTCCCTACTGGGTCAGCGTGGATGGTGCCCTTTGAGGTCAACGCCCCTGTGTGGGGCCACTGACTGTGCCTTTGCCCCCTTTCCTTACTAGTCTCCTCCTGTCGGCCCCATCACCCCCAACTCAACCCCCAGGTTCCTCCATCCTTCCCTACTGGGTCAGCGTGGATGGTGCCCTTTGAGGTCAACGCCCCTGTGTGGGGCCACTGACTGTGCCTTTGCCCCCTTTCCTTACTAGTCTCCTCCTGTCGGCCCCATCACCCCCAACTCAACCCCCAGGTTCCGCCATCCTTCCCTACTGGGTCAGCGTGGATGGTGCCCTTTGAGGTCAACGCCCCTGTGTGGGGCCACTGACTGTGCCTTTGCCCCCTTTCCTTACTAGTCTCCTCCTGTCGGCCCCATCACCCCCAACTCAACCCCCAGGTTCCTCCATCCTTCCCTACTGGGTCAGCGTGGATGGTGCCCTTTGAGGTCAACGCCCCTGTGTGGGGCCACTGACTGTGCCTTTGCCCCCTTTCCTTACTAGTCTCCTCCTGTCGGCCCCATCACCCCCAACTCAACCCCCAGGTTCCGCCATCCTTCCCTACTGGGTCAGCGTGGATGGTGCCCTTTGAGGTCAACGCCCCTGTGTGGGGCCACTGACTGTGCTTTCCCCCCTTTCCTTACTAGTCTCCTCCTGTCGGCCCCATCACTCCCAACTCAACCCCCAGGTTCCTCCATCCTTCCCTACTGGGTCAGCGTGGATGGTGCCCTTTGAGGTCAACGCCCCTGTGTGGGGCCACTGACTGTGCCTTTGCCCCCTTTCCTTACTAGTCTCCTCCTGTCGGCCCCATCACCCCCAACTCAACCCCCAGGTTCCGCCATCCTTCCCTACTGGGTCAGCGTGGATGGTGCCCTTTGAGGTCAACGCCCCTGTGTGGGGCCACTGACTGTGCCTTTGCCCCCTTTCCTTACTAGTCTCCTCCTGTCGGCCCCATCACCCCCAACTCAACCCCCAGGTTCCTCCATCCTTCCCTACTGGGTCAGCGTGGATGGTGCCCTTTGAGGTCAACGCCCCTGTGTGGGGCCACTGACTGTGCCTTTGCCCCCTTTCCTTACTAGTCTCCTCCTGTCGGCCCATCACCCCCAACTCAACCCCCAGGTTCCTCCATCCTTCCCTACTGGGTCAGCGTGGATGGTGCCCTTTGAGGTCAACGCCCCTGTGTGGGGCCACTGACTGTGCCTTTGCCCCCTTTCCTTACTAGTCTCCTCCTGTCGGCCCCATCACCCCCAACTCAACCCCCAGGTTCCTCCATCCTTCCCTACTGGGTCAGCGTGGATGGTGCCCTTTGAGGTCAACGCCCCTGTGTGGGGCCACTGACTGTGCCTTTACCCCCTTTCCTTACTAGTCTCCTCCTGTCGGCCCCATCACCCCCAACTCAACCCCCAGGTTCCTCCATCCTTCCCTACTGGTTCAGCGTGGATGGTGCCCTTTCGAGGTCAACGCCCCTGTGTGGGGCCACTGACTGTGCCTTTGCCCCCTTTCCTTACTAGTCTCCTCCTGTCGGCCCCATCACCCCCAACTCAACCCCCAGGTTCCTCCATCCTTCCCTACTGGTTCAGCGTGGATGGTGCCCTTTCGAGGTCAACGCCCCTGTGTGGGGCCACTGACTGTGCCTTTGCCCCCTTTCCTTACTAGTCTCCTCCTGTCGGCCCATCACCCCCAACTCAACCCCCAGGTTCCTCCATCCTTCCCTACTGGGTCAGCGTGGATGGTGCCCTTTGAGGTCAACGCCCCTGTGTGGGGCCACTGACTGTGCTTTCCCCCCTTTCCTTACTAGTCTCCTCCTGTCGGCCCCATCACCCCCAACTCAACCCCCAGGTTCCTCCATCCTTCCCTACTGGTTCAGCGTGGATGGTGCCCTTTCGAGGTCAACGCCCCTGTGTGGGGCCACTGACTGTGCCTTTGCCCCCTTTCCTTACTAGTCTCCTCCTGTCGGCCCCATCACCCCCAACTCAACCCCCAGGTTCCTCCATCCTTCCCTACTGGTTCAGCGTGGATGGTGCCCTTTCGAGGTCAACGCCCCTGTGTGGGGCCACTGACTGTGCTTTCCCCCCTTTCCTTACTAGTCTCCTCCTGTCGGCCCCAT